GAGGAATCGAGCATGCAAATGCAATTTGTTTGGATGATTTCAATTGGAAAATTGCAAGCCATTCGGATGGGGTGTTTGCATGGAGATTCAAATCAATAAATCGCGAAAATGTTTAGTCAATAAAGCACTTATAGTAGTGACAACAAACAAAAGGGCAAGGGTAAAGAGTGCACTTTATCAAGAACTTGAACTTTACTATGAGTATTTTCTTTCTACAAATAATAACTTAATTTAGACGCTTGTAACTATAAGTTTTCATATGTGATAACCTGATATCATTAAATTAGGCCAAGAAATTCAAGGAACCTTCCCTTAAAACACCCTCACAGAGTCATATAGCTTCGGGATAATCCTCTATGCCCCTCCCATTTCAAGGAAAACTTCTTGGGAAATTGAAAAACTTCTAGCTGGAAATGTAGAACAGCTTTTCCACAGCACATATATGTGCCTTCAAAACAAACCCCTAGAAATGGCAGTATAAATATGTCGAGGAGGTGAGTGAGCCGTGCTAGAAGCTGTCGAAGCGTAAAAACTTAATCATATTAAGAGCTCGCAAACCGGCTCCTAAACATGGTCTAGAAGCAAAGGCAAAGGCAAAGGCAAAGGGCTGATTAAACGATAGATGGATGGATAGATGAATGAATAAAACGAACGGGTGAGTGGCTGAGTGAATAAACCGAGTGGCTAAATGAGCAAAGTTAATGCCTGACTTGGCTGGAAAACTGGAAAATCGAGGCTCAAATTAAAAACCCAAACACCGGCACAAAGGCGGGCGTAACAAAAGTAGCATGTTGTATGTACATGTGTATAAACCACTTTTGTACATATGTAGTTTTCTCAACTGAATTATAGACAAGAGAGCAAATTCTTATTCACCGGAGCAGCGAACTTTTGCTATGTGAAAATGCATGAAAATGAATAAAAAATTAAAAAAACAAGGCACAAAGCAGTAAAACACATCACAACAAAGGAGCTCAGGTCATGGTCATCGTGATGACAGCGATGTCTGTCAGGTTTTTAATTAATAATGAAACTCCTCCTATCCCAAATGAAAAAGAATGAAAAGCTCAGACAAGAAAAAGTATGAAATTGAAAACGAACAGTGGACACTTTGATGATGTATTTTTGATAAATTGTGAAAGTGCCCAGCCCAGACGACAGCTAATTGACGCCCAAAAACTCCTCCCCCCATCTCCCAGCGACCAAGCCCATTTTCCTAACCAGGCGGCATATGTTATTAAAGTGGCGATAAAAATGCGATTAATAACACACAAAAGCCTATCATGTGAAAGGCCAACAAACAACAAAAAAAAAACACACAAATGGCCAATGCGAATGCGAAAAAAAGAAAAGAAATCGCATTGACTAGGAAAAACTGAATGCTGTCTAGCTGAACTCTGCCTTCCGCCTCTTCCACAAAAGATAAACAATTTTATGCTCTCTCTATTCGACTTCAAAAGAGTTTCTAAGATAAATTTTATATCTAAAATAGAAGTAAAAGTAAGTGTAAATGAAACTTGTCCTTGGCCCCGCAACTTTATCTAATGTAGCTGATATTTTATCAATGTCACAACACACATCGAATGATATCAATTTCCCATTTATGGGTTAATGGGGAAGAAAGCCCGATAGAGGGAAGCTCCTCGGGTTTCGTGTCCAGAGGGAGTAATGTTTAATGGTTTTTCAAGTGCTTCTCAAATGAAGAAGACCCTGGATATTCCTTGCCTCCTTTTTAACTTGCAATTGTTAACACATTGTGGTCATAAAATGTGCACTTTATGGCATTCCAACAAGAAAGGTCAACTGCGTTGCAGTGGGTTTTATTACTGCGTGGGGGTTTTGAAAAAAACGGGAGTGTTTTACAGGAAAGACAACAGCTTTAACGCTTATTCTAGACTTTATTGTTAAAGCTTTAGTTTAATTAGTATAACACAGCAAACTCCAATGTCATATTCAGGCCACAAATATAATTTATATCTTCCTGATCCCACATATTTTTAAAAGAAGGGGAATAACCAGTCACACTTACACACTATAACCAACATATGCTAATGACCATTGCTATTACCATCAGACCAAATGCGATTAACGCCTCTAGAGAACCAACGTTCATAAATAGGGCCCCTAAGCGAAATGGCTAATGAAAATATTTCACACAAAAGCATACACACTCTTAACAAATGTCGCACTTTACATGTTGTGCCCCCCAAAAAACGAGGCCTCAATTAGAGCTTAAATTAGGTGTTTCTCGAGGCTGAGAGGCTTAAAATAACATTGCAGCCCTCGAAAAACGACAAAAGAACGCAACTTTGATTATAAATATTTGCTTATAAATAGCAATGGACTTAGGTATTATCTTATCTCTTGATTTAAATACTCTTTCGACCATGCGATCGGGCCAGAAATATTTATGCAGTCAAGCAAAAACAGTTTGGGGCGGCATTTGCTTTCTTCTACTGGAAATGCCCCAAAGAGTGCTTTTCCATTGTTCTTGTGCTTTTACCAGTGCAATGTCATGACTTGACGCCATCGCATTTTCTTGGCTGCCTTGATTGGTGTAAAGAAAATTGTCTCGACAGCAGAACGCGATCTTGGAAGTCAATGCTCTTATATGCTCTCGGGGTTCAACGAATGGCGATTATTCAAGAGATATTCTTATCAGAGGATGTTCGTGATTGCGACTCTCTTGGTTATTTCCATTCCATTATTATTAGGGATCTTTACCCTTTTAATGACTATATAACCCGCACAATGGGTTTCAAGAGGTTATATTTGTTCTATCAATTGATAGCTATCTTAGTATTTCTATAGACTTATTACTCAAGACTTATTGTTTCCCAATACAAACCCAACAGTTTCTTGTATTGCCCAACATATAAATCAAACATTTACACATTTAATCGCTTTTCAAATTGATTTTCCATGTAATTGGTTGCATTTCTCTGAAATAATGTCAAGGCTAATGTTTCAAATCTTTTTCTGACCGCTTTCCGCTGGCTCGACAATAATTCCCCTTACCCGTTGCTTTCTTGTTTGGCTCTCTTTATTGTTTTTGGGGAAACTTCAACACTTGTCATTGTCTGGTGGCTGCCACGCCCCTTGAGACGCCCCTTACAATGATGTCATATCAAATACAGACTCAAATTGCTCCAATTTCGTCTCTTGCTTTTGACTTTGTCACGCTTTTCCCAGCGAGCGCACTTTTCCACACTTGACTTCGCATTTCCCCCGATCTCGGCACCGTTTTTTCCCACCTCAACTAATAACTTTGTTTGTTTTTCATCCATTTTCCGAGTGCATTTCGCTTGGGCTTTGGCTTTTTCCGCAGTTTGCCACTGTTTCATTTTCTTTTCTTTGTTATTTTTTTGTGCCTGCCCTGGATTTCCATTTTGTCATTCTTAGTTTTTGCGCTGGTTTTTCTAGCCGATTGTGAAAAGTTGTGCACTAATGGCAGCTGTGAAATGCATTTATGTTTATGGTCTAGTTTTTCCACTCTTTTTTTTTTGTTTGCCGCTTCTGTAGCACCTCTTAAGGGCAAACATTTATTCTTATCCTCCAGTCACATTAGTGCGAAGGCTAAGAGCAACCGTGATGGGTTTGGCTGAGAAATTATGAATGGAAATGGAACAGAGCAGAGGGATTTAAGAATATTTAACTCTACATATTTATAGCGAAGATTTCTTATGAGATCCAAAAAGTTTTTGAACTGTATGACCTGCATTTGGCTTATAACTCTAACAATCTTTTTAAGGAGTCATATTAATTTAGGGGGTTCCTCTTACAGACGCTAAGTATGGAAAAATAAAGTAAGGTTTTCTTTAAGGTTTTTTAGCTTTCTATACGAAGTATTTTTTCTTTTATATAAAGATTCCAGCAACCAATTTAATTCTACTTATCAAAAAGCAAAATAGACTAACCATTTCTAACCGATTGAATAAAAACTCTAGAAATATTAATCCTAGCATGTGTGAGATAATTAACATAAAACTTAATAAATACGATTACATAAAAATGCAAATCTTGTGGGCATTATAATACACCATTATCGATCAACCGGCTTTTGGCTTACCTTGATAATTTACAGATACAACTGGAACTGTTTGATTTATTCGAAGAGGGGTTTGCATATATCATTTTGGAAACGGCAAATTGCGATTATAATCGAGGCAGAAAAGAGACAAGAGGAAGAGAAGAGAATAATAAGAGGAAAGGCGATATATTAGAGAGATAAAGTTGCACGCAAAAACCGGTTGCCGTTATTGTTTACACCAAAATCGGAAACGAAGTTGTGGGGGCAGGCGCGAATATATGTGTTATATGGCAGGGAGAGAAGTTGTCGAAACTGTGTAGTAAGGGGGGAGGAACGATAGAAATGGGAATCAATAAAACAAACACACCACGAGAAAAACACATGGAAAGTGCAGCATATATTTATATTTTATTTCGGTTTAGTGCACAAATAGGCGAGTCCTGCTGCCATAAAATATGATTCATTCGCTTTTGATTTTCACGAAAGATTTGATATGGGAGATAAATAATATGCTGCTGCAGAATCACACTACCGCCCCCACGCACACACAAACACAGTCAGAAACACACGCACGAACGAGGCTTCACTGTGAATGTTTATTAATATATTCCAGACACGCGGATCCATAGAGGAAAATAATACATATTCGATTCACGGCGGCGGCAAATGGGGGAAAAATATTAAAGAGAGAACTTAAACTGAAAAGCAGAACGCACGCGTTGGTCCGTTTCTTTGTTTTTGGTAAGGTATCGTAATGTATCGGCGGCGGCGACGGGGTCCTAATGCACTCTATATCCACATTATATAACCGCACTAATAAATCCGGGCATCGTTGCACTGTTGGCCAACTTAAGTGCACCCGTAACGTCACTTACACTTTTTCGCTAGTCGCTTAGATCTCGCGTCCGAGTCGTTTGGTGATTTGTTTTTTAAAACGCGACGTTCGTGTTCCTCGGTTTTCGACGGGTAAAAACAGTGTGACCGCCCAGGGAGTGCAGCCATATACTGTCATGTGACCGTAGACGGAGCACGGAAATATACCAGGTGTCAGGTGGAATATACCAAATAATTGAAGAATTTATAATTTTATATTTTAATATAATCTAGTTAATTTGTATTGTTCGTTTAAAAAATCTTATGTTTGTTTTAACTTCTACTGCGACCTTTGGTTGATTTGTTACAAAATTATGTATTGAAATTTAATTTGCGAATGACTTATGATGCCCACTGTAAAGTCACTTTGACAGTATGTTTATGTTATCGATAGCCTCTTTATTTCAATATCACTTGCGAACGTCGGCATAAAATATTTTTCCGGCTTTTCAAAATGGTAAGGAGATAATGAAACAATTTTAGCTTATTTACAACTTCTATACCTCCAATAGTTTTCACTTTTGCACAAAGAGGAAAACGCGCACGATAATGCGCTGTGGGCCTGCACCTGGGGCCGTGATACAGCCGATCCGGATCCGGATGACGCTGGCCTGGACACCGAGGAGGACAACCCCTTCGACTTCGACAAAAAAGAGGCACGTCCTAAGGATTTTATAGTTACGGGTGGCCTTGACGACTTGGTCAAGGTATGGGACTTGCGCGAGGACAACACCTTAAAGCTGCGTCACAAATTGAAGGGACATGCCCTAGGAGTCGTCTCCGTGGCTGTTAGTTCAGATGGACAAAGTAAGATTGAAGATTCCATAACTTAAATCCACTCCTAATATTCCCTTCTTATAGACATAGCCAGTAGTTCCTTGGATTCCACTATGTGCTTGTGGGATGCCCGGTCAGGCGAAAAGAAACATCTGCTCACTTTCGGTCCCGTTGATCTGTGGACTGTGGAATTCTCGCCCTGCAACAAGTATGTGATCTCCGGGCTAAATGATGGCAAAATCTCTATGTACAGTGTGGAAACGGGAAAGGCAGAGCAAACATTAGATGCCCAAAATGGCAAATATACCCTTAGTATTGCCTATGTAAGTTCAACTTAGGAAGCACAAATTAGGTTGAACTTAAAAGTAATTCATTACAGAGCCCTGATGGAAAGTACATAGCCAGTGGAGCTATAGATGGTATTATTACCATTTTTGATGTAGCAGCTGGCAAAGTGGTTCAAACTTTGGAGGGTCATGCGCTGCCCGTTCGCAGCCTCTGCTTTTCGCCCAACTCCCAGATGCTGCTTACTGGATCCGATGATGGTCACATGAAGCTTTATGATGTGTAAGTTTCTTAGCATTTCTAAATATACTAATGCTACTCTCCAAAATATACTAAATCGAAAAAAATCTTTTGCAGGACTCATTCGGATGTCGTGGGCACACTATCCGGCCACGCTTCCTGGGTACTGTGCGTATCCTTCTCCGAAGATGGGAAGCATTTTGCAAGTTCATCAAGCGATCGTAGTGTCAAGGTGTGGGACACCTCTGAACGCAAGTGCCTTCACACATTCGCCGAACACTCCGATCAAGTGTGGGGTGTTCGCTATAGCCCGGGCAACGACAAGGTTGCTTCGGCCTCCGAAGACAAATCCCTTAACGTTTACTATTGCCCGCCTAATGCGATTGTGTAATTCCCATTCGTACATTAAAGCGTAGGTTTAAACAATAAGCAAGCGTGATTTATTTACGAACTGCCCTCAGAGCTTGATTTAACACGCAGAAGGGGCTGCGTGGCTTGAGTTAACATCGTGTCCTTGTACTTCTGGTCGGGAATATACATATTAAAGGTTTTAAAATAATGTAGGATGTTTTCTGAAAAAATAAAGATTAATCTGAAATACTCTTTATGGTATATTTAAGAAATCTCACCAACTAATGGTTCCTTAAGCTTGTAATCATTGGCTATCTTTTTGGCTGGCCAGGACTCGGGATCCAACTGGTGGTCACTGATAAACTGTAGCGCCTGGCGCAGTGTACAACGGCCGGGGGTGATACGCGTTGGCTCCAGATAGCCATATTCGAAGTCATCTGGAGTTTTGCGCTCCAGGGGAAGAGGTCGCTTCTCTGTTTTGTCAGCCGCCGCCTCTGCTGCCTGGCGCTCCTGGACCCGCTTTATCTAGAGAACATATACAGATCAAAATTGGCCGAAATAGCTTCCTTTATCTTTAACCCACAAATCGATCCTGCGAGGTTACATAAACGTCTTTTAACCGTCCATCCAAAGTAGTGTCCTTCGTGTTCAGCTTGTCCACGAACTTTGGATCCACTATACCGGTGAAATCAATCATTAAATACTTCTAAAAAATTGCGTAAAATACTTCTATAACTTACATTCCAAGGTACGCTCCATATCTCTCAAATTGGAATCGAATTTGGGTGCCGGTGTGGGTTTTTCGCGCTCCAGGACGCGATGGGCTCGATTTTCGACATTGAAGCGATTGACCCGTCGGGCCACCATAGAAGCCACCTGACCCATACCAAAATTATCTTGAGTTTAATTCACGTTGCAGGAAATTAACGTGAAATCGAGAAAACCGAAAAAATTATAAAAGCACTGACAGCTGTTTTTTGTTTTTCAATCGGGTGATTCGAACTTATCGATTGATGATTTCAGCTGGTTGGCTATCGATTAATTTATAGTTATGCACAATCGCAGCTGTTGATTGTAAACAAACGAAAGTTTGATTTGGATTTGGTTTATTAAAAATCTTAAGAAATGTTGCCCCTGCGATGCAGTTGGTCTTTGGCCAGGGCCAAATATGGCACCAAAGCCAGAAAGGAGCTTGTTGCCCGTTATGGGGGCGAATTTCCAGAGAAACTACTCAACCGCAAGCAAAAGGTGCCGACTCACATGTATTTAGCGAATGCCGATGCTGCCGAAAGGATTAGCCAGTACTTGGACCCCCATTTCCAGAATACCAGTTGCGATACTATAATGGAATTGAATTCAGGTGCCGGACACCTAACCCGCCATTTGTTAGACAAGGAATCAAAGTTCCGTAGGATAATCCTGCTCGAGAGTATGGATCACTTTATGCCAAGAGCTCAAGAATTACATACACTCTACCCGGAACGTGTGAAAGTACGCCAGGGAGATTTCGTAAATCTGTGGAAACTGGTGTACATGGATAAAATGGACGGAGGTTCTAGGGTGGCGGATCTTCTCAATGATGTGCCCCAGAAAGCTTTTACAGACGGTAAGCCGCTTTGATATTGAACACATCTTGAGCTTAACATTTTTTTCGGCAGATATCAACATGTTGGTCTTTGGCGCCGTCGGATCATACACATTTTTCAAGCACTTAATTAACTCGCTCATCTTCCAGACGAGCCTGTTTAATCTGGGACGTTGTGAGATGATCCTCGCTATGCCACCTCCCATTTACATAGTAAATATACTTTTATAGTTTTCACTTGGAAAATGCTTTAATCACACATTTCCTTTTGGCAGCATCTAACCTGCAACAATGAGATTGGTTACCTTATATACCGCTCAACCAGCGTACTGTTCCAGATCCTCTTCGAACACAAGTTCATAGCCAAGGTTCCGCGCGAGGATTTCCTGCCTCAGCAGGCAGTCTACAATCCCACCAAGGGAAGCAAGTTGGGCAAAGTTCGATCCATCAATCCAGAATATCTTTACCTAGTGAAATTTTCACCACGCCGCAATCTTCACGAGCTATGTCAGTCCCAGGATCTCCCCGCTCTCTGGTTTTTTATAAAGCAAAATTTTGTGAGCCGCCGCAATAGGATAATACCTAATTTGGAGTATGTAACACAAGCTATTTTCTAGAGTCATTATTTAAATCCTGTAATTTGTGCAGAAAATGGGTACCAGGCTGTGGACCTCGACTGATTATCAATCCGCACGTCTCCGAGCCCGTGACTCCAACCTATCCGGATGAATTGCCTAAGAAGTTGCCACAGTACTCATGCCAGAGCACAACAATGAGTACCAGGGACTACTACCCAGGCATCAATATCTATACTCAGTTCGGTGATCTTCGACCCAGTCAGATGCTGACGCTGTTTAGTCAGTTCCGTCAGTGGCCGGAGTATGGAGAGAGTTCCTTCCTTGCCTCGCTCGAAAACGCGTTACTCAAGCTGGAGACAGCCAATGATGAACAAAACCTTGAGGATGGCGTTACGTTGCCAGAGGAGGATGACGCCGAAGGAGATGAAATGCTGGAAGAAGATACTCCCGAGCCCGCCCGTACTCCCGCTAAGAGCCGCAGAAAAGCCAGTTCCTAGTTTTAAATAGTAAACTATAACTTTCGTTGAATTTTAGTTATTAGTTTTTGCTGGAATCATAAATTTGGATACATAAAACCCACCTTAATTTGAAAATTTTTCTTCATAGGAATGTAATCCAAAAATTATATTTTACCTGTATTAAACATTGAACAAATTCAAAATATTTCACTGGGATCTACAGCACCAAACGAAACACATACATCAAGCACTTAATTGGTAACCATCAATACATAATTCTTTAGGAACACTGCCCATTGGCCAAAAGACGACTCCCACGGGCGCACTTCTCGGCCAGTTCAATATAGTATTCCGGCGGAGCCTGCTCCGTCGCGTCCGAAATGCGTGTATCCAGTTGAACGGACAACTTTACACAGTCCACCATTAAGTTAGTGGGATTCACACCGAGCACATATGTGGCTTCTTTGTAAGGACACGGATTCTCCTCGTGTTTGGTGTTGCCGAACTCGTAACAGGTGTCGCGGATCATAAAATGTCCATCTTTGCTACACGGATTACGGACGCACTCCGGTATAACCCGTTCCTTGTAGAGCACCAGCATTTGGCCCGCCTCACAGGGTCCCTGACGATATGCCGGATAGCAGCCATCTGTCTCAGGGTAATATAATGTGGCTGTCGAAGGGGGAAGTACCCAGTACCCAGATTATTATGTCATCGCCGAGGTAGCTTCATTATAGCTGCTCACCTGGCGCGCAGTCGCAGACCCAATCGTTTTGCTTCTGCTGGTCCCCCGGATAAAGAAGCTGATACTTGGGGCATCGAGCTGGGGAATATAGCGGCTTGCGACCCTGGAGAAGAGAAGAATTCGTAGACGGGTGAGGTAAGGCATCTGATTGATTATTGCCAATGCGTCTTCCATACTCTACCAAAAAGTCTCAATGTTATGTATAAGGTCTTGGAAGCAATTTAAATTATTAGATTTTAAATACATTGTTAGTCTTAAATATACAATTCGTCTAAAAAATAGTTTGTGAATTTGATGAAATGAGTTTATAAATTTAATAAATAAGTTATTCTCTTTTAATGCAACCATTGTTAATCAAGGGAAAAGTATCTGTAATTAAAATTCCCTCAAGATCTCGATACTTATAAAGAAGTTCAAGCCTGATTATAAAAACAACATTCCATTTCTAGTAATTTTAAAACTTGAAACAAAAAATTCCCTGTAAGTACGTGTTCCGCATTAATATTTTAAGCGTGGAAAATCAAAGTACGATTTGGAAAATTTTGCATGCAAATTGAAATAATATTTGTTAACATTGAAGGTAAAACATTTAGTTGATTTCTGAATATTCTTTATAAATATTAATTAAAAATATTTTAGGGATATGTTAGAAAAGAAAGGGCATTAATAATCATTGACTTGTACTTAAAATTTTCAATTTGACTTTAAAAAACTTATGAAGTCTGATTGGGAAGGGTATTCTTCGCTTAGTTCTCTCCAGTTTCATCTGGCTTTTCTCTCCCATTTTGGGTTTTCTTATCACGAATCGACGGATTGGTTTGGCTGTGCTTGCAGCTTACCGCAAGGTTGGCCTTCTTCTTATCAATGTCTTGGTCCTCGACAAAAGCGATTTGGGCGCGTGCCACTTTTCCAATAAGCGCAAAGAGCACGGCGATCAGCAAAAGTCGCGGATTGATCATCGTTCGATCTTTCGTTCTCTCTCACTCGCTCGCTTTGTTTTGATTAACGGGTATGGGGATGCGAAATCGACGATGCCGTAGGCTTTACGAGATAACACAGCGCGACTTTCTTCGGTTTCACTTTCTACATCCGCTTGCTACCAACTGCGGCGAAGATCGGCTCTAGACTATTCAGTTCGCTCTTATAAGCTTCTGATTGGATTCAAAATAATACAAATCCGCTCCGGCTAGTGGTGCTCAAAGATCGATGTTTAATTGATGCTTATCGATGATTGCGTTGTAAATAAGATTTAATCATTTAGGTAAGCTTAACCTTAATGTGAAGGAATACAAAATATAGATTATGTATACATATAATAATTGTATCAATTTGGAACTTTGTCAGCTAAGCTAAAGATATATTTACTTTGACCATATTTATTCAGTTTCTCAGAGATATACTTCCATTTTAAATATGTCATATCCTTATGATTATTCCAAGAAAAAAACCCGAAAACTTATGTAAAACTAATATTTTTCGGAAAAAATTTCTTAAAACGTTTGATACAATTTTGCCCGCGCTAGGCTCACCACAAATTTAAAAATTTTCGCAGTTTTCAGTACTAGTTGTCCAGTTGAACAATCGTTGCCTATCGAAAAACGCTCGTCACTTATATTTTATCAAAAAAAAGTAAATAAATAAAAAATAAAATTCACCTGCAAAACGGAGCAACACACACTCGAAACTGCTCAAATGGACGACGAGGAGACCTCAGGTGGGTGTTGGAGCATCAAATCAATAAAATTATTTATTAACATGTTCAACATCTTAAACTGCGCAGAAATCAATTCTGTTCACGGGGGGAATGAAGGTGAACGTACAGAGGAACACCAGGAGCGCACACAGGGTCTCCAGGATCAGCAGGAGGTACACCTGGATCAGGCTTGGCACAATGCAATAGTCGAAGAGCAGGCACCTAGAGCTGATGATTTCGAGGATCCACTAGCCATCGAGGGGAATGGAGATGTACGGGCAATCATAACGGATGGCGGATTGCATGCATGGGCTGGGGAAGGTCCGGAGGTCATGGCAGATGACGTTTTGCAGGATGACACCGCCAGTGAGGGTAGTCATCCCAGCAGCGACATGTCCCTGGAGAGTCCAGGGAGTGAGGGTTAGTTGACTTGTTGGTATCCACTTAATTTCCAATAAATACTAATACTAATTTTCCAAAACAGATGATTCCGACTTAGATCGCCTGCCTGGCTGGATGATTCCCCAGAATCGCCTGCGCTCCGCCGTGGATATGATGGTCTCGCAAGCACGTAACCGAGAAGGCGGAATCGCAGCTCTGCTCAACCGTGACAACTTCCTACAGCGTGTACGCAGCATGGTCTTTAGACAGGAGCGTCGACGCAGTCGCACCAGTGAGGATACCAGTCAGGAGGCAACCGAGCAACCAAATGATACCCCACCACCGCAACCATCTCGACCACCAATCGACATTGAACTGGAGGAGGGAGTGCGCTTTGACACCAATCTGCCAGCAGAGCATTCGTATTTTGGCAACCATTTGAGCCGCGTGCCTGGCGTCGACTATTTGGAAGTGGGCAGCCACCATCATATGCTCATCTTCCTCCACCAGCACATTCTGTTTCCCGGTGAGGTTTTGCCGTTTATGATCGACGGCAGAATGTTCGACGACGATATGCCCGGCCTGGATGGCTTAATCTTCGGAGTGGGTTTTCCATTGATGGAGCCACCGGAAGACAACCCTCACAAATTGTATGGGGTCACTTGCCAGATCTATGAGAGGGGCGAAAGCGGTCGTGGTTTGGTGTTCTACAAATCCAGAGCTCTACAGCGTATCGTCATTAACTGTAATGACATACAAGGGTAAGTGGTAAACCCGCAGAACAGTTTAAAATGCTCTGTTAATACTCCAAAGTCCTTGCAGACCACCGCAGTATATAGCCCGAAATCCTACTAGCAAATGTTTTAGCAAAGTCAAAATATTGCCGGAGTACTTCCTGCCCGAACCTCTCCAATCCGTTGATATGGGATCGATGGCCAGATTTCGGGATATTCCCTCGATGCGTGACAAGTACCGCAGGTTTCAGCTTACCAGTACCCCTTGGCCGGCTGATGCCTGTCAAGAGTATTCATTCGCTGCCATCTTGGAATGTGCACGCCAGAGGCTAGAGAGCCAAAAAATAGACACCATGCCAAAATGCCCCATTCAGTTGTCTTTCTGGCTGGTGCGAAACCTTCACCTGACCGAAAAGATGATGCGGTTGACCTTCCTCACCGACTCCGTAAACACTCGCCTCCAACTGATTAAAAGCACGTTCAAGGAGGAGTCACTATTTTTCTGCCGTTATTGCAATAGCAGCCTGGCCCACTGTGCGGATCTCTTTGCCATGTCCAAGCACGGTGTCCAAACACAATACTGCAATCCAGGTGAGCATCTTGACATATTCCATGCGTGTTAATTAAGGTATTAACTGAAAATGTCTTTATAGAGGGTTACATCCACGAAACAAACACCGTGTACCGGGTAATGTCGCACGCCATTGGCTATAGCGGCGAGCCGTCCACAAAGTTTAGCTGGTTCCCCGGCTACCAATGGCACATCATCCTGTGTAAGTTTTGTGCCCAGCACGTTGGATGGGAATTTAAGGCGGTTCAGCCGAATCTAACGCCTAGGATGTTCTTTGGGTTGGCCGGCTCAAGCGTTCGAATTGGAAAGGCAAGCGAGAACACGCCGGTTAATGGCAGCACCTTCGTGGTGCGAAACATGCTGCGCCATATTTCCAACGAAATGGAATGAGGCTGGCGTTTCGTAAAGCGATTGCTCAGCCGCAAACTCTGCTGCTGGTGTCGTCCGAGGAATAATACGGTCCATCAGGTGGGACCTGTTTGATTCGTTTCACAACCATTTAGCAAAACCCACTGCGGTTGATGGCGTGGATGTAAACCGAAAGATTGATCTACATATGAATGCATATATGTTCTTTAGTTCAAGTAAATTATACCTAATTGATATTTAAGATTCATTGAAACTAAAACTTCTCTGTAATAAGTTACTCTTAAAATAGTTGCTTTTATTGTTTATAAGGAATCGTTTTCATTCATCTAAAAGTGCAGCAAAGGAGGTAGACAGCTTCTGCAAAGAGTAAAGCATTTGTAATTTGGCGGAGCAAACACGATTGAAAGACTTACAGCCTTGCAAAACGGGCACAAGCCAAAGGAGACCTCTAGGAAAGTCTTGCCCTCCATCTGCGTTTGGAACCACTCCTTCAGGCAACCAGCATGACACCTTAGCACACATTTCGGATTGTCACACGAGACGAGGGGCACTTCACCACTATCCAAGCGATATGAGAAACAAATATTGCAGCGCAGCTCTTCGTTGTCCTCCTCATCCTGCTTGGGGCCATCACACCAGTCCGGCATTGGAAAGAAACATAAATCGAACATTCGCAGTAAGTTCTTGTGAATATCCACCTCGGAGTCCCAGTTGCCAAGGCCTTCGCTGAGCACCTGACGCAGCTGGGCAACCTCATCAGTTGGACCAATGATCTGCAGAGCCATGGAGGCGATGCATGCAAAGGGATCTCCAATTGTCAACTTTAAGTAGACGCGATCTTTAAGAGGAAACACCCGGGACTTGTGTTTGGTAGTGGCGGGCGACGGTTGCAGCACATGACACAGTTCATCGATGTCCATGAAGTTGTCGTAAAACGGACGCAGGTCCTCCAAAAGCTTGCGAAAGAGGTTGATGACCTCTTCTAAGGTTCTAGCACTTTTGGTTAGCATCTCACCCAGTGATACGCATTCTGGAAGACTGTGATCTCGTACGCGTAGAGAGGGAATCTCCAGTTCCAAATAGTGACGTTCGTGTTCGTTGAATTCGCTTAATCGAAGCACGGAACAGTCGTCATCAATTTGCATGCGATACTCCTTAGATTTGCGCAAATCCAGAATGTCGGAGTATATGTTCCCTTGATAAGTTGTCTTTGGTTTCTTAGAAATTGATTCGGTTTCTTTGGCAGGAAGAATCTTTTCTAGATTATCAAGTAAGTCCTCCAGCATCCAGTCATCCTGTAACTTCAGATTATCCGGAGAAAAGATCTTGTACTCCACTCCAAACTGCACATATAGCACGAAACCATGCAGAACTGGGTAATGGGGTAAGTAGAGTTTTAGACTTCGCCAAATACCCTGGATGTAGAATTATCATTAATTTGGCGGGAATACATATGTTATTTGATGTTAACTCACCTTATTGCAAATAACTCCACTGATGCTGCAGGATCCACTCGGCTTAAGCTCCACAGTAAGTCCAGGATACTTTCGCACCAGTGCTCGCTCCACATCGCTGTTCCCAGTATCCATTATCAGATTTCTGGCGAAATAAAAGTAAATATCATTTGTTTACATTTATTTGAATGATTATCGCTAGAGATGGAAGACTCCCGATGACATCGATTGCTCAAATCGTGATCGATTCCGAACTAATCGCCGGTTAATTTAAATGTATGTCCTGATTCAAATGATGTCTAAAAATAGATGTTGATTAAGCCATTTTATTGGGATTTTCCCATCTTTTTTTATATATTTATCTTATAACTGCATTGTTTACCGGCATTAAGGCGTAACATTGTAGTTTAGCCTCTCCCGACTTATCAGCCAAATTTACGTTATTTACTGATTCGCTTTGGCGGTGTTTGCTCTTCGTCAGAGCTCAACACCTGCAGGCCACACTGTTTTCTTTTGTAACACCTGCGTGGCGGCCCCGTATCAATAGCCGCCGATTTTGATAAACCGCTCTCTCGAATCGTTGGTCATCGTTCGGACGCTTTGGCTATTTAAGGTTCCCCAACTGCCCCATCGAATCCATTCACAGTTATCATCTGCGTGCGCGAGTACCCGAGAAATTCTTGTATTCTTCATTCTCAGAGATTAAAGGAGTTTCCCCGGACAAAAATGTTGCGAATCGTTGTAACTTTGGCTTTAATTCTGGCCACAGTCAGTGCCACCAATGTCCAGCAGTGTAAGTAGCTCAAAAATTTCAGTTTAATCTGTTTAAAATCGTAAGCTTTGACTTCGACTTTAAATTGCTTTGTCTGTTAAAGTTAATTTATTTATAGTTTTATTATAATTCCATGATGATTCATTTCACAGACTTTGCCATAAGCATAATCTCTTTGAAATACCATAAACTATTGCCAAATATACTTTCGAGTGAAATTAAAAAGCCCTCAAGTGTATCTCTTGGCTACAGTTGATATGGCTTATCAGTCGCGACTGTTAATCTGGTCAAAGAAAATAAAAAAACAATAGCCTACTTCTCAGCTCACCTGCAAATTTTCTTTCAGGCAAAAACAAACCATTCCCACTGGATGTAAAAATTCAAGATTGCGACGAACCACCGTGCGTTGTGTACAAGGGTGGTTATGCCATAATGGAGGTGCACTTCCTGGGCAGTAAGTTGAGCGATCCATATCCAAATCCAATATTTATCTCAACTCCGAATTTTTTCCAGATCAGAATAATATTAAGAGCATCACCGCCACCACAACGGCCAAGGTCTTGGGCATGAACCTGCCATATGCTCTGCCCGAAGAGGTGTCCAATGTCTGCATAAATCTCTTATACGGCGCCATTTGTCCCATTGATAAGGACGAGGATGTAACCTATCAGTTCAACTTCTATGTGGATCCATCGTTCCCGCTAATCACGGCGGACGTGACGGTCACGTTGAACGACGCCCAGAATGAACCGATCACCTGCTTTGTCGTATCATGCAAAATCCGTAACGGAGCCACTGCATCGCAGGGCAAAGAAATGCTATTGGACTGGACGAATCCCAATTCCGATTAAACCGACGATGTACGCAACTCCAGCGATTTGGGCCGACTGAATATTTCCATTTATTTTCCGAACAATAAACTTAAAACTCATGCAACGATAAGCGCATTTGTTTACCTTGACTACGTCACAGATTCCAATGTACCCGTTTAATCAGTCTACGGATTAACACATTTCTTGGCCCACCGATTAGATTTCCCCACCATATTTATTTATATATAGAGTCATCTGTGACGTTCCGTGTTTGCACCGAAAGACCAGTAATTTATTTCCACTGATTCAGTGGCAGAATTGTTCATAAAATCGTCTTGATAATCATTTATTGACCGCCCCTAGATCGTCTTGACCATATGGTCAAAAGTTGGCTCTCCTTCGTGATAGACGCGATAACCGTCTTGCCAAGTGCAATTCTACACCTGACGGAAATCTGTATAAATTTTAATGGGAATTTCTGGGAAGTACAATGTTAAAATAGTTTATGAATGTGAATTTGACAAAATCATAATCATGTTGTCAGAGGAACTTATCGTTTATTCTTTTGATTTATTTGTTTTTTCCTGATGCTCATAATCTGTTTTACATCTGAAAGAAGAAAATTGGTAACTAATTTTAAACATTTTCTGAAAGTTAAGTATCATGATTAAAAATACGCTTGCATAACAAATATATTAATAAATAAACGTTCTTTTTCTACTTAATTGGTGAATTTTATTAAGTAAGGAATATGTTTAAAACTTATTTTAGTTCTTTCTTTAACAGTTCTTTAATTTTCATCAGAACTAATCCTAAGATTTAGCTATTTCTAACCATTCAGTTAATGGATCTTTCCAAAGCTATCCCCAATTTCTTACAGTGCCACCTACTTTGAAAATAAATCTGATACCGCTGAGTTGTAGGGGCTCAGGAAAAAAGCCATTGATAGCCCAGTACATTTCTCTTCTTCTTCTTCGCAACCGGCCTGACCAGGTGTGTTAAACTAATCAGACTTGAGATTTGCGAATTATTATTTGATTCGATTATAGCTTTTCGACCACTCGAATATAAACCTTAATGGCTGCGTGTGCAGATAGCGACGATGGCCAATAGAATGCATTGTAATACGAGTCGTAAAAATGAATGCCAGACAACAATGTTTCTTTTTTAAGTTTTCCTCTCACTTAAGCCAAACCCATGAGAAAATGCATAAGATGTACTTGGGAAAAACCACCCTCATATAGAAATTCCGGGGTAATGCTTTTAAAATTTTATTAAATATTCATGAGACATCGTTGGTGAGCTCAGCGATGGATTTTTGTTTTGGAATAAAAAACGTATGGTATATCACAGAAAATTTAAGCCAATTGATGAAGAATTTCGGTCACAAACTTTAGTTTAGATAGTCCAGTTCGTAGACCGTATTGCCGCCATTGCCCTTAACGACCTTGATGTCGCACACGAAGCACGTGGCAATCTCATTATCCTGATCCACCAGATAGATCTCGATCTTCACACCGATCTCGGGATATTCACCGATGGGAAAGGTGAACAGATAGGAGACATCCTCAGTGGCATAGAGTGGGCAATAGGCTCCGTACTGCAGATTCGGGCAAACGGCAGCCACATCCTCTGGCAGTTCATAAGGCACTGTGATAATTCCAAGGGTGGTGGCCTTTACCAGGGTCGTCAGCTTGGTGATGTACTTATCCACAGCAAAGTCAATCTCGAATTTCTGTACAGATCCCTTGACAATCTGGCACGGCGGAGTTACACAGTTATGAACACGCACTTCCAGCGGAAAGGGTTTGTTTCCAGAGCCTAAAATCAAGTTTTAATTGGTTACCTAGTTAGGAACTATAGTTTAGATTAGTATTTATAATTACATTTCTTTACTTCCGTTGCCGGATACTCCTGCTGGGCTCCAACCAGCGACAATAATCCCAGGGAGATCAGAATCAACGCCTTGACTTGCATGTTTCTCGATTCGAATTGCTTTCGGCCAACGGTGCCCTCATCGTTTTTATAGCCAGATCCGAGTGATTTTTCGGCTAATACGATTGGATTTGGCCTATCTAATCTCATAACTTCGGAAATAAATGGTTAACTGGCAATCGAATAGCAGTCTTTGGATTTTCCTGGGATTGAAAGGTTGCTGCTACAAAACTTTTTCAGATCTCATACTCAAAATGGTATTTATCAAGGTTAATAAGATATTAATTTCAAACCAAACTACCCTTAATCTTAATAGTTATAAAAATATCTATTAAACCAAATACTCCTTATCACTTTACTTAAATAAAGAATTTCCCAATACAAATCTTTACATCAATTCACATCATTAGAGACATATAGAAAAATTATGAAATCGGGCAGTAGAATTTTATCACTTCATCGCCAAGTTCATGGGACCCGGTGACAAAGGCAGTGCCAAAATAAATCCCAGAGCACTCTGCCGGCAGGCCACTAAGCCTCTGATGGCAATGGAAAAACCCACAGACATTTGTCCCTCGGCCAAAGCCACTGACAATGGAACTTTTGCGGGGCAGGAAAATGTGCGAGTATAAAGGAAACGGACGGGGAGTAAGCTGGAAAATATATAATTCCCCCGCCAAAAAACCCCACCCCATCCAGCACTCAACGTTTGGCGAATTTGCCAAAGGTAAGAAAAGCGAGGGGCAATCGAAGGTTTCTGTGATTTTGGTGTTTAAATATAATTTCTATGTTTGGAACTTTAAAACAAATTAAATTCTCTTTCAAATACTGTTTCTTTTTTTTCTTTGATATTTAATGGCTTTGATATATTGTATAGATTTGTATTTTGTTTATTAGAGTTTTCTATGCCCAAAAACTCAATATTTTGATCAGAACAAAGCCAAAAATGGTCCAAATACGGAATGTTATACCTACCTGAGCTCCAAATTCAATCTATTTTAACTTTTAATCGATGTGCATCCAAAAATCAAAGTTTTAATTTTTGGAAAAAAAGACGATGGTACCCCTTATAAAAAATGCAAAAATAGGCCAAAAATTGTTTTTTCAATTTCAGGCGGACAATCAAATAGGTCGACAGTTGCGTTCGTTAGCTGCAAAAACTGTCTTTATTTTTAGCTGTATAACTTGTTTTGACAGTTTTATGGGCTAAAAACCCAAAAAAAATATATCGAATATAGTAAAAAATTGTATTCCGATTTTTCTAATTAAAAAAATTAGTATTTTCCTCCTAGTAAGCCCTAAAATGGTCCAAATGTGGAATGTTATACCTCCCTGCGCTTCAAATTTAATCTATTTTAACTTTTAATCGATGTGCACCCAAAAATGGAAAATTAAATTTTTAGCCATTTTTGGAAAAAAAGACGAAGACAAAAAATGCAAAAATTGCTCAAAAATTATTTTTCCAATTTCGGGTTGACAGTCAAATAGGTCGTTAATGGGGTTCGTTAGCTGCAGAAAACTGTCTTTACTTCAGCTGTATGACTTGATTTGACTATTTTATGGAGTAAAAACCAAAAAAAATATAGCGAATTCTCTAAAAAATTGTTTTCTTATTTTTCCAGTTTAAAAAAATCAGTATTTCCCTCCTAGTAAGCCTGAAAATGGTCCAAATTTGGAATGTTATACCTCCCTGAACTCCAAATTCAATCTATTTTAACTTTTATTTGATGTGCATCCAAAAATATGAAATTTAATTTTTGGCCATTTTTGGAAAAAAAGACGATGGTACCCCTTATAAAATATCCAAAAATTGCTCAAAAATTATTTTTCCAATTTCGGGTTGACAGTCAAATAGGCCGATAGTTGGGTTCGTTAGCTGCACAAAACTGTCTTTATTTTAGCTGTATGACTTGTTTTGAGAATTTTATGGGCTAAAAACCCAAAAAAATATAACGAATATTGTAAAAGACTTTATTCTGATTTTTCTAGTTTAAAAAAATCAGTATTTTCCTCCTAGTAAGCCTTAAAATGGTCCAAATATGGGATGTTATACCTCCCTGAGCTCCAAATTCAATCTATTTTAACTTTTATTCGATGTGCATCCAAAAATCGAAAATTTAATTTTTGGCCATTTTTGGAAAAAAAGACGATGGTACCCCTTACAAAAAATGCAAAAATAGGCCAAAAATTGTTTTTCCAATTTCAGGCGGACAGTCAAATGGGTCGTTAGTTGGGTTCGTTAGCTGCACAAAACTGTCTTTATTTTAGCTGTATGACTTGTTTTGAGAATTTTATGGGCTAAAAACCCAAAAAAATATAACGAAAATTTAAAAAAAATTTATTATGATTTTTCTAGTTAAAAAAAAACAGTATTTTCCTCCTAGTAAGCCTTAAAATGGTCCAAATATGGAATGTTATACCTCCCTGAGCTCCAAATTCAATCTATTTTAACTTTTATTCGATGTGCATCCAAAAATGGAAAATTAAATTTTTAGCCATTTTTGGAAAAAAAGACGATGGTACGCCTTACAAAAAATGCAAAAATAGGCCAAAAATTGTTTTTCCAATTTCAGGCGGACAGTCAAATAGGTCGTTAGTTGGGTTCGTTAGCTGCACAAAACTGTCTTTATTTTGACTGTCCGCCTTGTTTTGACTGTTTTATGAACTAAAAACCAAAAAAAATAGAGCGAATATTGTAAAAAACTTTATTCTGATATTTACCCTTAAAAACAGTAAACAGGCTTACAAATGTTCCAAATGTGAAAAGTATATATTTTCATGATGACTGTTCAAATTTTGCAACATACTTTCCTCGCCACCCTCGCGAATATTTTGCAACATTTCGGATGGTTGGTGGTGACTTGCCATGTGGACAGCCGCAACGCAGCATGAGATTTTCTCGAAATGCTTTTGAACTTGCCACCAACCCCCTCTCTATATTTTCCCATTTTTTTTTTGGTTCAGGAACTGTCGTCGCTCCTCACATGTAATTGTTGTGACATTATTTAATATGTCAAAGCAATGGAAAATCCTGCACGACAAAAAAAGAATCCCCGAAATGGATCTTAGGGAACCGCAATATTTGATTAGCATCAGCCGGAGACCTAATACATTGATTCCGGGGATTTCTATTTCCAGTGTCATCTAATGCAATTATCTTGGCCGGAAAATCTGATACTCAAATACTTTCGCAGGCAAAACATTTCCACTTGGCTCGGCTTCCGTTTGCACTTTTGGGTGTTCTTTCTTTTTTGCATATTCCCAAATGTATTTTACGGATGTTTAGCTTATCTTTGATGTGCCTTTTTTATATACGATACGAGGAATCAATAATGTGTGGCGGGGGAACTAAGACTTTGATTATTGATTATTTTTTGGGGGGACAGAAAAGTAGGCAACACTTTTTGAGGTGGGTCTTACAGAGCTTTCTATTTGAATAGAAAGACTTGCCTGTATCAGTAACCCGCCCCTCTGGCAAAGCTAACTCAATTAATTTGTCAAATCAAGTCAGACATTAAATGCCAGCGCCAAAGCCAAACAATTTGTCACGCCAATCCTGTGGCCTTTCGCCCTGACAATCCCCAACCCACCATCCAGCCAGATGTCTGTTCTATTTCAATTTGATATTTGTTTGCACGTAATTCAATGCCGAACGACAAAACTGACAAACTGGCGCGTCCATTGTGTCTCAATTAGGCGGCAATTTGATTTTCGTGTTGTTAATTTTTCATTACATTTTTCGAGCTGCCGTGTGCTGTCAATTAATAAAGGAATTTTCGAAAGGGCACGCCCAAATGCCCAATTGCCCATGAACCCTTGTCCTTTTGCCCCTCAACAGGTGCTGACAAAGAGGTCAAAAAACAATGCTGTCTATTTACTTATTCTATATTCTGCTATATAATGATAAATTTCCAACTTTTAATGCTTAAATATTTAATTTAAAGTCATTTTTGAATAAAATTAAAAGGAAAACCTATCCGAAAATCATACAAACTATCAGCAGTGGTCAAAACAATTCCTTTAACAAAAAAGGGATAACTATCCCAGTTCATTGAGCTGTTTCCATTTTAACAAGGAACAAAATACGAGTATATGATTGCTTGTGGTCAACCAGCCAGGTGACCAACTGCCCTTGAGACAAATTTTCCGCACTTTTCACCTGGAAATTTGGCGTTACGGGGAGGGTTCGTATATTTCTCGCCTTGCTGCACCCTTTGATATAGCCGGCACACTGGAGTCTCATTTGGCAATAGCAATTTGCATATGCCGTCATGCAAAAATGTTTTTTATTAAATTTTTCCAGCATGTCATGGGCCCAACCAGGGATGCTAATTAATTGCCCAGGAACCTGCCTTGGAACAGAACTGCTCTGCTTTTGGGCACTGTAATTAAGTGAATGCGAAATTCATGTTTTTTTTTTTTGTCGAAATCAGAAGGAACATGCGTTGCAACAAGTTCGGCTGTTGAGTAATTTTAACCCCCTGAAGTGTTGGCATTTTAGGACCATGTCCTTTGGCCTTTGTACCTTCTTCCTCTCACCTGGCAACGCTAGCTAAGAAATGTGCCCACTTTCTAGCGAAAAGAAGTTTTGCTTAATTTGCATAAATATGTGGCACTCGTCGCTCTCAATTTCTACCTGCCTTCATATAATTAAAATGTTAACTAGAAGCCTTGGGAGTTACATAATTTTAGAGTTAGGCTTTACCTTTGGCATTGATGGATACCAAGTACAAGATGGAATTCCAAGGAAAATGCCTAGTGGTTTCCCTGGAACTGTGAATGAGTTTGCCTTGAAGGTAGATTGCTGTGAAATGATTGCAAAATGTGGAAATATGTTATTACGAAAAGTACAGAAACTTTTTGATAAAACTAGTAAATATTTTAAGCTTTACCCTGTAGAAAATTCCACTAAAATCCCATTAAAACTTAATTACCGCGCAAATTAATTATAAAAAATGTAAAATTAAATAAATGTTTCGGCCAATTGAATGCTCAAGTCTCTTCCCCCTCCCTTAAAACACCGAAATCCCTTCAATCATTTACTCATTTACTCAGAACGTAAACATTTTAAAATCAATTTATGGCAGGGGTCGAAATCGCTTAGCTAATTTGCATATAAAACAGTTGAATTTGCGAAACAAAATCAGGAAATATTGATGAAATTTGGGCAACCCTTGACGGCTGCTGCTGTTTTCGCTCTCCTCTCCTCTCGACAAGTCAAGTGGCTGTAAGAAATTGTGTAAAACTTCCTACAAATTGGCTATGCATATAAATTGATGTTAATGTCGATCGGCGGAGGGTTGCTTTAGCCAAATGGCCTGAAAGTATGCAAGGCGAGGATAATGTCGCAATCTAGTCAGTTATCTCGGTTGCCAGGGTTTGTTCTACTAAATCATTGCTAATCTCCAATTGCTAATTTTAATGAACTGCGTACAAATGTACCCGAAAGAGTTAAGAACTCAACAGGTGTGCGTTCTTATTGACCAGTTTATCTGGGTCGAAACTGACGGACTTCTCTGCACTTGCTAGGTTCAGGTGTACGTGGCTTTGCTATTATGACTGCTAATTATGGTTTATTAAACTATATGAGTCACAGAGGTGTTTGGGGAACCAGATCTGCTATATAGATTGCTCATGGGTGATTAACCAGCTTTACTATCTTAACAAGTCAAAACAATTCATTAGAATATGTTAATCTACTATATTGATAACCCGAAATATGCTCAAGGCTTTCCCAAGTATTGATACAAATCTTAGCCATAAAGATTTTCGGGAATATTTTGAGTACAATATTTCACCAGTTTTGTACCCCAAAATATGCTCACGTTTTTGCGAGCATTTTTCTAATCGAACTAATAATGATTACCATTTAATTCCAAACTGGAAATGTTCTGAGGATCCATCTAAGTGCGATTAAGACGTAATAATCGCTACGAAGTCAACAAAAGCAAACGTAATTTTAGTGCAAACGTCCAAAGCCCAAAAAATCGATTAGATTATTGGACAAGTGCAGTAGTACTAATCGAACCATTTTGGGTATAAATACCCAGCGATTAGTGAGTCTGGAAACCAAATTCTATTGTTCTTTCAAAGTTAATACAAGCTATTAAAAAAAAAAACTCCAGGAAAATGTCCAACTTCAAGAAGTTCTCCCTGTTCCTTGTGCTTTCCCTGATGTGGACTTTTATCGCAGCCAACACGCCTATTAGACAATGTAAGTTTGACTTCAGGAAATATTTTAAATCATTAACTAATTGGTTATAATTTATACTAAAGGTGCCGACACCAGTTATCCTCAACCTCTGATGGTGCAAATCGATGAGTGCGATGAATTGCCCTGCGATTTGTGGAAGGGAAGTGAGGCCAAGATCGACATACAGTTTGTTGCAAGTAAGTAACCTTAAAACGATCTTTTAGAAGATCAAAAATCCCACAAGGATGAACTTCTTTATCCCATTTTTATCCTGATATTAACCCAATATCTTTTCCTTCTTCCAATAGCTCGCAATACGATGCAAAAGTTGTCGGCGGAAGTGCGTTTGACCTCTTTGGGAGTGACTATACCCTATGACCTGGAGGCTTCACGTGGCAATGTTTGCAGCAATCTCCTTCATGGTGCCTACTGTCCCCTAGATGCTGGCGAGGATGTGACCTATCAACTGCTCCTGCCAGTGACTACCAACCAACCAGAGGTTCCCACTCGCCTAGAGGTGCGTCTCCTGGACTCCGATAATGATAATCAGGTGGTGTCCTGCTTTCTGGCGGATACACGTGTCAAGAAGCCAAGTTCGAGGGCTTAGAAGGACCCACTAAGATGGGGCTTTAATGATTTCTAGACTAATGCCAAGACATTGTATCAATGTTTTGCAACTGGGCATCGAGCGATGCCAATTAATAGCGCGTAAGCTGTTGGCACTTAAGCCCGACAAACACTATTAGCAGTTATGAATAAATAATTAGGGGAAAATATTATAAATAATCGACATGAACGGCTGAGTTAATTACCAGGGCGGCATATGTGGGCTTGGGTGGGCGTGTGTGTGTGTGTGTGGGCCAGACTACGTTGGCTTAGCCGGACCAATGGCTCACCACCCTCGAAGGGCGCCATGAATCGGCTTAATTAAATGACGCAGAAAATTACGCAGCTATGGAGTGGGGAAAACTCTGAGAGAGAGGGAAAGAGTGGGTGGATGACAGGTGGGTGGTTAAACTTTCAGGTGAATGCGGTTTTTCCCAGCTCCATTCACAAAGACTTTAAACTTTCCAACGCTCTGTTAGCCCCCATTTACACGCACAGCTCCTATGGCTTCCTTCCGGCGCTCAAAGCTAATTGGCTTTTCAACACTTTGAAGCTTCCTGCTGCTGATGGGCTCTAATGAACAAGCCCTGATGGGAGCACATATCCGACGGTTAGCTAATTGAGTCGTTGACTAGGTGGTGACATACCAAGTATATCAGGAGAACTACACATTGGACTTAGGTCAGTCTAAATTCGGGACTTTGGTTAACAAAAATGGTGTAAGATATTCTAGAATCTAGTTGAAAAGTTAACAGCATTCTAAGTAGCAACAATTTTGTTTGGTTTATATGTTATAGCTTAGTTTAAGTTACTCACTTTTATATGCATATAAATATGAAGTTTAAATTGTATAAATAATATTTCAAATTTATAAACAGAAACCCCAAAATTAAAGGCCAAACAATGGCAAATGTTAGGCTAAACACGTGCCTTAGCTCAGGTATACTGGGATTAAACCACCCGAACCGATCTCATATAAAGATAACAATTAGACAAATTAATAAACATTAAATAAATGCTAAAAAAAATATTATTGGTTAGTCATGCTGTGAACGAGTTATGGGGAAGGATTCAAAGTCTATTGCGAAATGAGAGTCAGCCAGTTCGGTTTAGTTTTGGCTTTAGCTTTGCTTCGACTGGCCATCGAGGTGGTAGGGCAAGGAGAATCATATATCACGGAATATAACACAAGTCCAAAGGTTAGTAAAAGATTAAAAAAAGATTTCACAAACTAATTATATTGACAACTTCCCAGAAAGCTGTGGCTATTATCAAGCATATCCATGTCTTCGGCGAGTCCAACTATATGAAGGCTAAGATATACATACACGATGATAGATCCCACTTTGATCTCTATGTCCAGATGGTCCATGAGCTGGGCAGCAATCATCTCATTATGAACATAAAGGTGCGCGTGAAACCGGAAGGAGGAAGTTCCTTTGTGCAATTATTCGAATTGCGAAGGATTAACTTTTGTGGTTTTCTCAGCGAATATAACACGAATCCGGTGTTGCAATATATGTTTAAGAAAAACATCAAACTGAACGACATCATTATATGTCCCATTCGTGTTGGAAACTATTCGATGATAGACTCTGATGTGGCAGGAAATATACAAACGGATGGAGTCCAGAATGGAACGTACAAGTTTTTTGCGGAAATCGTCGAGGAAATCGGAGAGATAGCCAAAGTTTTTGCCATTCAAGTTACCTCCTCGGTGTATATTGTTGACAAGGAACTGGAGTGCAGAAATCTAAGAAATTCTATTCAATGTGTTTAGATTTTATCAGCAATATTTGACAATTTATGAAATATTATTCCTTAATCTAATAAATATGATGTGTTTCTGGTCAAATTAAGAACTTTTTCTTATAAATTAAAGTCTATACGGGGATATATAAGCATTAAATATAAAAAAAATATATTGTTAAGTACTACTGGGTGTGTTCAAACCTTTTTTGAGAACTAAATTTAGTAGCCGAACTACGGTTAAGTTCATACTGCGAACAACACTGAAAACTCTCTTGGTCGCTCAAGGGTTAAGCCCATCATCATTTCTTTAAATGATCTAATTTAATAAATAGCCAACATTAAGCTTCAATGGATGATCCATGACCACCTGATGATCTCCACCTGATGATTTTCACCTGCTGATAGTTCTCATTGCGAAATGAACTTCGTTCGACTAGCGTTGATTTTTCCTCTGTTTCACATAATAAATGGCAATGGAACGAGTTCAAAATCCCTGTGGGATGATGACGAGGAGGATCAGGTATTCAACATGTTCCTTAAGGAATCAACTATAGTTTTATTATCCTATAGAAACCCATACTCCGCATCCATCACATCAATATCTTCGGAGACTCTCGCTATATGAAGGCTTTGGCCCACATCGACGACAATCGCACCCAGTTCAGTCTCACGGTTTGCCTTCGCCAGGAGATGGGCAGCAATTTCCTGACCTTCAACGTAAAGGTTCGAGTTAGACCATCGGGCAGGATGATATTCGTAAACCTACTCCAGATGCGAGACCTGGATCTGTGTGGTTTCTTTTTCGAACTCTCCGGAAATCCTATGATGAAGTATTTCCTGCAGTCGGATATACAACTAAGTGACGTCATTGCATGTCCTATACGCGTTGGAAATTATTCGTTAAGCAACTTAAGAGTCAAGGACATTTATCCCCAGGTCCTGCAGAATGGTACCTACAAGTTCTTCGTGGAGGTGATTGAGGCAACGGCCGAGAAAGTCTTTGCCCTGCAAGTGACCACCGAGATCCGAGTTCCAAATGCACCCGAATAAACATTTTGTCAGCCAACAAAGGATGTGTAATTACAGGATGTGTATGTGTATGTGTTCACCCCCCGTCTGCATTGTAAGCGGATTGCTGTCCTTTCGCCCTCATTTTTCTCTCCATCTCTTACCACCTCTACTTTCCATTGTGCGTCATCCGCTTCTCGAACAGGGAAAACATATTGAAAATCGTTTAAAGCACCGTCCAAGTGCATGACCGATTATGGTGATTATCCTCGGAACTATAGAGAGTTGCGTGTGTGTATGTGTGCTTTTCCACGGAGGGGGTCTCTTTGGATTTCCCGCGGGATCCTTGCGGTTTTCCACGGAAGCCATATGCGCAATTTGGCTGTAATTAATAGGAAAACAATATGTTCAATGGCCAATCTATATAACTATCTTTGTATCTTTGTATCTTTCTCTTAACTTTGCTTAGAACATTCAAGCCTTAAGTCACTAAAACCCTTTCCAGTATAAAAGTGGTAAAAAACATTTGGTAATATGATATTTTAATGGAGCTTGAAATATTCTTGCCCTCTGTTAATTAAAATCCGTAATGCGGTTTTCAGCGAGTATTATTTTTCACAGCATTTTGATATCACAAAAATGAAGGAAAAGGGGTTGCCCTGCCAAGGGTCACACCCTCTCTGATAGGTAATGCCTTTCTTAACGCACAATCAAATCACTTTGCGAATTCAATTTGGCAAAAATAATGTGAATATATATATATCAATCTCCAGTGAAAGCAAATGGAAATCAAAATTTCAATCTCGAGAGGCGGAAAATTCCTGCAAGTAGGGAAAATTGTGAAGTGCCAATGCCTGGCATCGAGTGTCGCACTTATGTGTGACCTTTGCAAATTCAATTTGTCGCCTTTTTATCTATCACAATTTTCTATTAGCCCCTGTTGACGGGGGGAGGAAGGTTTTCCAATTTCGATTTTTGGCAACACAGAAAGGTCACTAACACACATGCAGTTTTTCCAAAGAAAATTGGTATACTTGAGCTAATCCAAGGGGACAGCTCATCGAAACTAGAACTACTTAGTTTGTGCCTAAGAAAATGTCAAATATAGAAATTGAATCAATCGAAATCGATTTTTAAGGAAACCCAAGCCAAGCTGCCTTCAGGGAAACTTTAAACTGCAACGTGAGGCCATTTTTGTGGCAATTAAAAAGGCGTTGAGTTGGGCAATTAAACACACGAACCTGCCTCAAAATAATTCACTTAAATAACGCAATGTTGCGTAATTCAGTTTCACAGTTTTGTAATTAAAAGCATTTGCATATGAATCGCATCGACCAAAGGGGCCTCGGGCATACTTTCATGCCACTCTAATTAAAGGCTGCCCAAGGAGCAGAACTTCAGGTCTGGGGTCGTCTTCCCCTAAAGGTCATCAACGTCACCGACAAGGCGACTCAAAAAAATCCCCTCCTCTGTTTTCGATAGCGTTTTGTCCTTTGCGTGGCCCACAGGAAGTCTTTAATGTTCCTCCAGAGTGCCTTTCAATAGGTCTGCTCTTTTAACAGAATTAAGTTGTTCGGATCGGGTTTTTAGAACTTTGAAAGTAGAAAATATTCTCTTCTTAAAACTTTAAATAGAACTAAATTGAAATATTTTAGTTATTACCGTTGTCTAGCTATAAAAATCGGTTTGGTGTTGCCTAAAATTACTGAATAATTATTTATAAATATCTATTTCCTCTACCCATCAGTTAAGCAACAGTAATTATTGATCACAAAAATAGAAAATAAATAAACAATAAATATCAGGTTAATTTCCTCAAACAATAAACGGTGAACTGCTGGCCAACTATGACGCTGAAAAACCATCCGTTCAAAGTGTTTTCCTATGTGATCGTCATTTTCCTTCTCTGCCATTCAGAAGCTCTTTTTAAATTGAAAAACATCAAGTGTACTTGCTATGAGAAGTCATACTGCGAGTTTAAGCGTTGTGAATTAAAGGTCTTAGGTCGCGGTTTGGTAGGGCTTTTCGTACATGCCCAAGCCAATCAAGTGCCAATTAATTCAGTAACAGTATGTAATAACTTAAACTTAGACTTTTTTCTAACTTAAACTTAACTTTTACAGTGCCATCTAACATTGTTTAAGAGGTTTAATGGCTATAAGCCTTTCCTTTTCAATATGACCGTTGACGTTTGCTACTTCTTTAAAAACAAAAAAAGGTATCCATTCTTCGACATAGTTTACGATGGCATTAAGAACTTCAGCAATGTAAATCACACCTGCCCTTTCAATGTTTGTATATCTTAAAGTAATTTATATTTCTAACATTAATTTAATATTCTTTCCATTTCCAGCATGACATAATAGTTGAAAGAATGGTTTTGAATGATAAAATGATAGCCAAAGTGCCAGTGCCAAGTGGTTTCTATAGACTCAACTTTTACGTGAGAGCAGATGGCGCTTGGAGAGGCGAACTTGAAGTTTATGCGGAAGTTAATTTGGGATATGATCGCTGAAAAATCTAAGTTAATTCAAACCCCAGTCGTCAGTGTGGTGCCTCTTCTCCTGACTCTCGTTCTGGGCTATGCTTGGCTGAGGGCAATGATTCCAAGTTTCCCAGCTAAGCTTTCAGTATGACTATTGAGCCTTGTAATGTAATTAAAAATAAATTAAACAACAATAGATACAAGGCTTACCGACTAGTAAACACTCTCCATTTCGTTACTTGTCTCTATGAATTAACTAATTCAACATGTTATCTCTATAATAAATATACTCCCTTCGTTCTGTTATTAAAGGGTATCAAATAGAATCCAATATCAGCTTAATTCAGCCAAGCAATAAACGCTGAACTGTTGGCCTACGATGAAGCTAAAAAGCCATCCATTCGAGGTGTTCTCATTTGTAGTCATCGTTGTGTTACTCTGCAATTCAGATGCTTTATTTAAGTTTAAGAACATCAAGTGTACTTGCTATGAAAAATCATTCTGTGAAGTTAAGCGTTGTGAATTGAAGGTTTTAGGTCGCGGAATTATAGGACTTTTCCTATATGCCCAAGCCAATCAGCTACCAATTTCTACAGCAACGGTAGGTAATAACTTCCATATTAACTTTATTTCTAAATCAATTCTTACATTTACAGTGTGTTTTAACCTTGTATAGAAGGTTCAATGGCTATAGACCTTTCCTGTATAATATCACAGTAGATGTTTGTTACTTTCTGAAAAACCAAAACCGTTATCCATTCTTTGGTTTGGTTTACGAGGGAATAAATAACTTCAGCAACATAAATCACACGTGTCCCTACAATGTTAGAATCTCGTTTATTAACTTTTATTACCTAAATATATTTACAAATATTTTCTTCATTTCCAGCATGACATAATAGTTGATCGAATGGTTTTGGATGACAAAATGATTGCCAAAGTTCCAGTGCCAAGTGGGTTCTACAAACTCAAGTTTTACCTGAGAACAGATGGAGTTTCGCGGGGCGAGGTTGAAGTTCAAGTAGAAGTTAATTTGGGATATGATCGATGAAGAACTACTTACGTCAGAAAAAACATTTTTTTATATATAATTGTGAATCGCATTTTAATATAAGCTTCGGTCCAATGAAGCACATAGATCAGATAATAACCTACACTTGCAAAAATAAAACATCAAAGTGAATCAATCATTATTTAATTTCAATAATAATTATCAATTATAAAATCATCTAAAATTCTATAAAATATTATATTTTAAAGTTTTTCCGCTTACATATTTATTTAAGCCATTTAAATACCAATTTCCTGGACAAACAAATCGCAAATCCCTGATCAGGAATCATATGAGCCTAATTAAGAGCCCATTACCCAACCCTCGCTGTGTAAACAGACACCGCCGACCGCAAGTCAACCAAGCCAACTCGTAAACCAACCCTCTTAATAAACCAAATTTTCCAGGGGTTTGGTGGGGTAGGAGGTTTTTGGTGTTTTTTACACAACATGTTGCTGGCGGGGTGCTGGGAATCGTTACGTGTGTAATCCGACACTTGGACGAAAGAGGCGACAGCCACCTGGGCAATTAGCCCATGAAATCTTCATGCAAATGAGTGAAAACTGTTTTACGCTCTCTCGTTAAGAAAATTTCCTTAGACAAGTGTCAGGAGCAGGCAGATTCGAGGATAAAAAAGGTGAACAAAGGCCGAAGCTATGCTAATGAGCCACTGACAAGCTGACAATTAGCCAAGGGTCCAAAAGGCAAAGCCACAAACCGAAACTTGTTGACCTCGTTGCCACAACAGATCTTGGCCAGGCTTAAAACTTAATAAGCCATGTTTTTTTTGTCTATATTTTTATTTTTGATATTTTCTCCCCCCTTAATTGAGCTGGCAGGCTAGCCTGTTCGTTTGCCTGAGCCACGGAGTATGAAAGTTCGTAATTTAATTTCAGTTTATTAGTCGGAATTGTTTTTGACGCCGCTGCCGAGGAGGCCGCTTCTGCCACTGATGGCGTCGCGACGCAACAATTTAATTAAGTTTTTGTAGACCGTTTCTCTAATTAATTGCATTCAGTTGCAATTTAAGACAGGGATGGGATAAGCAAAAAAACAGAAGAAGAAACAGGAAACAGGAAGTTATGATGAGTCCAAGTTAAGTTAAATAATAAATATTAATAAGAAAAGTATTTTGTAGACTTAAGATCTTCCTTCTAGATTTTACGATTTATCTTCTAACTTTAAACAAAATTTAGTCACTAAGAATTAAAATATAAAAAATTTGTACAAAATCTTAAGCCATAAGGATTTATAATTAAGGATTATATCCATAAGTTAGGTCAGAAAAATGTTAAAAAATATGACTTAAAAAATAAACCTCAATATTATGCACTAAAAAAACCAAAAAGTATTCTAAAGAACCATCCTTTTATAACCTTTTTCTTACATTAAAATTATTAAATATTTAAAATAACAATTAAAAATATTTAAATATTTAAAAAAAACCCCTTAATTTTACTCCTTCGGATCCCTGGTTTAATTCCACCAACTTGCTTAATTTTTTGTTGGCCAAAAGCTGACGCCATTTTGGAAACTCACTCGCATCGCAAGAGGGGAGCGGCATTAAATTTTCAAAACCACAAAAAGAATCCTTTGGTTCTTAAAATGTCTGAACAACGCTGACCATGATGATGCTGGAAACGGGGGGAGAAGGGGAACGGAATGAATACAGGACACAGAGTAACGGTACCTGGGGCTGGCAACAAAAGGCGCACTCACCTGTCAACGCCCCAAGGCAACAACCTGCCCCCCCTTCCTCTTATCAAATAGCAGGAGTGGGAGTGGGTGGGGTGGTGTAAAAACTCCAACGCAGTGCAATGAAATTCTTCATCTGCAATTCAATGACATTCCATTCCGGACTTTGGATGGGGCGTGGCATGGCGTTGTATGCTGCCAATGAGCGTGCCCCCAGTGGAGCAACAGATGATACCTTCATGCAGCGCCCCCTGTCGGGCCTGCATCAGGGGGCGTGGCTGCGCATGCGCATCTTTCGTTGCGTGGGTGTTCGGGGGTGAGATTGTCAAGCTATGTCATCCAACCCAACGAATCCCAGAGCTAGAAGCTCAGGATTCCGCCGCAAGGTGCGAGCGAGAGCCGCAGATCCCGTTCAATAATGTGGGTGCACAGTGGGTGGTGGTGGGTGGCTGGGTGGTGGTTGCTGCCTTTCATTGGCTTCGCATTCAAACCTAATTTTGAGTTTCACAAGCATTGCGACAGGTGACCGTAAGCAGTTCAGTTCGCTTTGAAGCCTGCCGCGGGTCAGTTGCGTGTCACGGAAAATCCTTAAGTTAACGGGGAAAATCCTTAAGCTAGTGGCAAAGTTTTTGGTTTATTGGAGAGCTGAAAAAGTGTTTTAAAAATGAATGAATTGGAATTAAGAAAAGTTTGAAACGTGCAACTACAAAAAACATATTCTGAAAGAAATATTTAAAAATCTTTTTAGCTAACAGGAAAAGCAAGCGAAGTGATTAACAAAAAATATTTAGAAAAAAAATAAATACTGATATTTAATCATAAATTCTAGAAATTTAATTTATGTGAAATTATATCAAAGTGATATTGAAATCAAAATATATTTGAGTTTAGTGTTAATTTTAAGTAACTAAAGGTAAATATTTCATTTTTTTAGCATAATTTTGAAGAAAAAGAAGATTAAATCTTAAACTTCTCTTAAAACTTAAAATATAACCTTAGAATATTGTCTAAAACTAAAATTGTCTTAAATTGAAAATATAAATTTATTAGAAATAACATTCTTTTTTTTTATTTTTCTTAGAATTCTAACAAATATTTTAATTTTATTTTATGAATGTTTCGAAATCTTTTAGTTCTTATTTTGAACTAAATTTTAAGTCATTTTAAATACTTTAATTCCAGTTAATACCAATCCTAAACCCAATACGCACTTCCTTGTCTAAGGACAACACTGAATATAAGACACTTAACTCCAAGGATACTACCAAATATAATCCATCAAATGAAATACCAAGAAGTCCAAGCCAGAACGCAGTAGAAAAGGGCAGAAAAATGATGAACATGAATCCGCCAACGCACCAGCACCCTCACGTTCCCCATCCGCATTCCCATCTCCAGCCACTGCCGCATCTTGGCCAGCATCAGCAATTGCCCGCCCTGCTTCAAGGCCACCCGACCACCACCCACTTCGTCGAGTGTCGGGCATTACCAGCAATCAACGAGACATTTCCGCAATTTGGCCAACATCGTCCGGCTATATCGTTGCTCTCCCCCTTGGATCTTTCACTGCGTGCTGCGGCCAGTGTAGTGCCAATTACTCCACCGTCGACACCCTCGCCGCCCCGCAAGCGCCAGAGATTAATGTCCGAGGAGAATTACCTGTGGCGCCCGCACATGGCGAGTCCTGCAGCTCCAGTTGTTTCTTCGGCAGCTCCTTCGAGTCTGGCAATTCAGCCAGGCAGCAGCTACTTTCATAATCAGCAGCAGCAACATCATCAGCAACAACAGCCGCAACACCAACAGCAGCAGCAACATCAACCACACCAGCAACATCATCAGCCATACGCTATACGCGGCAGCTTTGAGGGAGCTTCCTTTAATAAAAGTCATTTTCACGGGACAAAAAATAACTTTGAGCAAATTCCGGCGGGTCAATCGAGCGTTAGCTCGCCCATCTACGTGGAGGATGAGACCATTGTGTTGACCGAGGACGAGGATGAAACAGTTGTCAGTTCCCATGACTACAATGAGTACGCCACGGACACGGAGGAAGTCAACGAGGGCGACGATGAGACACAGCAGGTTCAAGTCAGCGATAATGGAGACGATGATGAGGAAGAGGTCTTCGTGGATGTCCTGGGCAGTGATGATGATGAGGATGAGGCAGTGGATCCGGCCACAAGATTGCTGGCCCAACTAATGGAGACCACGGCCCTGAAACGAAATGAACTGCTGTATGAGGATGAGGAGCTGCATAATCAGGCTGTTGATGGTCTGGCCAGACTTTTTGACCGGGATTTTCCAGAGCCAGAAGTGGAGGTTACTGAACTGACGGATGTCCAGAGCAACAGCGGCAAGACCTACACGGACTTAAGTGGCGTGGCAACGGTACAGATTAGAGATACTAGTTCTAACAATCTCCCACCACCACGACCGCCACCGCCTCCTCCTCCTGGTCCAGCGCCACCCTTACCACCGCCCACTCGACCCCACAAGGCCGAACGTAAGAGGTCAAAGCTAAGGAAACACATGGCCATCGATGAGGAAACCATAAGTCCAGTCTCGGGCACCATCATCCGCAAATTGCGCGACGACGAGGAGCTGGTGGTCCGCAAAGGCGACATTGATCCGGCTTTCAATGTAGTTGAAATCACCGAGGAGGCCAAGGCCATCCTGGCCAGCATCGACAACAAGATTGGCGACTACCTATGCCAGCTTTGTCGCACCGTCTACGACGATGCCTTCATGTTGGCCCAGCACCGCTGTCCCCGCATCGTCCACATCGAGTACAAGTGCTCCGAATGCGAGAAGGTTTGTGGCCAGTCGGAGGAGAGCTGTTCTTCTGGAAGTTAAGAAATTTTCCTTATTTGCAGGTCTTTAATTGCCCGGCCAACTTGGCCTCACATCGCAGATGGCATAAACCCAAAGCGGATGCATCTGGGGGTCAAGGTAATCCCTCTAAGAAGAGGCTAGTGGAGCCCAGTGATCTTATCCAGGAGACGGGAAGAGGTGTTGATGATGTCAGCGATGGGATTTATCCTTGCCACATTTGTGGAAAGACTTTCCGACGGTGAGTAATTTTTAGAAGAAGAATTTTTTATGGATTTTTGGAAAGCTTTTCTAGCTTGGAAATTCCTTTTAAAAACAATTTCTAATACTTTAAAATTCTTCAATTTTTCCCCTCTAATAACAGTCAAGCTTACCTAAAGAAACACCAGGCCTCCCATCAGATGTTGGATAATCTAAAAAATTTGGATTTCTTTAAGGCCCAGCAGCAGCAATTGGCCATTAATGGCCACCAATTGCCCGATCATGTCCAGCTGCAGCAGACACAAGGACAGTCAGTTGCATCTGCCACACCCTATGCCTCTCTGCCACGACCACCGCAGGGAATGCCCATTTATCCGCCGCCACCAAATGGTAAGAACTATGCGGGAGGACAACGCTTTCCCGGATTTCCATTTCAGTCCTTCGACCAGCGACGTTTCTACTCCCTCGGAGAGTTCTATCTATCCCAGCACTTGGAGCGCTCTTCAGCTTTCCAATATGTGCAGGCCAATCACCTGAGGCAGCTGTCGAACGTGGCACAAACTTTGATGCCTCCAATGCCCGTTAAATGACCCAATCCCAATACGAATATCCTAAGGCCTGTGCCGCGCATTGCTAACACAACAACTGCAACAGGACCTCCGGCGGCAACGACAACAGCCAGACAGGTGGCAACTGCCACTGCGGTGTCCTCCGGCGGACATGCCTTCAATTGGGTGGCTCCGTCGACTGCAACGGGAAGTGCAACTGCCACGGCAACGGCTGACCAGTCCGGCGGCAATGTTATCATGTGACTTACCAACTTTTAGAAGCATTGAATCAACGATCAACGATCCCTAGTTAAAGTTTAATAAATCAATTAAAAGATGAGGAAGTTTTTTACTTGGGGGGTTTAACTTTGTGCTTTTCTTTATGAACTAAGTCTGGCAAAGTGTGTTAAGGACTAGGCCTACTTTTGCTAAGGACATGTGATACAGCATGTGCCAGGAAGGTTTCCTTTCGAATGCCATGAAAAATGGAAGACTTTGGCCCTGAGGGATATAAAAATATAAACCTTTTTAATAAATACCTAAAAAAATAACTTACCATGTGCAAAAAGTAAGCTTTCTGATGGCATTTCATATAATCTTTGTTGGATTTCTAATTCCGATTCCTTGAAAGTTTCTGGCAGATTGCTGATTAACTCCGTTTCCTCGCTCACATCCAGTCTTGCTTTTGGATAGATAGCATTGGTCATAAGCACTAGAGTTAGGGTATCCTGATCTTTGTGTAGATTAAACAAAGTCTCATTCAACATCTGAAGTTCCTTAAGCTTATCCATTCCCGATTGAACAAACTGCTCCACTATAAGTAGATAGCCTTGCCCTTGTTTTTCCATGACCTGAAGAGATTTTTCCACCATTAATTTCAAACTTGGAGCCTTCAAATTTCCACTTAGATCACCATTGGCCATCACACCCAGGAGATGATCATAACTGCTGGCATTTAGGGACTCCAACTCATCGGTTCTCTGAACCAATTCGAATCTTATTGGGTTAACCTTGCTCTCCTTTAGTTTTTGATTCCTCCACTCTTTGAGCAAGTTGCGTCCATCGTTGGACTCGCACAACAGCTCATCCACAGGATCCCATTTGGTTTTGGGGACCAAACTACTCAGCATTTGCCGTCCTCCACCAATGATTACGTTGAGAGATTTACCAGTTTCTCCAGATATCAGCTGACGAGCTATATCCTGGCAACCTGTTGTTGAGGAACCCAAAGGCATCCTTTCATCGCATTCATAGTTGCTGTTGGTATTTCCCAAAGCAGCCGCTGTATATCCTGTAATCCTTTGATTGGTCACAAAACCAGTTCGCAGTCCAACTAATTGAGCCTGGCGAAGGATACTTAGGGGATTTTTTGTCTCGTTGGTCATTTTTCCACAATCTGGCTGACTTTCGGGGACTTTATCCAAAGGTATTCCAGACCAGAGAGCTCTGGAAACTCTGTCCACCTGGCAGGGAAACTGTTGACTGCAGCTGTTCTTCAAGCGAACCAAGTGGGGAAACTGATCCCAGATATAGTTGGTATTACCCTGGCTAAGATCTTTAGCAGGAAATCGATAAGCAGCCAAATCTCTTCCATCGATTCCTTGGACCACAAATATTCTTACATTTTTGGGATACATTGGACCCTTTGGCGATCTCAGTGCTTCGTTGAGCTCTTCTATGCCCTTGTCATACCAGATTTTCTGTGATGACGCCACCCTATCCTTCCAATAGTCCACATCCGCCACGTTGGCCACTTCATTCTCCACCTCGTATCTGGTCATAAAGCCAATGCAGAATAATGTTACCATGACCGTTACCAAACATGTTCCGGCCACAAAAAACACTTGCGTTGACTTCAGCCGAACTATTTGGCAAATCTCTTTGGTCCGCTGTGTGGTTACCATTGCCAAGCTGTGGCCAAAACTGATTCCCAGTCGCTCTCTTATTCGAGATTTCATCATAAACAACTTTATCTACTATCTGTTGTTAGTGATAAGGTTTGGCTTTGTCTTGGAGACCTTATAGCCCCCAATCGTTGGCCGTTTAGTTGGGTTTAAGTGTAGCAATTAACCCACGTCATGAATTATAAATGCACTAATTGGCGTGTCAACTAATGCAAAAATGCAGAGAGAGAAATTACTAGCAAGTCTCAACTTTAATTAAGTCTAATAATGAATTTTCTTAAATAAATTTTTTATATTTTGTGCGATGTTAGAAGACGTCAAAAAACAGGGTGTTAGATAACAATTTTTAAGATATTTTTATAGTTTAAGATTTCTAAATTATATCAAAGACAACAAGTAATTTTCGTTTAAGATCCAATCCCAATCCTAACAAACCTTTCCCAGTGCACAAGCATTGCAAATTCCGAGTTCAATTGCTGTTTTGAGGGGTCAAATATGTCTCAGCATTGGCCATTAACTATTTCTCACGTGTGTAGACCACAAAGGCTATGTGAATTGGTTTAAAGCAGCCCAACGCTGTCAGCAGGATGGGATGGCTTTTGACCATCCTGACAAAACGACAAACACTAATTGTCATTTGGCATTCGAATGACGTTTTCAATTTCCACCCCATTTCGGCCAACTATTTCTCGCTTATGAATTCTCGCCCAATTAAATTGGCTCACACATGGGGCCAGCAAAGGTTTGTTCATTTGCCAGTTATGCGAATGCGAATGCGAATACGAAATTGTTGCCTCAATTACCTGCCATTAACCGGCATTTATGGCCCCTAACCCACAACCCCGCCCACTTGATTTGCCACCCGCGTGTCCGTCATTTCGTCGCTTTGAAGTTACTTTGCATTGACATGTGGTCAGTTTTCCCCCAACAGAAACTGTCACAATTTCAATTTGAATCCCACTCAACTGAAATGACAATGGCACTCAGTCCGGGGTCTCGTGTATCACTTTGATTATCGGTTTGTCTATTTATCTATTTGTTTTAGTTACTTGCGGACTTGACTTTGCGGAAATCGCTTAGCAATTTCAATGGGCAATTTTTCAATCATGCTGTGATTTTGCCTGTCAAACAGCAGCCCACGATGCGTATGCGTAATCGGAGGGAGGGGTGTGGGTAAACTTAGCTCCTTTCTTGGCCTAAATAAATGCGTAGAGGTGGGAAACGATAACATTGCTAGTTACAAGAAGTTTATTTTATACTTTGGGGTAAGTTTCTGTTGCAAGGGAAATAAGAAAAGCTCTCTTTTCACCCCTCTTTCAAAAAGGTTCGTTTATTGAGTAAGCTTGTGGGTAAGCTTTCAACAGCGCCACCTGTTGTAGAAACCCTTAAGTTTATTATTTACTTAAAACTCTGAAAATCCAGAGATAGAGCCTATATCTTTGGGAGTATTAATCAGATCAATTTGAAAATTGTTCAGTATGTTTAAGATATATTCCACTTATTAAATATAATCAAAAAACTAAAATTTATTGACAGCTTACATGTTTTTTTAATATTGATTGCTGACTAGCAAAAAGATAAAAATATTTTCAGTTTTTACTCTTATCTTATTTTTATATATTTTCATGTAATGTAAGCTCCTACAGTGCTCTAAAGATAAATTCTTAATCCCTTTAAAAACTACTTTTCTTACCCTATTAAATATATATATTAAATTCTTCTTAAAAATCGTATTTTTTTAGATAACTTCTTCCCTTGTCAATAAACAAATTATATTTAATGACTCATTATTTTCCTGACTTTTAGCCATCACTCAATCTGCAGAATCACAAATAGAAATCTATTTAAAATGCATAAAATATGCCAACAGCTGGTGAAATCTGGTGCGGCTTACGAAGGATTATATAACCCCCTCCCTTTTCGTTCCTGACCAAATCATATTCAGTGCAAATGGCATTTGGTATGCAACCGACAAGCGCCGCAGGATGCAATTAGCGGCGAGTGGCCATCAAGTTAGTGGAGCCATCGAGGCAGGACAGGAAGACGAGAAGATGAGAAGCCGAGAACCCGAGAACATGGCCAAGAACAGTGCTTTTGACTGGCAGCAGCAGCGCCCAGGAAATCGTCGGGCGTGACGCCTATGGGTCACTTGGTTTTGGCCCACGTCAATGGCTTTGGTTTTGCCTTTTGCAGGATGGCAAAGCTAGCTGCTGCATCATGCCCACACCCATGCCCCTGGCCACGCCCACGCCCAGCCCAAAGCCCAAAAGGTGGGTGTTTTCACCCCATGGATTGCATATATAAGAGAGTGAAAGAGAACAGCCACAGCCATGACCTTGCCCCCCAAATAGAAATTCTCATCATCAAGTGTGCTGTTTGCATTCCAACGGCGCCTGCCTAAAACATTTTCCCTGTTCGCTTTCCATATGGCAAGGAGCGCGGAATTTCCTTGACACATTTTCAGTGGAAAATACATGATTACATTAAGCTAAATTCCTAATTAAACTTTCTTTTGATATGGCTAATGAGTAGTAAGAGAGTATCTGCAGGTAAATTCACTTTATTTGCAATTACGAACAAATAATATATATATCCACCCATATCAAACTATATATATCATTAATTTGTAAAATATAGGATATATACTCTAAGACTGTTGAAATTGAATTGCTTAAATGAAACCAGGAACTAAAAGAAACGATGATTGTTCATTAACTTATTAAAATTAGATTTATTAACGATATAAATATTATCTCTGATTGTTTATTTCTTATAATTTCTTGCATTTTGTCATTATTGAGAATCTTTTTTGCACATCTGCAGCCTAAATTACTATCATTTCCCTTAAAATAATTCAGTCCATATTTAAAAACTAACCCAATGGCTTTGCTTATGATTTAGTTTGATTAACTCATACACAAAAACCTTCTTTAAACGAATCCCAAAACAAAAATCAATCAAAACCAAAACTTTTATGAATAGCAATAAACATGGAAGGGAATTTAAGGCCATTAAATATTGCAACAAATAAAATATATTGAATAATATATAATAGTAAAAAATATTAAACGAATGTAATTAATGTATCTTTTCTATGACTTATGGTATAGTAATATATCTACTATATATAGTAATATATTAAATCAAACTATATATATGACAAATAGCTTAATGATGTTTAATATTTAAATACCTAAGGTCAGTTGCGGTATGATGATGATGATAAGAAAACTTGCACTTAACCCACACGTCCTAACATCTTCCATAATTGGTATTTCTCCATAGTTTACGCTTGATTGCATGCCATTCTCATTGCCATTTGACAGCAATTTATATAATACAAGGGGCTAGAAAATACAAGGGGATGAGCAATGTGACACGTCTGCTCCTCCCTTGTGGGTGCAATAAATGATGCAGTGGGTTGGAAAATTGTGCATTTAAGACAGGGATTTTAGGAGTCGCCACAATGATCTTATTCTATAAATTCGAAATAAAACTAAATTTAGTAACTACCCCATAGGTTTATAGAGTATATATCTATCTATACTATGAAATCGAAAATGATTATCTAAATTGTGAAATTTTGTATATTTTTATTAGGAAATGCGCTTCAGTGAAATTCTTTCCGTTTCCCCTTTGCTTTCCCCCTTTTTTCTTAGATTATTTTCTTTAATGTTTGCCAAACACGAAGTGGCAAGACAAAGGCAAAAAGTATAAGAAAGAACAAATAAAGAGCGGAAGTGAGATAAAACTGAGAAGTTGCAATTTATTGATTGTGTGCACTAGCACTTGTATGCGTGTGTATCTGTGTTTGCCATTTGCAGCTGTATCTGTGTGGCTGTACTGAAAAAATAGTTGACAACTGACGATACACACAAAAAAATATATATGTCTATACATAAAGATATATATATATATATATATATATATATAGATGTGTGGCATGGCCTTGAACGTGAATTGCATTTGCGCTCGAAAAGCGAAAAAGTAAAGGGAAAAAACAAACACCAAGCGAAAAACAAACAACAAAAACAAGATGCTAGGCAAGTGGGATAGCAAATGTGCAAGCGAGATGGCCAGATGTCGCAAAGAAATGTGCCAAAGCGAAAAGTTTGAACGCACACACACGAGCGCATTTCGCAAACTGCATTTCCCCCACTCTCTGGCGCGTTCTCTCTCTAGCTCTTTCTCTTTCTATAGCTAGCCGTCTCTATCCAGCGGGCAACTAACAATCTCAAGGTTACCGCATACACATACATAAACGCTCATGTGATGTGCACTCTTTCTCTCCTGCTCTCTCTCTCTCTTTCCTTTGCTCTTTTTGGCAGATATGGAAAACTACCGAAAATAATTGAATTTTCAAATGCAATTTCATGTTCTTAGCCTCGCTTGCCCTCGAATTAATCCACCTGACAAACTACATAGGTGCCTGAACAGAAACATTTCCATTTGATAATACACGTGGCGAAAAGGTTGTCAAATTTGAAAGATATGGATATTTCAAATTATATTTATTGTAATTTTATTAGAGTTTTTGGTTTTCATTAAAACAAGCTCTTCTTTTCAAACTTAAAAAGTTAGACTGAATTGAATGTTAATCTTCTGGTATTAGGATTATGATCATTACTGATCATCGGTTATCGATCTAGATTATCGTTAAAAGCGATTACCTATACCTTTTCGATACCTTTTTTGTGAGATTTTTAGCATTAGCATTGACTAAAACGTTACTTAATAAACATATCAATTCTTCAAAACTTCCCATCTTTGCTCTTCAAATAACACACCTAACTTTTTCTCAGTGTATTCACAACTTGTATCGCATGTTTTCTGCCTACGTTTGCATCTTTCTATCTGCGCTTGCCTACGTATTCATTATCGCACAGATACAATTTTCAGTTTCGCCGCTTTTTTCCGTTTGCTATTTTATAATTTTAGCAACAGTTTCCAACAGCATTTTCCTGTGTGTTTATTTAGGTTTTTGAGGTGTGTGTATGTCAGCGCGGTTGTGGTTGAGTGTTTGTGTTCGTGTTAATTGGTTTTGAAAATAACATTTTACATGCTTGAAATGCAGTTTGATTAATTGACGTTGCAATTTCCAAAGCTAATGGAAATCGCTTGCCATTTTTGGATTAACCCGGTTATGATCGGGAAAAAGTAATTAGCTGTGATATTAAATTGAAATTGGGTCACAATCTTTTGAGCTTAACCATCTGCTTTTATGGGAAAACTCAATTTGAGAAAATGCCACAATATTGCCCATACGCCATGTTGCCAGGCCGTAAATATTTTTAAGCCAGCTTCCTGGAAATGTGCAAGGCTTTCGTCAGGGGAAATGATTGAGGGTTCTGTTGGCCAGGGCATACATACATAAAATACACCCCCTCATAAAAGCCCCCCCAAAATGTCAAAGTTGAATGCACAATATCAAAGTCGATGCAGTAGGCAGTAGGCTAAGCGGAATGCCAGAAAATAGCAAATGAAATCGAAATCGAAATAGGAATGGGTTTGGGAATGAGAATGTAAATGTGAGTCATTTGGCACACTTGTCCATATAATGCAATAGCCAACATATGCTCGCCATTAGCTTTACCGTTGCATAAAGCTACCCTCTCGCTCTCTCTTTTCTTTCCTTTTTCGCCCTGCTGTTTCAGTTTTTCCCCTGCAAAATGCAAAACATGAAAGCGAAATTTCTGGCACATATTTCACACAAAACGTCGACTGCAGACAACACGTCGCAAGTAGCGATGATTCATATGGCTGCTATATACTGGTATACAATCAATTCACCACCCTCACACAGCTGCACTATTGCAAAAGCTCTCTCTCTCTCTGGGTCTCTTCGTTTCTCGTTCTTCGTTCCATTCCATAGCGTTTCACATACACATTCACATAGCGAATCCTTGTGGCATGTATTTCAAGTTCACTGTCAAGGTCACCTACTACAGTCATGCGCTGCAAACAGGCGAGAAGGGAAAGGGTAAGGGCGACTGTTGCAGCACCAGCAAAATCAGCAGAATCAGCAGCTACCTACACAGTGCTAGCCAAATGTCGCCCTCCCACTCGGCCATAGCCACAGTTTTCCCCCAAAGTACATACACATTCTATAATAGATGCGCTATAAGCTCGGCCCGCACAGCAAGTACTATACAGATATATATTTTGATATATATACCCGATGGGTTATAAATACGTTAGTTAGAACTTAAATCTGGTTTATAGCAACGGATTTTGAACGCTATTGAGCTGAACTTTGGTTATTTTTAGTGACAATCGGGCTGTTCAATGATATATGTTTTACTTGATATTCGGCTTATAAAGGATTTATTGCCTCTGAGTTTTTAAAACTTATTCTTCTTATTATATTTAATCAAAAAGGTTTTACTTCTTTACTTTCCTAACTTAAAATAATATATAAAACCAGACCATCAACCAAAAGGAAACGGCTTTATTGTTATTTCTTAAAAATCTTATACAATTTTTGGCATATAGTAGATATTCTATTATATAAAAGGAAAGCATTTTCTTTACCATACCAATAGGGAATATCAATCTATCAATACCTTTATCAATTTTATAAGAAATTTTCAGTTTTCGTTTAGAAAATTGCAATCTATAATGAAATTCACTCGTTAGCTGGTAATGCAATTTTTCCCATTTCCCCACAGTGCTAACGAGAGAAAAGTTTCCTTTCGCAGCTGGCAGAACATGTGGGCATATACAGCTAGCGGAGACTGTGCGCCTGTGGAAGTGCAAGCCAGGGCTTTGTGTGTGTGTGTATCAGCCGAGCAGTTATACATATACATATATATATAAATGGTTCTATATATTTGCCACTATATAAGCTTCGGTTAGTTGTGCGCCAGTGCATCCGGGTGTGTATCTGTATCTGTATGTGTATCTGCATCTGTGAATGTATCTGAGTACCCTTTAAAGCGGCGCGGTGCGCATGACATAAGAAATAAGAAAACGGCGCACGAGTTGGTAAGTTATGAAAGTCCCCAGCCCGACATGCACTAACATCTGTTGCATATACCCCATGATAAATAGCTATGTATGTACATATATACTTAGTTAGGTTTATATAGATATATAGTTACCTGAAAAATATGGCACCTATTAGCGTATATCTTCCGAATGCTACCGTTACAAAGTGCCGAGGTATGCAAGAGTTGCAGTCAAGGCATTTAATTTAATTAAACAATTAAACAAACATGGCCGACACCGTTCTCTTTCTTGTTCTCTCACAAACACACGTGCATTCCTACATACTTGGGCCCCAAACAAATTCAATTAAGAAATTAAAATCGAAATGCCAGCAATGTTTATACTACAAAAGCTAATAGAGAGAGAGAGAGAGAGAGAGAGAGTAAAAGAGACAGCTGCGGAAGACAAGAAAGAGATGCCAATAGACCTTATAGGGTGTAAGTGTGGGTTGGAGATTTTTGGGGGCTGGCTTAGCCCGTTGGAAAATTGCAGCACACGCACATTTGTCAATCGAAATCGCCTGACCACATGCATCATAGACATAGGTATTAGCAGGTCCCACCTACATCGGCTATATATCTAAACATATGATAGCAAATATCGGTATATATGGGATAGCTATTGGAGGGGACAGTAAGCCAAGTAATTATTGTTTTTTCCTACTATCAATACTCTGTTGCTACGAACATTTTGTGTTGCAAGCGGCAGTTAGTCAATAAATGCGCTAATTATATACAATTCGCTGCCCAGGCCCGGAACACGAACCGAAAAGCCCAGAACCAGCAGATACACAGCGAACTAAGTGCACATACAGTGGGCATACAATACAATGTTCTGGTTGAGGAATAGAAAACAAGATGAATTTACGATTTCCTTAAATTTATTCCCTCGAATCCAAAAGAGAAAGTTAACCTTTTATTTTTACTATTGACTTTGCTTTTCATTTTTATCAGTAACTGAATGTTAGCCAAAGAGGCGAACTGGTTGGGAATTTTAAGGAATAAACTTAACTGATGAGTAAAAAAACAAATAAACTTATAAACCAAACATTTTTCAAACATCAAAGACCTTATTTTAAGGAAGTTTGTAAGTTAAGTACAGTAATCCTTCTCTTGATGACCTTCTTCATCGAGTGCCCACTGTTCAGGGGCAGTAAACAAGACGCGTCAGGGCAGACTGCACAACTTAAACTGCAAGTACATGCCAAGGAAGGGAATACAGGGGGTGTGGAAGGGAAGAACGGGTCAGAGGGAGACGTCGATAGAGAAGGCGAGTGAGAAAGCGAAAGGGGATCAGAGATGAGGTACACCTAAGTATGTGTGTGTTACTGCGAGAGAGCTGCTTACTTGCACTTACACCACCGCAACTGCATACTGCGCTCTCTGCTCGCTTTATTACATAACATCCTTGAACTTGAGCTGAGCTTGCCAGAGTTTCCTTTTTTTTTTCCAAATGATATACACATACATATGTATATTTGTGCATATTCTATGTTCTGGCAGTGGGACGCTACTCAGCTCCTTTCACCACATATGTACGAAGATATATGTATATGTAGCTTTCTTCTGCCTGTGGGCCCCACATTCTTCCCTTTTCTCTGTACTGGCTCGTTTCTTCTCTCTTCGCATCGGAAGCTTTCGGGCTTTTTAGCAGCGACAACGACGGCTCTGCCATTTTCTGCTGGGCTGCACGTTGGCATTGAAAGTGCGGCAGGCGAGCTGCCAACAACGCTCCATTCCCAGCAAATTCCCAAATCGCAACCAGAAGAATTCTAAAAAAAAAAACAACAACAACAAAAATACCTTTAAAAAAAAGCCAGCAAACAATTCCTCTATTATTCGTTACAAATTAGACACGCAAATGACATCAACAGCCAAATTGAGTTTGTCAAAACCAACCCACTCGCCATACCAAAGCAAATAACAATGCAAAATAATTGCAAACTAATTGTGTTCAATTCTACGAGAAGTGCTTGTCAAAAAAAATAATAAAAACAAACACAAAAATGTTAATTATGACCAAAAATAATTGAAATCATTCTAAAGTGCATTCTACAATGAGCTATGAAAATCAAGGAAATGAAAAACGAGAGATAGAGATTTCAGAGAGTGCAAATGCATTTCACAACTATTTTAAATACGCGCTTAGAAACAAGTGAGTTCTTATATAAAGAAACTAAAATTTATAAACAAAATATTAAGAATTAAGTGAAAATTTAAAAGAAAAACTGAATATCTAAGAGAGAGGGAGAGAATTGGAAATCCAATGGGATCTCATTAAAGGTGAGTCCACAATATTTGTTATCTACTTAAAAATACTTGCAAGATTTCGTCATCTAAACTTTGGGGAAATTGGCAATTTGCAATACTATTTCTAGGTTGTTAGATACAATTATTAATTAATAAAAACTTTAAAAATTTGTCTTCCTTAATTTCGTGAATAACTACCTAAGAAACATACTTGAGTTCTAATTCTTAAAACCTTCTTTAAAATATTGATTCATTTCCTTTGTCCCATCAAATCAAAAAACCTAATTAAAAATGTCAATGTATGCATTTTCGTATCCTTAGCTTAAGCTTTCAAAGCTCCTTGAAGCTTTTTTGTTTGCTAGGATCAAGGGATGAGGATCTCGTTAACCCCTGAAATTGTTTTTCAACGCTTTTGTTTTGTTTTGCTTTGGCTAGAAAAAGGCGTCGTAATAAAAACAGGAATCCGCAAAAAGCAAAAGTGAGTTGCAAACACACAGATAAAAGTGCGCAGATACATGGATACATTTTAGGGATGAGAAAGGGGAGGAGAATAATGAATGAAAGAATGGTAAAGAGAGAGAGAGAGAGCAAGCTAGCGAGAGTGAGCCAGTTTGAAGGCCATTGCGGAGAGAGTCACATGTGCTTTTCGGGTTTTCGAGAGGTGTGTGGGGCAGTAGGGCAAAAGTGGAAGAGAAGACTGCCCGAAAAGCAGGCCCAAGAAACAGGAACAGGAAGAATCGACAAAACTTGACGAAAGATAGAGAGCACCAACAAGAGCGAGAGAAAGAGAGAGCGAGAGATTAGAAGTATTCACCAGTAGATAGAAACTCTGCCAGAGTCAACGCCAGCAGAGGCAGCGCTGCGGCAGAGGCGAGAACTTTCCATGGCAGACAAAAAAGCGGCGACATTGAACAGCGGCACCTTCAACCGATCGCATTTGTTGCCTTTCGAGTCAAGCTAATAAATAATTCATAATATAATAAATACAATACAAAATCCTTAAAAATTATTCCAAAAAAATGTTATTAAGTTCGTCAAAGGATTAAAACTTATTTTCGCCTTAAAAAGCCTTACTAAAAACCGTTTTTCTCCGTGCGGAAAATCAAACAAAGTGCATGTTAGAAAACGTATCGAAAAAGTATCGGCAAACACAAGCAAAGAAAAAAGAAATGTGGCAGAAAGCAGCAGAATGTGAGTAAACTGAATTGCGTCGTAGTTAACATTTTTTTGACGGCGTCATCAAAGGCAAAATGCCACCCCCGCCGCCGCCCTTTGCAACCCGCCGTTGTTGTGATTGCGGAAAATACAGTCAACAATTGCTAAAAGCTAAGTTTTACAACCAGGGGCGCGCCAAGAAGGGAAGGTTTTTTCTTTGGAATTTTGATTTCTTAGAACTCATCTGGATTCTAGCTTGGGTGACTAATAATTTAAGGTTTCATTAAAATGAGATCGATAGAAATAATACTATAGGTCAATATCTAGTAATATAATTTTCCAAGAAAAACTCTACTTTAACAATGTCTTCATAGAAGAAGCTGCAAAGTTCAAAGATTCATCAAAATATTCAAAAAATTAATAATAAGCTCTTAAGCTCTCACCTCCCCTCTTTGCTAGAAATCTAACATACGCCCCTGTTTGCAAAAACCCGCTCTCTCTCTTTCAAACGCACACAACAACACTCACAATGTTTTTGGCCATCTCTCCCAATCATTTGTTATTCCTTGCCCGGAATTTGCAGAAATATCAAAATTTATTTATAACATAAACAACACGAATTAAACCAAGCAAATGAAAAATACATAATCGCGAAAAAAGAGCCACAACAGCAGCGAAAATAAACAAAACAAATGCGAAAAAGCTTATAAACAGTTCCGTTTATATAAAAGTTAAACAAAAATAAGAAGAAAACGAAAAGCCATTCGGAATTTGGCCAAAGGGTATTATGATGATTCTCAGGAACTTTGCGCGAAATGATGATGGCTCTATTTGTGTCTGTGTGTGTGTATGTGTGTTGCCATTTTTTTGTTTGTCAGCTTCCCAACTTGTTTATGACTTCACTCGGCACCAACAATTAGAAACTAATTTGCTGGCAATTGTCGCTAATGGAGAGTACGCGAATCGCCACGATTTGCTTTTGATCTAAACAAATGAGCAAATGGAACGGTGTTTTAAAGGAAAATACTATTAATGGGTTACAAAAATGTTCTCAAGTTTTTAGTTTTTCTTTCATAACAACTTTAGGACTTTGCAACTTGATACAGAAAGGTAATAAGAGCCTAGAAACATTGTACATTACAAAGCTACAGTATAAAAGATATTAATGACGCAAACTATAGATCATATTTGTTTGAGTAATAAACTTAGAAAACAACCCCTTTGTCCTAACCAATACTTCAAAAGATCATCAATCGATCCCTCTATTTAACTCTAGATTGCATATATCAATTTAATGGATCATAAAAGCTGTGTTTATTACTAAAAACCGTTTACAAAACCGAGCTGGGCATTCGGATAACTCTTTAATCTGTAGTTTTATGAGCATCCAGTTAGCCTGTTGATTTCCGATTGCATCACGTGTTATTCTACATTCTATATTCCCAAACGATGTACAGATGTTGTACGTATATTTGTGACTCAGATTATCTACTGACACACGATCGGCCGAGTGCGGTAAACAATTCTGTGAAATTGTAAACTGCAGTTCGCCCAGAAAGGCAGCACTCAAATAAAAATGATGCAGTCAATCAAGATCCAAGTGCAATTTCCCAACCGTATTCCCAACCCCTTGCCTTTTTGTGAAAAACCACAGCGAAAACCCACACAATGGCGATATTTTTGTTGTATCTGAACTTGACTCGAGTTTAGCTTTGCGTGCCGCTTTTGTTTGCACAAGATACAAACCCATCGATGTGTGCATCTGCATACGTATGGGTAAATGGGATTTCGAAATTCGTTTACGTAACTCTCGCCGCCCCATCTCCGCACGGCCCACACTCATTATGGCATTACGGAAGCGAGGATGGGGATGAGTATGGCGTTTTGGGGCTGGGCAGGAAAAGTCATCTTTACGGGGTACACAGAAAATAAATAGATTTCAAATTGGTTAAGAATTAAAAGTGAGGTCAGACGTGGATGTCTAGAATGTGGATTGGGAATATGGAAGGGGTAGAATCTATTTAAACATCTACCAACTTCTGATTCGAACTACTTTCTGTTTATAAACTATTTCGTGTGATTATTCTCATAAAAAGGAACTACAATATTAAATGTAATGAATGTAATGGAATGATAAATATGGTGATCATGGCGTATACGTAATTTAGGCAAAATATGTTTAATACAACTTTTTAATGATAATTCTTAACTTTTGTTGTCTTGTCTTGTCAACAGAAGAATTTATTATACTAAAGATATTAATAAAAAAGTAACTATTCCTAAATAATACGATTAAAATCAAAATAAAACCCAATTCCGGCAGTGCATTTAGCCAGGAAATAACCATAATTTAAGGTCTTTTTCCCTGTGCACCCTTTTGAAAGCCCAGTGGCGTCATTCGTAACTGTGTTTTTGGAAGTTTATGACTGGGATTTGGGGATGTTGATGGAAGAGGTGAGTTTTTTTTTGGGGGGCGGTACTAAAATAGACAGTCTAGATATGGTAAAAGGAAGATGATGACTCGGCCCAGGTGTTCGCCATATTACGTATGCATCGCGTAAGCTGCAGTTCGAAATGGGCAACAGGGAGAGCGTTAGAGAGAGAGCAAAGAGAGAGTTCGACACACAAAAACAGATAAAAGCTCTGTCGACGTCGGCAGAGGCGTCAGCATCGCGTGCTTACCGTTCGTTCAGTGTGTCGCTCTCTCTCTCTCTCTTCTCTGCCCCTGTGTATGTGCGTTTGTGTGTTTCAAGTTCAAGGTTAAGATACTAGTTGTACATACAGCACTTAGAGCCCAAAGAGCGAGCGAGCTGGCAACACGTAGTTGCCATAGTGCTGTGCTGTACCCGAATGCAATTGTGTGTGTGTGAGTATGTATGGCAAACCAGTTTGGCACGTTTCAGTGCGAGAAAGAGACGCCTACACGTGCGGCGGCAAACAAAGAGGAAGCAAAGGCAGCACAAAAAGCAAAAAGCAGAAGCACCAAACACAACGAAAGTAAAGGCGAAAAGTGCGAACAGAAAAAACAAAAAGTGACGGCGGCAAACATTCGATGGCAAAAGAATGGAAAGCGAGCAAACATCAGTCGCTCTCTTTCAGTCGCAAAAAGTAGCCTGTTCTACAGAGAAAGAAAGAAAGTATGTTATGGAAATATTTAAAAAATGTTAAACTCATATAGTTCAAAAACTACACAACTCATGATTTAGTTTCTTAAAAGTTTTTAAAATTTCTTTCAGTTTTTTAAATTGTTTATATTCTTTCATAAATTCATAAGAAGGTATTTCTTTTTGTGTAGCTGATTTTCGTCGCTCGCTTTGCGACACTTATTCGCACTTATTATTGCTCTATGCGTTTTGCCTTTCAGTTTTATTATCTTTCACTAACACACACACACACGCCATGGAATACACCCGTGAAGCTTTAATTGAATTGAAGTTGATGATTACGCTGAGTGGCGACTGCAATCACCCCTCCAAACCCTACCACCCCCTTTCAACCTGTCTGACTACCTGCCAAAGCAAAACAAGAATTTCTGTTGGCCATTTAATTAATCGCCAGCGTGTTCTTACTTAATGGACTCGTAGCTCAACAGAGTAAACACAGCAAAAAGCTGGAACATCGATCCCTTAAATACTTCGAAATTGATTCCATGCACCGCAAGAAAACTTATAATTTTTAAGGTGACTAAGTTAACTGGACTTAAACCATTTAAAACGGCTTAGATGTATATATTTCTTCCTAATTTATCACTAAAAACAAACACCAATTATTATCAAGTTTTTAATGATACAAAAAAACACCAACTAAGACTCATTTTCCAAGTGAAAGAACTTAATTTAGGAAATCCAATGTATTCCTAATTTTTTCCTTTAAAAATCAACTTTGTAACCACCTCAGACCTAATTTTTGCTACACTTATGGCACATAAATAGCACATAAAACTAAATTCCATTTTGCATAGCGGCGAGTTCGTTGCACCAGCAGTGCAATATGCAATATGCGTTGTGCGATGTACAATGCACTCGACGGGACCTTGAATCGGTCATTAAGGCGGGGTAGCGGCATAAAGCGAACTTAGAATATAGAATTCTATTTTGCCCACTGATTTATGCACACCAGCAGGGTGAATCACACTCTATGAGGCAGGGGAAACGAATGCTTTAGGTTTGGAAATTAGTCAAGTTACACCCTGAAAAAGGCATTTAAAAGGGTTGAGTTTAAGATCATTATTCATTGAAAACTAAAGTTAAAAAGTACTTTCATTTTATGTTCTTACGAATCAGAAGTCATATATAGTTTTGATATGCATTATGTTATATACAATCTTACTTACTGCCTTACTTTATTAAGAGTTAAAAGTTAAAAAATGAACTTAACAAACTCCAAATATTATTAGGCATTCCAATTAAAGAAATATGTAGATTGTTTTGTGTGCAAATTCCATCGAAAATTGCGCCCTCATAAAATGTGCAAACGAATGGCAAAACGAAATGTTTGTTTATAGACCAGCGCTTTTCATATGCTGGGGAATCGATAATGTTAGCCTGCATTTTATCGATGGTCTTCTAAACAAAAATCTCTTTGTTTGTTTATTTTTAGGGTGGTGAGCTGCGTCAGCATGGAAATTTAATTAGCGACAGTTCAGTTCAGCTGAGCAGCGTTTGGTTGAAGAAGATTGGACTGCCCATTGTCCTCACCCCCTTGCAAAATACCACCCACCAAAGGAGAAGAAGAAAAGTGGGTTGAGGAGATTTCGTTGATTTTTGCATGACGACAGCAAAAAGCGAAAAGGCGGAAACAACAATCGAAATGCAACTGCACAAGTGTGTGGGTGTGTGGGAGCAGGACAGACTATATAATACAGACATGCGCTCCCTCTCTCTCAGCGACTTGAACTTGAAAACTTTTTACTGCCGGCAAATTGAAAGAGAGAGAAAGCAGAGGAGAAGGAGGAAGAGCGAGCAGCAGCAGAGAGAGCGCTCAGCAGGTATGTGTATGTGAATGTTATCCATTGATTAAGTTAAACAAAAACAAAATCAGAACAGAGCGCAAGCTTTGCTCTCGCAGCTTTTGTTTTATTTATCGCGCCATAGAGAGCGAAAGCGAGAGCGTAGCTTTTGCGTGGGCGGCTTAAAGCAGCGCCGTCGACGTCGCTGCCGACGTCTGCCAACTGTTTGCTGTTTTGTTGTAGGCACATACTGTTGCATACTTAAGGGGATAGGAGGATACGTGGGGCGAAAATCGAATGAAAACGTCAGGCTGGAAAGTGAAGTGAAAAGCGGGAAAAGTGGAACCAAGGAGTGGGAAAGAGTGGGGGTGGCGTGACCTCCACCTGTGCGAGCCCAGCTGCAGCTTCCCTGCTGGCCAAGTGTTTATTCGGTGACTGGCGGGCGACCGATGAGGTCAGCATCACGCATACGCCTAGTTATCCCCCATATCCTGTTCAGTGTGTTAGTATTAGTGTGTTTTTGTGCTTGCGATTCGTTCCAAGTTCATTTTAAAGGCGCGTCACCCAAATAGCAAAATCAGGTGTGGAGAATTGATTAGTACGGCAAAAAAAATGAAAAACAAAATGGTAGAAAAATACAAACAATATGGTTGGTATTTTGCGTATGTGTGTGTGTGTTGTACTTACATAAAACTCAACTGAAGTGACGCACGCCAGCATATGGCAATTAAATTTGAATAATTAAGCAGCTGAGAACGACACGAACCGAACTCTCTTCCACACACACACACACGCGCACGCACCCATATACCTTTTTGCCATATGCAACACTCGTTGTTGTTATCTTGCACCTTGACCTTTCCACACCCATGCAGCAGTACGCGTGGGCAGCAGTTGGATACTTAGATACACACGCCCCTTTCAGGGGATCGGAGAGATATATATACTCGTTTATATAGAGCAACCCACAAGTCGGCTGGCAGCTGTTTGGAGCCGAATCAAAGGAGACGAGATGCACGCCAAAAACACTTCGGTCATTCTATAGAAAAGTGGTCCATTTGGACCAGCGCAGAGTTTCACAGATGACACACGGGCCATATATAAAGCATGCAGACAAGTGCAGGAAATAACATAGTTCAAATAGTGCTGGATATATTTATGAGTTCCCGTAAAGTTTATTGAGTTTATTATTGCGATTAGAGTATGGAATATCAAGGAGATGAGATACAAATAATAGGAAAAAGTAACTTATTTATAAGACAATTTTTATCTTTTTCTATATCATCACCAGAGAAGATAAAGTTAAAAAAGGGATAGAGAAAAATAAATTTAACTTTAATAAAAATAATGATAATAACGATAAGGGCTAGGAAGCAAAGAATATTTACGAGATTTCTATATTAAATTAGATTTTAAATTCTCAATGCACTTAGAGTGCCTTTGCATCGGATTGCGAAATTAAAATAGAACTTACTCACAAAGCGAATTAGTTAAGGCAGTTTAAAAGATACTTACAAAAACGACATAAACGGTAAATCGTGCTTAACTTTAAACTAAAAGTCTCTTTAATTGCATAAACCAACATTTTGCAAATTTTAAGAAAAAGTCAGTTTAAATTTTTGACGGGAACAGTGAAAAAAGTGACCAAAAATTAAACCAAAAAATGTAAAAATTAAAATAAAAAGTATACTTAAAAATAAATCAACTTTAAAAACGTATATTATACAAGTGCAGCTAAAGAAAACTCTTGTGAAAACTTCATCTTGGCAACTTAGCAAGAAAAGCAAGAAAAGTGGTTTGTGTCTCTGCTGAGCTTTTGACGAAAAGCAAAATTTTCATATGCATCTGCCATTGGGATACACCCTGTGCTCGCTTTGAATGAATTGCAAGCAAGTGAACACAGCTGGTGGTATCCATTGGCCGTTCTTGCATCCTTGCAGCTCCATTAACTCCAAGGATAAACCATAGAGAACTTTCAGCTTAAAGGTAAGTTCATGTTCAGATCTACCAAGTTTCCTACTCAGGATAATACCATTTGTTTTGCAAGTCCAATTTATCAATAATTTTCATTTCGTTTAATTGTTTCTTACATTCCGTTACAAACCTAATTTTGCCATACTAAAAAAAAAATGGGAGATTTTCTCTTAGCCATAAGCTTCAGTTCGATTCAACAAACTATTCATTTTCTACCCAAAAAGAAAAAAGAAAACAATGAAAAGAAAGATAAATTGGAATTTGAATAAAATAATCTTAAGACTTAAGAATCGTTTAAGAAAATAATCAGTGAGAAGACAAAAATTGCATATTAGATTATATTCAGCATTTTCTTGTTACACACACATTCAGAATGTTTATAATTTGGCTTTTCGGTTTCGGCTTCTCTTTAAGTTTTCCGCTTTGCTCCGAATTAACTTTTTTCTTTTTCAAATTCAAAATGCATTTGTATTTCTCCCAACGCCAGACGCACATTTCGAGGGGCCTTTGAGGTGCGATAATGGGCGCATCAAATGCAACGCTCTGAAAACTCTGCAAATCATTAATTATGGCCCGCACGAAAAGCAAACCGTCCGTAGTAATGAGTGAAATTTTGATCAGCTTTAGAAATCGCTGGCATAAACAATTAAAAACATCTTCATGCTGTAAATTGATTTTGTTTCTCTGTGATTTTTATCTACCTACTATATATATATATATATATATATATATTGTGTATATGTTTAGTTTTTCGCCTGATTTTTCAGTTTTCACCCAGTCGCGTGCATTTTGGTAGCAAAACGAAAGCAAAGCCATTTGGCATTTTCTATTTTCGTTTCGGTTCGGCTTTTTGGCTCAAAAAAAAAAAAACGGCACTCGACCAACTGCCAATGCATGGCGATTCGAATTGGCCAAGAGTTCTTGGTCCGAACTGCAGCTGTGCGAAAAGGCAACTTGGTGACATTATTTCGACATTTGCCTGCTCGCGGCTGCAGCCACTTTTGTCACTTTTGCATTTCAAATGACCGTCAATTATCCTTTGTCGACACTCCCCTTTGTCTTTGTCTCTTTCGATTTTCTATTTTCCTTTCTTTTTTTCTCTCCTCCCCTGAGGTCAAGGAAAACGAAATTGATTTTCTGCCCGAGCGGGTTTTTCTTTCCTTTACCACCCCACCTATATAGTATATGGGAACGTGTGCATTTAAGAGTCTTTCTCTTCGTGTTTCTTATGCAATCTCGTTGTTCTGTCACTGTCATGATTTTCTGTTCTTATTTTTCGCAGTTTGAATTTTCAAATTGCAGTGTAGAAATCAATTTTGCTCTCGGGGCTAACCGAAACAATTAACTGGTGGGTAATTAAAGATATCACCAGACTGTGCATTAAGCTTGCCCGACGCAGTCTCGCCTTTCGGTGACCTCATGACAAGTTTTATGATGAAATTAACTGCGATTGAAGTGCTCGCATATAAAACGCCATCAAATTCAATAAAAACTCGCACTCAAATAATAGACAATGGCTAAGCGCTGGGGCTTACGCAATCGAGGGATATAGAAATCAAGTTTAGGTTGTTTTAACGTCGGAAATAACAAGTTGATGGCCAACAAATTAAATCATTAATCGTTAGAGGGGACTATTATAGTTAAATACACTTTTTTATTAAGTCATCATATCGATCTATTCAAATTGATCTGTGGATGAGGTGAATACAAAAATTTTAGAAGGGTTTAATTTGATTAACTAAAAGTTGAGTTAGCAAAAGGTTAACTTAATATTTGGGGATTCATATTTGGGACTTTATGGAAATAATTTAATTTTCCAACTCATGAAAATCATTGATTCTGTTTAATCTAATCGAAGTTTATCGATATATTATTAGGAACCTTATTATTAAATTAACTTTTAAAGTTATCGATAGGATATAATCATTATCTATTAGGTAGAAAAATGAACTAGACAATTTCTTCAGATGTTAAAAGCAAATATTTTGACATCTTCAAAGAAACTCTTTTCCCAGGCATCAAACTGCTTAAGTTTTCCCCAAGTTTGTCATGACTTCGAATAGCCCATAAACTATTTCATTGACTTAAAACATCTGTCAGCGCACTTGCCATCATTTAACGCCCAAGATCGTGTGCTAGTAGCACTCGTTTTATCGAAATAATATTATAATGACAGTAAGGAGCAATAATCACACGAAATGCATCAGGTCGTGCATGACGAGATTAACAATACCGATACCAGCTGTTGGCCTCAAGCGGAACAATCGCGTTGGGAAAGCGGAATTTTCAATTTAAGGTTGACCTTAGAACAAAATTTGATCGATAATTTCGCATAATTGTGGAATCTCTCTCTCTCGCAAAAAAAAAGAAAAACACAAGAAAAAAAAAAAAACTGTGACACATGCACACACACACAAATACAAAACGCACACAGCGAAACATCACCTTGAACATTAAACTGCAACTGAGGGAGGGAGAACGAGATAGTGACAGCCAGTGACAGAGGGAGAAGAATAGATAAAGAGAGCTAGAGATAGGTTTTTGTTTGCGTCATGTGTGCAACTGCATGAAGCTTTTGGTTTCCGCTGTGCCTTTGTGTGCGAGTGTGGGATGAGAGAGCTTTTAACTGAAAGCTTACTCTCTTTGTTTCTCTCTCTCTCTCTCTCTTTTTAATTTTTTATCGTCTTAGCTTTTTTTGAACGAGCCGAGCAGCTGACAGTTGCGCTTCAGCATTAGACCAAAGTAGTTTGACTTTTAAGTTTTTAGCCGCGAAATCAAAAGTGTCTGTGTGTGCTCGCTGGTGTGTTCGTACGACTGTGTGTGTGTGTGTGTGTTGTGGCAGCTGCATTTGCAGCGAGAGACAGAAATACATTTCGTACAAAAATTCCGCCCTGCATTTAGTATATTTCACCTTAGAGCGTCTTTGCCACACAACCAAACACTCACACACACGCACATACACACACACACAAAGTAGCAAAACTAGCGACAGACACACACGTGGCCATCAAAACGGTATCGGTTCGCGTCGCGTTTGGCCTAAAATTGTAACAGTTTTCCTTTTTACAACAACGAACATAACGAACAAGAAGAAGTAAAGCCAAAAGAAACGCAGCTGCAGTCGACGTCGCTGCCAGCTGCTCGCTGCAATCGCCGACATTCGTTTCTGTTTGGCCAATTGCCGTTGGCCAGCTTCAGTGTTCATTTCCCCATCGAAACGGCAACAACGAGCGGAAGTCGCAAAAAACAGAATAACAAAAGGCAGAGCCAACGGAGCAGTCGATCGATCCACACAAGAACAGCTGATTAATACTGCACTTAACATCGTTTCATAGTGTGATTTCCCAAAAGCCCTGGATTGCATAAACATAAATTCCTATACCCATAAAATCCCAAATATTTTTTCGGTGGCGTATACGTAATATCAGTTGAATAGCTGTGCACATCTGCCATTGCAATTGCAATTCGCTGGGCATTATGCAATGGCACAAACAAAGAGACACCCTGTAATTGGCATGGCGAATAGGCAACAACAAAACAATGCATGTGCATTTACACACACACACACACACGCACACGGGTGTAGTTTTTGTGTGTCTAGTCGGGCAATTTGTTTAAAACAATCAGCGGTCTCTCCTCTCATTCGCACTCATTGCAGTCACTGATTTAAATTTAGTATCGCTGCAATGGCTTGTAACCCAAATTTGATGCATCCTTCTCTTTCTCTCTCTTTTCCTCTCCCTCTCTCTGTTGGTTTTTCTCTTATATAAGAGATGCTCAAACAAAAGCATTAATTGTGGAAAATGTTTAACTACTACTGCTAGGCAATCCCCATCTTAATTTCAATCTCAATTAAAGCCTGACTTTCGGCGACTTCAAAGGAGGTAGATAAAATTCAGGCGAGGGCAATTAAATCGGAGGCACTTGCAATCCGAGAGCAACAACTCACACTCGGCCACTTGACCTTGCACGGTTTCGCCATGCGAATATCACACACACTCACCATACAGTACGTATACGTACTGTGGGCCAGAATGTGTTCGTGTATAGAGAGGTAACACAGAAAATTGCAATATTTTGTGTAAAAATAACGAACCGACTTTTACATAAGGCCATCGGTACATAGAGAAAAACACATAGACACACGCTAACACTCATCACAAATCGCCATTCACCTGTCATGGTGTGTGAGTGTAGTGTGGGTGGGTGTTATGAGGTCGATTTTTGTTGTTTTTGCCCCTACTCATAGTCATGTGTGTGTGTGTGTGGGTGGATGACTGAAAAATGCATTTGACACAGAAAACAGGCGTGCAAACACAAACAGATATCGCAAGGCAGATATTTCCAAAGCCAAAGAAAATTCACAAACGACAAGAAAACGAAACAACAGCTTATCTTGGAAAAATTTCAATGATTCATGGCAAAAATCCCCTTTTGATTGATTTCATGTCAAGATGTTAGAGAAAAACCAGTTTAAAGCCATGACTAAAACTGTCTACAAAAATTCACAAAAACTTGTTAAAGATTTTATGCAAAATTAACTTAAAATTATTTTCAAATAATTTATAAATTTCATGTCTGAACTTTGCAGTCTGCTATATGTTATAAACACAGCAAATTAAATTTATAAATATACCTTGCATATAGCTTGTTTTTTTTTTATAAACAATTCCCTCTTGTTAGATTTGCATTTGGATTTTGGACCTTAACTGATATCAGCAGCCGGTGGCAGACAGAAGTTGTCATCGCTAAAACAACCTCTATAAACAGATATCGTTATGACATCATTGTTGGCGGCACTCTGTGATGGATCATTGACTTTATACACTCATACCTATATAGTCAGTCAGCCTCACTTATATCGATTTAGAGTCCTAATTTGTCAGTTCACCAGACTAAAATGATTAGCACTTGCTGATAAGCTAGCTTAGTCTAGCAGTTAGTATTTGTTTGGCATTTTAAAAGACAAAAATGAATCACGTGTTATAGGCATTTCAAAATTTCGAAATATATATTTTTTTTTGAATTAAATATATATATATTTATACTCATATATTGCGAAATGTTTGGCTAACAGAAGCGACCTTCAGCCCGGACCACAAGGTCGTTCGTTCATGGGGAGATGGCAATGCAGCAGCAGCCTGCAAAACTACTCCGCATGGAGGTCGATCTGCCACCCCCCATCGTTCGCTCTACAGCAGTTATGTAAAAAGGGAAATTGGGTCAGTGTTATGACCTAGTTTTCTTTCAACCCCCTACCCCTTTGAAGGCTAGAAGGGGTAGGGGGAAGTCAAACAAACCCCCTAGCAAGTTGCAGTTTGATTAGTTTGAAATGGGCTTTTTGGCACCTCCGATAATTACAATTGGATGGGCTTCGTGACGCCGCTTATTGATTTTTAGTCAAGCCGTCAGGCTTATACATATATATATATATATATATATATAGTATAGCCAACCTAGATAACTTTGGGCTGGCCCAAGAGTATGGGTATATCTATCGGATACACGGCACCATCCATGGCCTGGCCGCCTGCAGTCGTGAGCTTAGCCAAGGAGCCAAAAATAAAAATTCTCTTTGGCTACGAGCCAAATGCAGTGCACATTGGATTGCTTTGGATACGGGCAAGGGTGTGGATTGGAGGGCGGTGTTCATTTGCAGGCGAAAATGAAAAGTGAAATGTTGCCATGCCACAAAGTCTGCAATAAAGAGAAAAAGTAAAAGCAGGGAAATTTATCTATATTTATTTGCCAGAATGCTGACATTTATTAGTTTTGGCCCATCCATTGAATTAAGCCAAATAGTGCTCTATAAATATGGCTAAACTGCAGTTGGATGACAAATTTATGGCCGACTGCATAACTCATCTATTACCCACTTTTGGACACCCGCCCCGCTTTGCCGTTAACCCTTTTTTGTGTTGCAAATTCAATGCACACTTGTATGTGTCACTCTACTTGCCACTTATTACACCACCCAGAAGGCTAAAGACACGCCACACGAGACAGTGCTTGAGTAGGCCTAAAGTCTATAGTCTATAGCCTGAAACGATTTGGGTCAACCTGAGCCTGAGCCAACAACGACAACAACAAGCGTTTTTATTGATGTCTTTTCAACCAGAAGTCGCAGTTCGTTTGTTGTTCCTTGCAAAACAGTTTAAACTTTGATGAACTCAGTCGTCAGTTATTCAAAGAAAGTTTTCCTAAGTATCTGAATTATTTAACTGTGTTGAAAGGAGTTTCCCAGAAAGCAAACAAGCTGAAGAAAGTGTTTCCTAAAGACTTAAGCTTAGGAAACATTCCAAGAAACTTGCGTATTTGGTAGTTTTTTTCACATATATATTTCCTTTTAGTAAATCTTTTTAGAAATGACGCCCATCTGTGTATTATTGTTTTGGTCGGACCTTCCCCTATTTCTCCATATACTTTCTAGTTCCTCTTTCATACGCACAAAGCTCTGATCTTTATGATCTTTCATTTTTAGGTATCACGCCTCTAACGCATGACTCAGTTCGTTTTCTTCAATTCTTTAATTTTAGACGAATACGAATATTTGCCATAAAGCCAAAGCCAAAAAAAAAGAAGAGAAAGAAACGTGTTCGTCATTAGTTAGCTGCGTCAATTGCGGGCTCTGTTATTTATAAATGCCGCTGGGGCAGCCACGTAAATGGTGACGGAAAACGATAGAGCCTGTTGGAATTTCTTACTTCCAGCTAAATGCTAATCGTGGATACAACAAAATTCTTATCGCTATGTTGCCAGGCAAACTACGCAAACAGACTAAAAAATCTGACGAAAAACAGCGAAAAAAAAACGGAAATCATTCACAAAAATTTGTATAAAATTTCGACAGTCAGACAGTTAGGGCTCTGTTTTGCCTTTTAGAATTGTCTGGCTGAGTTTTTGTTGTTGTTTCCCGTCTGCAGATAAAGAATCGAATAGCAAACATTCCGAGTCTGTGATTACGTATACGCAGCGTTCGCCGAGCGATAGGTTTTTCCTCCTTTTGCGGGTGCGCGTGTGATTTTCAGCCTACGAAATTTCATGAATTCGTATCTGTTTCTGAGTCAGTCGAGTGTGTATTTAGCAGATAATAAGTGCCAGAGTTAGTGTGCGTGTTTTTCTGTTGGTGCGGCTGATCATGCGACCCACGGAATAAAAAGAGGAAGGGGAAGGTTCTCTCTCTTTCTGATACTCTACGTGGGGGTACTCCGATTTTGATAGTTCGTTTGTTACTTAAAAGAAATATGAATTATCCGCTTGCTGAGAGACCCTCTTGGAATGTAATTATTACCAGATACCAGAAACAAAGTTGGAAACCCTATTATTTTTCCCACCTCAGCTTGCTAGCTTCATATTTCACAGTATTCTTCTAGCTCTTGCAATTCTTTTTTGGCCAAGCCAAACAGTAATTTATTTAAGTAACGTTATGGCCCTCCACTTCGGTTTGGTAACACTTCGGGTCACTTCCGGTGACGACAACTTCTTTGAAACTCTCTGTTGGCTGGCAGTGGCAGCTTTTATGACCCAGATAAAAGTAAACGTGTTGGTCAACGCAATGTTATGGAAAAGAGAGGGGCAACCCGGAGGAGGCACTGAAAAACTGGGTATCCAAGGGGCCATCGGTTCATGAAGTGCTAATGAAAAATGCTCAGCATTTGCCTAATGAAATTATAACTGAGCCACTAAGTGGGCCATAAAGAGGAGCAAAGAGAGACCCAGTAGAATTAGGGGGTGAGAAGAAGGTGTTTTCGGGGCATTTTAGAAATTTTTCATTCAGCTAGCAGGTCGACCATCGACCATGTAACCCATTTAACGCACATGGAAACGAACAGCGGTTTGACAGGCGGCGGCACCAGCAGCACATGGAAGCACAATTTTGTTTCTTTATTCAGTTAACGCTTTTTAAGCTCATGAGCTAGCTTTTCATTTATCAATACACACATTTGCTCGCACATAGCGACACAAATGAACAATAATTTATTTAATTGCCCGAGCTCTTGTTCTTTCGAAATTAGAACACACAGCCACTAATACACTCACTGTTTACTGGCACGCGATTAAAAACTAAATGGTTACACACATATTATGAATTTTACAAGCTAAAACAGTTTATTATCTGCCAGATATTCTATATGTTTATGTGTCTATGTGTGTGTGAGTGCATATAGATGACACATAGCGTATACGCAGTGTGTTTTTTCTCTTTTTCTTAATTGCGAAAATGTTGTTTTTCGTGCTTTGTTGCCCCACTCAAGATTCGTTGGTTATGGATTTGATTCTACAATTATTGTTAGCATTGGTCTTGTTCCTCCACTTCTTGCCGTTTGTTTGTTGGCTTACTGATTCGGTCCCAATGGCCAATACCCAATGCTCAATGTTTTGGCCTCGTTTTTGGATTTATTTTCCGTTTATGCGCCACACCTCGAGAGTCAAGTAAAGAGGCAGCCAAGCAAGTCGAAATTGAAGGCTGCCTGCATTGGCCAAACTGCGCCCCTTTTTGCCAGAATTGAAATGAATCTCTGCTCCAGAAAACATTGGGAACTTGCCTTTTCGATTTGATATTTTAGTTTAGGCCGTTTTTGAGTACATATTACACAAATTCAGCAATGGATTACTTTTCTTGAGCAATCATTTTATAATCGCCCTGCTTATCTTATCGCCCCCAAACTATTCGAATGTGGACTGCCAAAGGGCATACCATTCAGTTTCCGCCCAGCTTTAACCAGCTTACAATCCACTGACTGATGGGCCAGAACCATATATAAGTTGAAAGGAAAATAAGACTCAGGTCGAATGACATTTGGTGACACACAAACGACTTGTATAACCGATCGGCGATCGGCAATCAGCGATCCACATCGACCCACTTTGTATAGGCACATACACACCCCTCGAGACCCACCTAAATATATATACATATATATCGCTTCGATCCGCTGGTTATACTATACATAATCACTATCAGCTGCGCACCTTGGCACCTGCGACTGCTTATCACCTGTTCAGTGAGCATTGGGGGATCGGGTCCCCAGCTCATGGTTCATTGTACCCGGTTTTCCAGTCTCATTCCCATTTCCACTTCACTTTTGTTCTGCATGCTTTTGAGCTATGTTTTTGGAGTTTCCTTTTTTGGTTCAGTTCTCTTTTTCCAATTAACCAATAAAAGCCACCAGAAGATCGATTGACTGCCCCACCAAAAACAAAAATAAAAAGAAACGCGACGCCGCGCCGTGCTGAACATAATTTTGTTTGTTTTGTTTCAGTTTTAAATATGTATATATATATATATGATGTATAAACGATAATAATAATGGGCATAAATGCATCCTTAAAAAAGTTTTGGGCTGCGTGTCAGGAGTGCATTTGCACTGAAACATTCTGAAGCATGTAAATGCACTATCTGGTACGACATTCCAGAACGTACAATCTTCCCGAATGCAAGAAAATGCGAATAATAATGAAAATATGCAATTTTTGTGATAGTGTGTTAAAACATAATTCTCAAAACTGATTATCTTAACTAAATAGTTATAAATAAGTTTACTTTTTAATCTTAAATATATGTAAGAAACTGTTTTTAAATAAAGAAAAATATAATAAAAAAAAATATATGATTATCTTCTATGAAGAATTTTGTAAAAGTATATGTATGTGGTTTTATTTTGTTTTTGCCAAGGGAACTTTGCATGTTGAGGGCAGCCAGCAGTGAACTATTGAAATTCCACGGAGATAAAACCTTCGGTGGCAAGGTTTCCTAGCCACGACATCGCTGAGCTCGCGACGACCTTGGCCACTCCGACTCTAATTGGCTCAATTAAAATGATTACAGTTGTGACACGGAGCTCTGCGATTTCATACTTAACTTGGCCATAAATTATTTATACAAGAAATCTAGGTTGTTTTGGTTCTCAGAGACGAACTAAACTAAAGTAGATCTTTCATATCCAAGAATAACTTTCAGAACTCCAAAACTTTCCCTTTTTTGATTTGAAAACTAAAAGCCTAACATTGCATATTTTACAGCGCTATGATTCTGCCCGCACATACCAAGCCCCCACTGCCCCCCAAAGAGCTTTTGACGACACGCAGCGTAGCATAAAAAGCAGCATATCGGGAAATCCCCCTGCCCAACCCAACATTGGCCAAAAGGTGGCGCTCATTGCGCCAGAATGAAAAGCTCAGCAAACTGAAGTTTGGTTGAAAAAAACATCCGCAAGATGGTGAGAGGTTTAGCCGACTCTATGTGGTTTATGTACTTAATATTTAAAAATAACCGTTTACCATGTATGTTTTGTTCTATTCATCTGTCATTAAGATCCCGTATTAACCAAATTAGTGACAACACTAAATCAAGTAACCTCAATTGGCTATGCGCTTTGGCAGTGTGGTTAGCTGGTTGTGTAGCCAATTTTGCCGTTGAAAATTCACAGCCACTATCTTCACTGCCGCCGCGACAAGCTAAAGCAACGATAATGATAGTTTATAGGAGGAGATGGAAGAAGTCACCCTGAACCAGAAGGGGAAGAATGGGCATTAAGAAGACCCTTCAGTTTACCTACTCCATGGAGAGATGCAGCTTCAGCCTGTCCAGACATCCAACTACAAATCAATCCTTAACTTTTCCAGAAACACTATCATGTATTAGTAACCCATCATCACTATTTCTAAGCCATTCAAATAGTATTAAAATTAATAATATTAAAAACTTCTCGGCATATGTAAAACCTCAACTAATTTTATATAGCAAAATAAAATATAGATCCACCCCTTTTACTGCTCTAAACCAATTCAAAAACCATTTTGAAAATATATAGAAAAATCAACTTTAAATTTAGCAAGACAAAATTGAAATAAATTCGAAGTTCTTTAGTTTTGATGGTTTGTTTTGTTTTATATATATAAATTTTAAATTAATAAAATTTACTTGCTATATTTCTATTCTTTATAAGTTCATCTTTATATAAATAATAAATTTAAATCGCACATTTTTTCTCATTATATTTATATTTTTACGTTTATGTTTTTATGCAGTTTTTTGTTTGGATTTCTTTTTGTTTTTTTTTTTTTTTTTTTTATTTAATTTGAATTACACAACATTATTTAGATTTATCTTTATTCGGTACCGTTATCGTTATCATTATCTCCTTTTTCTTTAATGTATGTTAAAATGTGTTTGTTGTTGTTTGCTTTTCTTACATATTATTGACACTGCGTTCTTCCAAATAAGACAGAAGAATTGTTGTTTTCTTTAGCTGTTTTTGTCCTTAGATGGTTTATGGTGGCTTTACATCGTATTTATATTCCTTATGTTTGTTTGGGGGCTTCTATTATGGTTTTCCTTTCATTCAAATGTTTTTTTTTTCATTTTTTGCATTTCTCGTTGATTGTGTTTTCAATGCACTCTGCACGTTACTTGCTTTAAATAATTTAAGAGTATTTAATAGAGGACTAAGTTAGTATACGCTTTGTAGGTTTGGCGAAGTAAATTATATATTTATAAAACAAAATCAAATTCATTGCGTTTTCCTTCCCATCTCTTGTATGAGCGAGCGCGTGTATTTTGTATGTTAGATTTTGATGTTTGAATGGTGTAATATGTGGGTATGAGTGTAGTATGTAGGATGTGGGGTTGGATGTGTGTTAATAATAGTAAATAAATACAACATTATACAAATAAGAGAGGAGGATTTCCATGTTGTAACGAACAAAATAAACAATGAAACGCTGCAAAAGGCTCCAAGACGAACAGGGAGCTTGCCTTGCGTTTGTTTATTTTGTTGAAATTTTTATATTAGCAACTTCTAAACGCGCTCTGGCATTTACAATGGTTAAACTAAACAATAATAATACAAAAAATAATGGTAAAATTGAAATTGATAATCAGCTAGGCGAATAAACTTGTTGCTTGCACGACGAATTATACACAAAAAAACACATCATGACAGACGCAAAATTTAAAATTAATTTAACCAAAAACAAAAAAATGCAATTATATTATTCTCGTTTTATTATAATATGCATATAACTAGAAACTTTTCAAGTCGACGCCAAAATAAAGAGGCCCTTTAGAAGTGCCTCTCTCAGTCGTCAGGTTTTCTTTAGATTTTCCTTTCGAAAAACTACGCTAATTTCCGGGATTAGAGTTTAAGTTTTAGTTTACATATTCAATGTTTCCCTTTCGATTCGTTCGTTTTGCTTGTTAATAATTGCCTTGAATTTGTTTTATACATAAATATAATTCATTTTGATTGTTATTGAAGCTTTCTCTTGTTTAGTTTTTTAGTTTCAATTCAAATTATAAGCCTAGGCATGAATTTTCTTTTATTTCTTTTTTTTTTTGCTTTCTTTTTGTGTATAATTCGAACTGTGTTTGGGTGTGTATGTATATGTGTAAGTGAGTGTATTCTTGTGTGTTAGTATATGCTTTTACATTTGTTACATATTTCATGTACTTTAATTTTTTCGTTTCATTTTTTTTAGTTACTCATAATAGTTTCTCAAACAATTTGTTAGTGTTGTTTTCTAATGTTGTTGTTGTTGTTGCTGCTGTTGTTCTAGTGTCTGCTGTTGCTTGGATGTGTTGTTGTTGGTTTTTTGTTGTTCTTGGTTGTGTTATGTGGCGGCTATATTCAGAGACACCAACATGAATATTAAACTGCCCCCGCTGCGCATACAATATAGTTACTCCGCTATACGATGTGCAATTTGTGTTCATGTTGTTCCTTCCAATCCGTTAGTTGCTGCTGTCGCTGCTGCTGTTGTTACCGCTTTTTGGCCACTTGGCGGCGGCTTAGGACGTGCCATTGACCAGACCTTCTTTTTTGACATTCTCCGTCAGCTGCTGCTGTCCGGCTGGCTGGTCCGTGTGGTTGTTGCTGCGATTCTTGTTGTTGCGTCGCGGTTTCGGCTGCTGTTGCTGCTGCTGTGGCGCCTGCTGTTGCTGTACCTGCGACGGCTGTTGCTGCTGTGTGCCCGCCTGCTGCTTGTCCCCGTTGCGTGAGGCATCCTTTGACTTGCTCGCACCGCCAGCGGCGTTCGCATTACCGCTGTTCTGTTTGCTGGCATCTCCGGCGTTCAGTGCCGCCTTGTTAGCAGGCGCCGTCGGCTGTTGCTGTAGTTGCTGCTGCTGCTGTTGTTGCGGCTGCTGCGCCGACTGGGGTTTGTTGTTGTTATTGGCCACCGCTCCATTTGCTGGAAAATGTTAAAGAGGACATTTTAGCAGGCAAGTTGGGGGTAAGTAAGCTAGCACTAATTGCATTATACTCACTGTTACTGGGTCCATTGTTGTTCTTCTGCCTTCTACGCCTCCGCGAGCTGCCCTCGTACGACGAGTTACTGTCCGCTGTGAAGAGGAGGATAAAGGTTTAAACATCATTTGCATCCAGGTTAGAGTTAAGGATGTCGGTAGATAAAGTAACAGCACACAGTATCAAGTTAAAGTTAGTTTATATATCTTCCGAAATAAAATATAAAAACATCTTTTAGCCTTTTTTTTTTTAGAGATATTAAACGGCGATTTATGAAAGTTTTCTAGCGTTTTACTGATAAATAGGAAGAAGACAACAACTATGTTAAAATATAAACTAGCAAGCAAGCTGGACCCTTATGATTTCATGTTTGTTTTTATTTTTGCTTTTATTTATAATCTACACAAACCCAGTTCTGCATTTCGATTGAAATTACCCTTCGATTGATAGCGATGACGAAAATAAAAGCACTTTTAATTAAAATTAAAATTAAAAAATATTTTTAGAATTATTCAATCTCTTAATAAGTTTATTATGATAGTTTACACACAAAAAACTAAAATGATATCGTTTAATTTATTTTTATTGAGAGCCTAAAAGTATAGGAAATGAGAAACAGTCCTTAACGTAATACTCTTTAATAACTAATAAACTTGCTGTACAGATTTTCTCGTTTTCTTGACCCCACACACACATGATGTCCATTTGATGGGAGAGGGGATCGAGTATTCACTTTGTATCTTGTTTGAGCGCGCGAAATAAATTGATTCAACTAATTGGTTAATTGGCAGAATGATTCACGGAACTCACCTCTCTCCACGCTGCTCACTTCACGGGTCTCTCGCACCTCCTCGGCGGTGTGGTTGTGGTGCTGATAGTCCCTGCCGTTCTGCTGTTCGTTGCGTGGCGGCCGACGGTTGATTCCACCGCGCCTGTTGTTGCCGGCGCCACCGCCACGATAGTTACCGCTGTTGTCGCCACTACCGCGATCGTTGTAGCCGCGCTGCTGGTCGCGCTGATGATCACCCCGTGAATTGTAGTCATCCTCATCGCGGCGATTGTTGTGATAGCGTTGATTCAGACCATTACCGCCACCAGGACCGCCACCACCACGTCCACGACCACGACTACGTTGACCGCCGCCACCACCGCGCATGGAGCGCACAGACTCGATGTCGCTGCTGTAGCCGCGCTCAGAGCGCCGCGTTGCTGGGAAGCTCTGTGTGGAGCCCGTGGAGGACTCTTGGATGGCGCGAAGTTGCTGATCGATCTCCAGCTTCTCCTGGCGCAACTGTTCCACTTCCTTAGGAGTTATACAAAACGGATTAGCTTGAGTGAACCTCAGCTTAATCTGACCAGACTCACCTTCAGATGCGACAGATGATACTCCAACAGCACTTTGGCATTCGCAATGCTCTCCACGGTACCAATGAACACAAAGGGTACGTGCGCCAGCTCACGTGGGATGTTCTGGTCCTGTTCGTCGTCGCCAGCGATCTGACCGATAAAGATTAGAACGAGCCCGCATTTAGAGCACAATACTCACAGCACTCACCTTGATTCGAAACACGCCACTTTTGTCCACAATTTCCTGGATGATGCGTCCATTCTTGCCGATCACCTTACCCACCAGCTCCCTCGGCACCTGGAAGAACTCCTCGGCATACTCGAGCATAGCACGAGCACGCTGCACAGACTCCTCGGTCTCTCCGCTGATCTTGAATGTGCAAGACTTCTCCTCCAGCTCGATGTTGGTGACGCCGACCAGCGTGCGTGCCGCTTGTATATTCGAGCCATGCGAGCCTATGGCCAAGCCCATGAGATCGTCACGCACACGGAACTCCTCAACGTAGTTTCTGCAGAAATAAATTTCAATTGATTGAGTGTTTAATTTAGTTTAATTTATAGTATATTAAGTTATTGTACTTACCCACGGCTCATCAGTTTAGTCGTTTCGAGCTGACGAGCAGCTTCTTCAGTCCTTTTCAACAGCATAACCTGCAAGTCAATAAAGTTTAGTTAACTGATTTAAGCCTTATTAAACGGACTTCATACCTTTTGTGAGAGATTACGAAAATGCATATCCTTGAGCATGCTGGCACGCTTCTGAGTGTGCTCCCACTTGGAGATGACGATCAGGGCGTCCAGATCGCGACTGTAGTTGCAGACGCCAGCATCAATTCTGCGCTGAAACTCCTTGTGTATGCCATCCTTCTGGGCTCTGTTATTAAATAAAAATAATAAAGAAGATAAAATTATAGATTCTAAAGCAATATATCAAAGATATACTCACTCTTCGCGCAACTCTTCGGGAACGGGTAGCGTGAACTGGTAGAAGGACTTGGCTGTAATTGGCGGATTCGAGTTTTTGGCGCGCAGACGGCCCAGTTCGCAGATTTCGGTGTAGGGCGTCTCGAAACCGATGTACGCTACCGCACAGATATCTGCTTTGAGCATTTTGATGATGGCCACCCACCAACCGCAGGTCTCGCGCTCGTTCGTGCGCGTGAACACCTCCACCTCCATGCCCTCCTCAAAGATCGGGGCGGCCACCTCAACGGTTTCCTCGGGCGGCAGGCGGACGTTCACAAATGGATATTTCATCACCTCGGGCACGCTGCAACAATGCGTGTGCGGAGAAAACAGAATTAATTAATTAAGGTGCACTTGTTATTATTTTTATTTTTATTTTTTTTTTTTTTTGCATAAAAGTCTGCGGACAGGTGTTTGCAGATTCCTCTGCTACTACTTGCAGCTGCTCTGCTGGCAGAGGCCCAAGTAACAGCAACAACAACCATTGTGGGGGTGACACAGCAGACCCATGTCCATTCCCATTTTCATTCCCTCTGCTACCAAGCTCATCCCAAATCCCTTCAAGAAACACAAATCGGAAATGCCACACAGTCCGACAGGATAGTTTGGTGCAACTAAATTTAGATCCAGCTGCTCAGCTCTAGAATATATCGGTGTGTGAGAGATGGAAGACAAGAAAAACCAAATCTAAATCAAAAAACAAAAAGAAACTTTCGTTCCAAAAGTGTCACAAGAAATGCAGCCAAAGCGGCAGCAATTAAAAGTCATTAAACGGCGATTTAATACACTTTGGACTCAATATAAATATATATTAGATCATATATAATAAACTAGATCAAGAATCTTTCAGTGCCACCTTTCCGTTTTTCAAAAATAGCCATTGACTACAACATTTCAACTTCAAGCAACCATAAGTCATAGCAAGTTGTTAGGCCATAACAATAAATCAAAAATCTCATGATGTGAGAAGGTAAATCATTATAAAAGTAGTCTGCAATAAGATTTAAGATACATACTTTAAGATTTAGAGCAACAAGAGGTAATTAAGTAAAATTTTAACATGAGCATACCCATATAAATTTTAGTAACAAGACGTTTAGTCAGATCATCATAACCGAATTGGAAATAAATAAATAAATATAAATGGTTTCTTTCCGCGGTTAAAAATAGTCGCGCCTTTGACGCTGGTCGCCGTGTCAGCGCCGCTGCTTAGTGGCATTTGTCGCTCGCACTTGACAGCTTTGGCAGAGATGGAAGCCATCCCCTCCCCTACTCCCTTCTCAGCTCTATAGAAAGATTGCCTCTGGGACACGGATTCGGGAACTTCCCAAGTCAGTGGGGCGGACAGTCTTGGTCAGTCAGTCCGTCAGTCAGCAGTTTTTTTTTTGTATTTATTTATCTTTTTTGTTCTGCTTGCGAAGAAACTACTATTTTTGCTGCTGTTGCAGCGGAGGAAGGCACTGGCGTTTAACAAATTGCGCCAAATTAGAGAATCCGCAGAAGGGGTTCTCGGTGGGAAGTGGCTAAGGCGGATGGCGGACGGACGACATAAATGATGCGTGCCCAGAATCTCTAATTTCTAATTTGGATGCCAAGAAGTCGCGTCAGTGGTTGCTGCTGCTGCTGCTGCTGCTGCTCTCTCTGCTCCTCTGATTGTATTAATCGTTGCAAATTAGTTAGAAAATATACGCTCTAAGAGTTGTTGTTTGCCCTGTTCGCAGATTTGTTTGTTTGAATAAACTTACCCGTCCACATCCACAAAGATGCCATCATCGCCGACAGCTGTCACCTGGCCCTGTGGTGGTTGTTATTGTTGTTGTCGCAGTTTTTAGTTTGCATTTGTGTCAGTTGTAGTTTTTTGTTGGCGGCAAGCGGCAAACGGATGAAATACAAGAGCATTGACAGGGCCAGCATCGGGAGGCAGCATAGAAGTAGAGAGAAAAATGTGTGTCATTAATGTGGCTATTGCCTATGATATTCTTTCATTCGACTTATATATATATAAATATAAATCTATTTATTATATTTTTATGATGGCCCCACTCCGAAATGCCCGACAAAACAATGTGGAATCAGGGAATGCAAAAGCAGCAGAGAGAAAGGAACCCTATATCTCCGATAAGAGAGTATAGTCGTAGAACCTTATCCGAAATGCAAACAGCCGACTGCTGAATCATCACCATCATCAGGGAAGTCTCTCTATCGAGTGTGTTTATATGCACTTAACTTGGTTTGTTTACGAGCACTGTAATCAAAGGCAATGCTATGCGAAATATTCTTCACTAATTCAACAGTTTTCCGAAAGATTCCAGGAATGAAATGTGATAATGGAACATTGAAATGGATTTGCAAAAGAATCTTTAAACTCTTAAAAGCAAACCAAAGTTAAGCATGAATAAAATGGCATTTAAGGTTCAAACTAATCTAGTTATCTATGATAATGATTCATAAAGTAAAGTGGCGTTAGATTTTAGTCCATGTCATTCAAATTCTTTCATTCCTCCTCATGTTATTCTGAACAATTCAAAACTAACTAACAAAATAATACTAAGAGATAAAAATTTTCACCAATTTCTGAAATAAAATGACAAAACACACCTGATAAAGCTCATTTGACAAATGATCTAAATCCTATTTCGTTTGAAAACCAAACATTTGAATCCAATCAGCCAAATCACTTAATCGCGAAATAGGAAATAGTTAAAACGGCTCTTATCTTAATAAATTGCAACGTTTTGAAAGGGAAATCACCAAAACAACGAATGCCCGACGACGTCAGTGGGCAGAGCAGTAAGCGGCGCAGTAAGCGACGCAGCCAACGTCAACGTCGATGCCGACGTCGGCACCCCCACAACGCGGTGTGCGTGAGTGCGTTGGTGTATGCACGGCTAGTATTGGTATAGTAGTAGTGGTGATGGTGATGGTGGTGGTGGCGATGATGTCGAGACTCCACTCAAAATGTTGCTGTTTATTTATAGAAATAAAGCTAAAATCCACGAAATTAGAAACTGAGGCAGCTGCTGCCCCAACTCCTTGATTGTTTTTTTTTGGCTCTCTTTTTTTTCCACCCTCTCTTGGAAAACCCTTTTATTTTCTTCTTTTAGTTTCATCTACTCACCTTGTAGTAGGCGCCATTGTCGAGCCGAACTTCCACGAGAAGATCTTCCATGTTGCCGGACGCAGTGCCTCCTGGTTTATCTGCTTTGTTTTGGTTTTGGTTCTGGTGGTTCTTCGCCGTCCGTCCCTGTCCCTCCTGCTGCTGCTGCCCAGCCTTCAACTCCCGACTATTCCCCGTCGACTGCAGTTTGCCGTGTTATCTGGGATTCCTGTGGGCACAATCATAGGGGTATTATTTAGATATCTATATGATTAATTAACCAATATACTTACAATTCAGTGTGCAGTGGCAGAATCGTCGCGTTCCTGCTCTTAGTTCCTTGTAATCAAATCAGTCTTTTGCTTTGCGGCTGCTTTAAATCTTTAAATGTTGCCTGCAAAGCAATAAAAATGGAATGGAATGGTTTTGTTTTCTGGATTTTTTTTATAGGTTTGAGGGGGAAACTGAATTTTGACGCACTGGCAGTCAAAAAAAAATATAAATGAAAATTTTGAAGTTATTTTGGGGGCCAGAAAATTCCTGGCTAAGCACACAAAATGCAGCCAGCTGCGTCGCCGGCAGTGACGTCGACTGTGGCAGCAATTTTGCCGGCAGCGCAGCAGCGTAGTGCTTCCTCTTCTTCTTTGTCTTTCCTTTGGTTTGTGTGTGTGTCCGCCGCCGCCGCCGCCACACACACACAGATGTATACAACCAAGCGTGTGCGCGCTCTCTCGCTCTCTTCCTCACTCACTCTCTCGCCGCCGAAATGTTTCGCTCGTTCGTTCACACCGATGAGCACGCTTTTCCAATAAGAATTTCACTCACACTAAGAAACGGCACATGCCGAATTTACATATCGAATTTACACATAATTTCCACACTTGCTTCCGTTTTTCGTTTTTCTTTCAGAGAAAATCCATCAGCGTTGCGTAGCCGCTTGACGGTTTTTATAATTCTCGTTTTTCCTCTTTCAGCTGCTCCCTTTTGCTGCTGCTGCTGCGTTACCGCTGCTGCCGGCAGAGATGCTGCGTCGCTGCCACCGTCAACGTCGCCGCCACCGACGATGTGCAAAATTTTTTCGTTTTTTTTCGGGTTCTTGCAAAATTTTCCCAGCGCTTTTTGCGGCTGTAATACACAAATGACTGCAATAATTACAAAACTTACGGCTGGCCGGCACGTTTGCACTTCGTATGCGCTTGTCGGATGCCTTTGAATGCGGCTTTAACCTTTGAAAATACAAAATATATCGCGTGCAGTGCTGCTTCAATTTTTTTCGGCTGCGCTGCGTTCTCTTCGTTTTGCTTTTGCACACTTTCGCAGCTCGGCAACGTTCTGCCGAAGTTGCCACCTAGATATAAACGGCGCGCGTTGCTGGCCACTTCTGGTCGATTAGGTTATTTTGGGTGGTGTTGCCTCAGGCAATAAACTTATAAAAATGAAAAAGCAATTTTTTGATAAATCATTTGTGCTAGCTAACACAGACTTTGCTTACAAACCGGTACGAAATAATGTCTGACAGTAGGACCAACGATGTGGCAAGTTTGCTAAGTGACAGCCCGTAGGGCGTTGCCAGAGCCTACTTAAGTGGCTGGGTCACAATGGACAGGGTTGCAATAAGTGCGCGCACAGCGGTTACTTTTTCAAATATCTTCTTTGCTGATAAGTTGATTAAAAGTGGAAATTTAAATTGATGAATTTTTATTGCTTGTCCGGATTGACTGCTCACTTGGTTTGCTGACTTCCAACAATCTAATTGAATTGCTCGTTCACCAGCAGATTGAATCACACGCTTGGCGCTGATCAATTGATTTGATTCGATTTTAATTTGCAGAATTGCTTTTTTCGTAGCTTTTCCTGTTAATGTAATTTGGTTTGTAATTGCAATGAAAATTGGGGTCAACAGTGCGCCCAATTTGTCACATGCGGTGTTTTATTTGCCATTTCTTTGCCCCCTTTGATTGCCCGCAATCGCGTGACGTTGCAAGCGCCTTTTGTCAACACGCTTGTTGAATTTGTTGGCATTTGATGGTGAGTGGTAGATAAAGGTGCAGTGCAGTCTATTTATAAACCAATTTTCATTAATTTTATACGCAGATCAGTCAGCGGAAATCTTGAGAGTGGTGGAGTTTCTTTAAAGTACTGGTTTAGTATCTACAATAATGATTTTTAAATATTTCTTTTTAAATAAATTTATCATATTAAAAACATATTTTATTACCTATCAAAACATAAGTTAAAATAATCACTTTATTTATAATTACATGACTTTTATAACATTCTATAAACATTCCATTAAACTGGTTCTAAAAGAAATATTGACAAGTCCAGAAGTACGACTGTAAATTAATCGCATGCCATTTTGGTATTTGTGGGGCGAAAATGTGTCAACAAATTGCAACAATTCATGGTCAGTAACTAAATGAAAGTCATTAAAATCCTTCATATGGCTGGAAAATCATATGTCTGTAGCGCACCAATACCCAGCACCCCTGTTATTTTATTTACCACAGATAAATCCAATCTATTCATACACATCCCTGCTACAGGGTATAAAGATTCGCAATATGATAGTCACAAATTACCACTCGTGTTGGCAGTAATTACTGTCAAGCGAGCGATTTGTTGCGGAAATGCATTTTGATTTTCCCGCGCCCAAAACGCACTAGCCCCTCTCTCTCTCTTTCTCATTATTATAGCAACCCTATTGTAACCGTTTTCGACTAAAGAGAGAAATGAGAGCAGCTGCCGTTTGACATTGACTTTTGTTCTGCCTTTTGGCACATTAACTGCACTTTAATGACGTCGACATGGTAAACAAAAGGCCAAAAACATCAGCGACGACAGCCTCTGGCATGCTTTCTCGCTCGCACCATTGAATTTGTCCCACTCAATTAGCATTTGTCTCTATTGCACGGGTGCAATGTAACAATTGGTCACTTCGGGGCAGCCACTAAATTAATTTAAATTCTAATTTTAACCGAGCGACGGATCAACTGAAATTTATTTGCCAAAATGTGACAATCTCGATCTTGATAGGTACGTCACTTCCTCTCGACGTGCTCTCTACGAAAATGCACTCAGAGGAATATTTATATTATTACCTATATATCAAATTAAATTGAAATTTAAGAAAATATTTATATAATTATTATTTTTATAATATGTGGAATATTTTTAGTTAATATTTAAACAAATTGATTGTACTTACAGAGAACACTAAAGAGATTTTGATTTCCCAAAGAAACTTATAAAGTACAATATAATTTACTCATCCCACTAATTCTCAAGAAGTGTGAATAATTCCCAAATATCATCGAAATATGTTTTGCAATTTTATTTAATGGGTACTATCCCTCAATACCAGCTGCTCTGATAAGTAATCAGTCCTCCACAGCTAGTACCACTTCTTTCCAATCCTTGCCTAATCCAGTCATATAAATAATCCAAAAACCATCAAACCATGTGCAAAATATTAGGTACTAATAATTTTAAAGAAAATGTTAATATTATTTTTGAAAATAATATTATCTGTAATATTAGTATACTTCTGTTGATTAAAAAATTAAGTTTTTGCTTTCCCATTGATAGAACATAAATGTTTACTCAAAATTTAATATTTTATATTTTCTTTTTCATTTAAAACTCTCTTCCTATATCCCTCAGTGTATCTTTTTGCTAGGGTAGAGGAGAATTATGCTCTCCCTCTCTCGCCCAGCTGGCAATTACCGTTCGTTTAGCATTTCTCTGCCTGCTTATCAATTAATCAGCTTTTAAGCTGCGACGTCGACAGCGCAGCTCGGCAAATGCAATTTTCACCTTCGGCTCGGTTTGGCGGTTTTATTGCTCAATCAACTAAAATTCGGTTGATGATTTCCTTCGTGACGGGAAAAGCGCAAAATTGAAAACCAAAAACCCACCGAAAAACCGAAAAAGAGCACATAAAAACCTCCGAATAACGTTGATATAATTCCGTTTTCAATTGTGTGAGTGCAGCGACGTTCGTGTATACGGTGTGGGTGTGTGCCTTGTGTGCGATTGTGTGCGTGTGCACATTGCCGATGCTCGTACCGCTTTTCATTCTGTGCCTGACCGCCGCTGGGTTCCGTTCTTGGCCCGCCGTACGGAGGTTCCGTTATAAAAGACGCGTGCCGCTCCACAACCAATGGAGTTCGATTCGAGACCGCAAAGGTTCTGTGTCCTGCCTGGCAGCCTCTAAAAAATAAAAACAATTTAAACATTAATAATTGTAAATTTGAAAGTGCTGTGCACTGACCCTAAGTGATATAACCAAAAAAACAATAATATTTTGTGATTTTTAAAGAATAACTTTTTGACGAAAGTAAACCGTGTAAAATGCATTTCATCGCCCTCTCTTTAATAGGTAATTTATTATCAATATTTAAATAAATATCACCCTTGTGACTCATTTAAAGTCAATCAAAGTTATTTAACTACTCGTGAGTGAATCATCTATGAGGCCCCCCAAAAAAATAAACTGACTCAAATCGGAGGCGCTATTAATTGGATTCTTGTACTTATCGCCATAAAGTTATTATCCACATATTCTACGATTTTACGGCATATATACTCGTATATAGTCGATATCACTGGGAAGGCACGTCTTTATAGCTGATCCCACATTCTATTCTATTTGCTATTTACTATTGCAATTACTCGGATCGTTTTGGGGGATAAGAAGATGGAAAAGACAATAGTACTAATGATAATACTCTGGGATCGTAAATTACAAGGCGCCCTTAGGCATTTATGATTTACAATGGATACGTAGATGTTCTCAGGCCAGGGGAAGTGCTGGACATAGATGGACTTGAGTATTTTTCGAGATAAATGTTGATCGGGTTTTAAATTTGAATGCGAGGCACGAGCAGTCAAAGTTGTCAATTGGCTTCATCCTGTCAAAGATTCTCATATAGCTAATCATGAAAATAAATCTGTGGAATATTCTTTTATAGTTAAGAACCCTTTACAATAGCTCTATGTGAATCACCCTTACAAAGAAGCTATAAAATTAGTGTTAAGTTTCTAATGTAACATCATAAAAGTTGGGGGATTTTCGGCAATATCCAATTAAGAAACCCCAACACATATTTCGCAGGCCTATCTGAAATCTAAGCCAATGCCGTCACATCCAGTACTCGACTCCAAAAAAAAAAAAAAACACTTCACAGAACTTTGGACATAGATCACGCGCCCCAATAGATATATCTGAACAAAAGACAACCCATAACAGTCTTGTTTGACTTTGTGCGGGCATTCGGAAAATACCCATTTAATTCGTCTAATACAGATACAGATAGAGATACAGATACATCTATAGGCGACTACTCATCATTTGCTAGCCGACAGAGTGATAAGGTCAGCAGAAGCTAAATATTTGGTCACGCTGGAGAGCCGACTTATGGCTGGGAAAACTGCTGACCTAATCAAGATTATAATCGAAATGAATTTATACGACCAAGATGGTACTTTAGCAAATCACCAATAACCGATAAGGGAAATGCCTGTTCTGGCATGAGAGGGGAAAATGCATATTAAACGATTAATTGGCAATTAACTCCACTGGGTTTATGATTTCTTCTTCAAGATTCGATTAGGCTTAATCGATCCAATAATCTTTCAATTATATGGCGCCATTTCTTATCAATTTCAGGTAGCTACCCCCCCTGATTAGCTGCGATTTCTAACTGATACATATTGTGTATATAAAGAGGTTTAAAGTTGTATATAAGTTAAGCCAATGCCTTTATTTAATATTTTTAGTACAATCAGCTGAGTGATACAAATATTTGTGTCCAAGATAAGACACGTTGCCAATATATAGATATTTTTAGTTTTATTTTTCGCTAAATGCTGTGCTTGTAGAAATCAGTTATCAAGATCAGATTATTCTGTCATTAATAAACTATTTTTGGTTTCCTTTTTTTGTTAAATATATATTAAATATAATATATAACACACTCTTCCTCGTAATGAGAAATTCTTATTACTTTAATGACGCACTTTGGGTATTTGGGAAACATTTTTTACTGTGTTTTTAATTCAAGCAGAATCAAAATGAAATTCTGAGTCAAATATCAATCTACGTAGTTTATTTCGTTATTAGAAACTTCAGGGTATTGACCATGTATCATCATTTTTTTACGGATGAACCCTTTCCGGATTATTCACTAAATAAGCGGGAAATATGAAGTAGCCTGGCTATGACACTTATCTTATTTATTATTTGTAAACTAAATTATATTTCTAAAAGTTTAGCTTTTTTTTAGAATGAATGAGTAAAAAATATTTGTTATGAAGTTGCACTGGAAAAACCTATAAAGTATTATTGCTTTTCTCTCACTGAACTCTTAGTTGTTTTAACTAAATGTTACTAGCTCCCTTTAGTGGCTTTGAAACAAAGACTAGTTCCATTCGATTGGTTATTGTCCAAAAGCTGTGTAACAAGTAATTGATGGCAACTACACACCCACTTCATAGAGCCATTCAAAGTGGATGCAGTAGAGCGTTGACATTGCTGCATATATTTGTATTTACTTTGGACTCCCTTTGTCGCTGCTGCTGCTGGCGAGCGAAAGTGAAATTGCATTTTGCAGTTCACTTTCCAGATAGCAAATACTGGCAAATACTTCCTATTTATATACGAAGTCATCTGTGCAGAGTTGACTGCTGTTTACAAAGACCTTCTGGATATCTGTCCTGCTTACAACTATCTCCTCGTTAATGTTTTCCACTTGGTTTATCTCCATTCATTCCAGAGTCTTCCGCTGGCATTGCCAATCCAAAGTCCATTAAGTCGATTAAGTAATGATGGAAAGTTTTAAGACCCAATCGATTAGCAATGCAACAAGAGAGACCCTAAAGTAATCCAAAATCAAAAGTTTATGGCAATCATAGCAGACAAATGTCTAGGCAATCCAGAAAAAAGTCTGGGTATTTCTCTGATTATGACAGTTTTGAAAATTATATTCCTTTTCCACAGATTAGATTAATGCCAGGGGTGGTGGTGCGGCTCAGACACGTTTTTCGCATATACAAATCAAATTTACGATCCCTCTTTGTAATATCAATCTTTATCTATATATTTTTTTTGTAAGTAATTAACTCTAAACGGAAGTTTGTTTAATCATAAACTTTTCTTCTTGTTTATTTTCATTGCCTTTCACCCATATTAATTCGTCTTTATCTTGAAATTTGATTTATTGCACATTTATTTAGACAAATGATAACGTCAATCAAGTTAATGGTTTGCATTCACATGACCTGCGGTGTATTTATTGGACAACGCAGGTTATCAGCAAACTTAAGACAATACCATATTAAATCGCGTGCACTCCCGAAAATCGTTTATCGGCCGGAGATATCTTTGATTATGATGGACACTAAAATGTAAATAAAAATTCATTTGGCCTGGAAAATCACTGAGTGCTCTATTTATTTGAAGAGGATCTCGATACCGCAGTGATTTGACAAAAATTCTTTCGGTCTTTATCGCTTTTTCTTTTTTTTTGCTGAGCCAGCAAAATCATTTCTCGATTCTTTTCTGTTGACAAGGCTAAAAAGTGATTTAATAAACAGCAGACGAGACAAGTTGTTTCCAATGCCAGCAGTAAAGAATTTGCATTTTCCATTTTCTCAAGAGCAGGAGATGTGAAATAAAAATATTTTCATTTGACGCCTTCACGAGCGGAATGCATTTTCCACTTCCAATTGCAGCTGTTTGTTTTTCGCGATTTTTCACATGATTATCCACCCATTTTGCAATGACCGTTTGCAATTACCGTTTTGTTAAATTTTACACCCCGCCGGCTCTGGAAGGGGGGGCTTTTAAATTAGAGAACATTTCCCATTATCAGCTATCAAAGCTTTAGACACTCTAAAATTTAATTGCCCGAGCTTTGCATGTGCAAATTTAATTGCATTTTAAATGGCTGCTCGACATTTGTGGCATGTACAAATAACTTTGAAAAATAATATTTAGTGGCAAGGCTTTGCGAGATCAAGTGATTCCTTTTGGGTTTTGGCATCTGACGGAAATCTCATTACCCAATCGCAATCCACTCACGTTAAAGCCATTAAATCTTGTGATCGTTTCTTAATTAAAAGGAATATCTTTATGACTCTTGATGCGTCTCTAATTCAATACAATTCAATACAATTTAATTACAAAATACAAATGGAATACGCTGAATACTTACTCCCTGCTTGTCTGGAAATTTAAAAAAAAAATATCATTCAACGAAATATAATTTATAATCAAGAAATGCCATAACTCATAGATCTTTCCCTCCAAATAATTGCGTCACAGGGCCAGCGAAGATTATACTATGGAAACCTCAGCTGATGAGCACGTTGCCCGGCAAATATTAAAGCGATTATATACAAGACACATACTATATAGTATTTATACTTGTTTTATATTTAGTACTTAACTTTCACAGCTGCGCTCGTCATTTGTCTTTTTGCAGGCCAACTTGCAAAAAATAAGAAATGAATATCAGGCGACAAGCATAAAATACTCGAAAGATTAAAGACAAAGCATAAATTTTCCGGACTTGTTAGATGAACTTTTTATTAACCCATTAATGTTGAATATGGCTTAATAAACACGCTCGTTTGATCACCGATCATCCCAGTGGCGAGTTATGTTGATGGCTCAGTGGTTTTTAAATGCCAAAATGGATCGTAAAAATCTAAGCAGAAAAAAAAAGAAAAGAAAATTCGTTGATATCTTGATGTGCAGATGTCAGAATGCTTTTAGTACATACAGCTGGTAGGCGGAGAAAGTCACAATATTTTTTACCAATTTACAGGTTAATGAAACATTTATGTGCGACCGCAGATTTGCCAGCCAAAATATATATTCGGGGATATATGTATATGTGGTTCAAAATCATAAATTTCATGGGTATTTTTAGCCGTGCGAAGTCAAGTGCAAGGTGCCGTGTTTTCTGTTTTCAGCTGAGGCTGCTGCTGCCAAACATGTGTGTAGATTGACCCTCCGTCAAGCCAACACAGTACACATTATCCCATTGCTTTTATGGGCCCATCATTGAGGTGCAGTTTTTAATGGGGCTCGTTTTATTTGTTTTTTTTTTTGTGCTGCCCCTGAAACGTTCTGTTGGTCAAGTTGAAGTTTATTTCGCTTATTACACTGTCCCACACGGCGCATACTTGATACTTATCTATGTCACCCATTCTTTTTTTTGCAGTTTGCTGTTCTATGGCCCTCAGCTGGGCCAACGAATGGGGCTACCCGGACTTGGAGAGCAACCAGGATGAGCGTAAGTAAAGCCAATCGAGTTTATTTGCTAAAATTAGTTAATCAACGCCACGGCAAATGGGTCATTTTGACTCTCATTCATTGTCAAGTGTTTTGCATACCAGAACGATACAAAATGTGCCCGACTAATATCTATCTGTGTGCACGCTTTCGGCTCGAGCTTGGGTCAATTGGCCCAAATTGTTCTGTATGCAAATTGAACATGAATAATGATAAATTCCGACTGCGACTTGGGCATTTCTGCGGAAACTCAACTTCTGCCTAAAGTTTTTTAATTGACAAAATGGCGTTCAATTAGCTAAAGTTTGATTTATGACCATTTAATATCAAATAAACATTTTGCTTGTGCAGAAAATTTGCAATCAATTTGGAATAGAAAGTGCTATGATAAAGAATATTTGAATATTAATTGACGAAACAAGTTTTCAATTGTATAAAGTTTGATTGATAGGTTTTTAATTTCACATTAAAGTCTGCCTCATGCAGAAGTTTTAAATAATTAATAAATTTGCCCAACGAAGAGGATTTTCAATCGATAAAAAAGATATTTAAATACCCATAAAAATGTTCCTTGAGTAAGGGAAAGACTTTGATGAATGATCTTTCTACTCCACAGCCTTTCCCAAATGGGGCGGTCTTTGCGATAGTGGCAAGAAGCAAAGCCCCATCAATCTGCATGTCAAGGGTGCTCTGAAGGGCCAGTTTGATCCTCTGAAGTTCGAGAACTATGATGAGCATCAGAAGAATCTGCAAATGGTCAACAATGGACATTCAAGTGAGTTTTCAAATAAACCAGATACTAAGAATATTTTCTTAATACGATATTTTTCACAGTTCAACTTTCTGGCTTTGATCACGAACTGACCCTGAGTGGTGGTGGTCTGGGTAGTGATTACGTGGTGGAGCAGATCCATATGCATTGGTGGTCAGAGCACACGATCAACGACATCCGGTATCCGTTGGAAGTGCATATTGTCCACCGAAACACCATTTACCCCAACACGACCATGGCAGCAAACTTCAAAGATGGCATTGTGGTCATTGGAGTGCTGTACCATGTGTCCAATACACCCAACGAGGCCATTGGCAGCATCATCAAGAGTTTGGGAGCTGTTAAGAGCTACGATAGCATGAACAAGCCTGTCGCGGTGGCAGATTCCTTAGCTGTGGATGATTTGGTGCCCAGTGTGGAGAGCTACTTCACCTATGCTGGCTCTCTGACTACACCAACTTGTGCCGAGGCTGTTACCTGGATTGTACTGACCGAAACCTTCCCCGTCACCCTGGATCAGGTTACTGAGTTCAAGGAAATCGAGTATGAAGAGGGCAAGCAGCTGCACAACAACTACAGGGAGCTGCAGAGTGAGAACAATCGTGCTGTGGTTCTGGTTGAGCAGCCCGAGGATCGCTCGGGGGCAACAGGACTCACTGCATCCGTATCGCTGACCCTAATGCTTATCCTGGCGGGCCAGAAGTTCCTGCTGTAGACTTAAGATGGATATCCACGAAGTGAGAGAGCAGCCAATGACATACTCGTACCAAAGAATCGTTCGATACAACGAATTTGTTTACCAAGTAATAATATATTAACAATCCAAAAAAGAAAAAACCGGCGAAACAGGAGAGCAACGTCAGACCAGACAATTTATACTCATTAATTGTAATGCAGAACAGAACAAGAATTCAGCTAGTCAGTTTGTGTAAAGTTCATTAAGTGCAAGGATCACAGATAATAAATGAAACATTTTACAAGCATTCCAAATTCGCAATTCTGGTTAAACGGGGCGTATGCGCAACTTATATAGTAACAGCTTATTTCCGTTTAAAGTTCAAATTGACCAATATCGTTAAGTTTATGGTTTAGTTCTAAAAATAGATGGTGATGGTTCTTCTGCATATTTTATCACGAGACCCCAGGTTCGTGGTAAACATTTATACGACTCTTGGTCAGTGTGATTCCTTTCAACGGGGGGGAACTCATTGCCCGTTATTAGCGGGAATAAAGAATTTATCACCGAATAGTATTCAGAAATCACTGATAACTGTCCAGCGTCAACTGACCAATTGCCCGGCCTGATAAAGTTAATTGATATTGGATGGTCTCTAAATAAATCAACTTCAATAACAGCGGGCCATGCAATTTGATTTCGCTTATTACTGGCCACGCTTAATCATCTTTGTTCGTTGCGAAATGACACTTGGCCGCACTTGAAGCGTGTGTCCAGTGGTTTATTTTATTGATGGCACAGCTAATTATATACACAAGCTGAACTGGTCAATAATCTTATCACAAGGAGATACTTGCACGGACTAGAGTCCTAAAATAATCTAAAGTCCAATAAGCTGATTGTTAACTTAAAATACAATTAAAGCTTACCGTTAAGCTATGGTCGGACAATCGAAATTCCTGTATAAAGTGGCCATTATTATTCTTACCCATAGTATTTCAAGTTGCTTTAGCTTACCAATCTTGTAGACCATGTTCAAAGTTCTAGAAAGTTCCTGAACTTATGTGTAAGTTGTATTTGAAAGAATGCCACCAGGACTGCAGGTCTTAAAACACATTTTTAAAATTAATTGTTGAACTTGTAATTTTATTTCATGATTGGAATTAAAAAAAAAAAATTTATGAAATTTCAAAATTGTGAAATGTATAAGATAAAAAAAATTGCCTACTTTTAAGCTGAAATAATTTTGCAAGTAATTGGTTCTACCGAATATAATAGTCTAGTTTTAGGGATATGTAGAAATTGTCTATAAATTCGTATAAAAATTGTAAGGTTTTAGTAACAAATTTTAGTTTTTTAGGTTTAACAACAGTAATATATAGAAAAGGGGTATAAAAACTATTATAATAAAGGCACCTAAATGTGTCCCTGAATAAATTTTTTAACTAACACTTTATATTTTTGTATATAGTTAACAGTGTACCTACAGTAATAAAGCTTTTTCATTTAAAAATCAGTAGTCAACTGACTACAAACAACCGTAAACAAGCATTATAATATTCTTGAGATAATTGACTCCTGACACCATCTATTTGAATTCCCATGTCATGTTTTTGGCTAAGAGTGCATACTCCACATCCATATGTGTGATAAAAGGAGAAGCCAGCATCTTAACAGCTTGTTCCTGGTCATTATCATCTAAAGCTTGTAGAAGTGTTTCCAATGTCTTGACCTCCTGGGGATCACAACGGTTTCCCCACTTTTTAAAGGACTTTTTGGCATCAACGGAGTCCCCGAGGGTAAGTTGCACCAGTACCAAGGCAACGACTAAACGTCCAACTTGTGCGTACGATTTCGTTTGTAGATTAAGACTTATTTCCTTTTTGAGAGCTTTGCTAGCTTCTTCGTATTTCTTGAGTTTTACCAATATTCTAGAGACCTTAGAAGCGAACTCCGAAGCTTGATGGGTGGAGTCGCCAATTATGACCACACCCAGAGCTCGCTTATAGAACCCCAACGCCAGTTCAGGATGTTTCGATTCCGTCATCTTGGCGGCTTTATCCATAGCTGCAGCTGCTGCTTCCAGTGAACCATGTTGTTGATAGAGATTACAAGCTTTATTGGCATAGTCCTCTACTTCGGATAATGTATCATTCTCCTTGGCCAGCAAAATAATCTGCTCGTATGACTTGGCTGCATGGAACCACGACTTGTTCTTCTCATAACATTCGATGGCGTCCAAGAAACAATCCTTGCTCATATTCCAACTTTTGGCCATTCGATATGCCGTTGCAGCCTTGAAGTACATACCAGCTTTAGCATACTCATCGGAGGCAGTTTTGGCTTGTTCTAAGAAATCCTCAGCTTCGGCAATCTTTTTGGCCTCAAGAGCACTCATTTTTCAAGAACTTTTGGCTTTGCGTGTTCAAAAAAATCAATTGTGTGGAATTTAGTGTGCCCGAATGCGCAAGTGCAGGGAAAACTTAATTGGCCGCTCCTTTGCTTATGCAGTTATGACACTACATAAGGGCAAGAATGGTACTATTAAATATCGAATAGTTTGAATTTATTTTCAAAAAAATTGTTTTCCTAGGGCGATTTGTAAAACTGTTAACTCTGTGCAGCAAAAATTAAGTGCTATATCCTTTCAATGATATTACTGAGCTTAAGACAAAGTCAGTAATGGAAATTAAAGGAAAGTCTTAAAAATCATTTTAAAGGTAAGCAATTAGTAATAATCTTCTCTGCACCTATTAAAAACTATCCATCTATTTAATGTTATTTTTAATTAAGCTTAAGATTTTTTAACTTGAACATGTTTTTAGATAGTTATATAGATCAAATGAATTTTATCGATTTTGCTTTAGAATGAACTTTTGACACTTTCGTAGCCCTGGGATTCAAAAGAAAGACAACGATAAAGAGAAGCGTGCTTTGCCATTCTAAAAACTTACTTCAAGGAATACGTTCGAACATTAAAGAAGTTAACTTTGTTGAAGTATTACTAAAAAATAGGAATTAAAGAAAACCTATTTACATCTCGTTCTATATCTGTAATAGGAAACCCCTTTGGGTTTTATTTCAAGTTCTTGGTGCCCGTTTTCAAAGCAGGTAAAGCCCTCTAACTGCAATTAGAAAGTCTTTTCCCCTGTTAGTCAATATATTGAATTTCTTTCTATTAACTTCCAAGGCAATTGTTAAGTTCATCAAGATGACATTCTGGCGAGATGCAGGACTTACCTATATCCATTACTCCAACATTGCTGCCCATGTGGTGCGTCAGGCCCTCCGAGCGGAGCTCCGTGCTAGTGCAGCCAAGCGGGACATAAGCCATGTCCAATTCACTCCCTGGGAGAATGGAAGGCCTGTGCCTCGCAAGAAGAAAGTTCGTGGTGATTCCAGTTCTTAGATGGGTTTGGGAGACTTTGGATAATTTGCCACCAATGTTCAGTTAAAATTTGCCAAAACCAAACTAAAATAATTCAAATAAATTTGAATCACAAAAGAGTTCTGTTGGGTTTAAAATTTAGGGATTGGCATCAAAATTTAGCAGGGGAATAACTACCTTCTAATGAGTAAATGATTAACAATCTTAATAATTTTAAAGTACAACACAGTTCTGTATTTAAATACCTTTTAAATAATAATATACACAACATTGCACACGCGTATTTAATACATAGATTGTGACTGCTTAATTTAGACTAAGACACTAATTAGGACAATCTAAGAATGAGAAAAACAGTCAGTTCTGATAAAGCACCAGCCAAGGCAGCAGGAGGAAGCATACCGACCATGATATGGCCTTCGCCCCACTCCTCAGATTGGTGTAGCTATCCACGATGTGAATCTTCCAGCCCATATTACCATGGGTAAAGGAGTTATAGTAAACGGTATCCGGCCAAGTGATATTCGGTGTAATCTCCAACAGAGCCGGTGCCTCATCCACACATTCGGTGATCAAAGATCGATTGAACTTCTTGAAGGATGGGAAGTTATCATCCAGACGACGATCATACCTCGGAGGATATCTTGACAAGCACAAGGGACCAGCAGCCGTGGGCTTGGGTCTGCCTCTTCTGGTGAATTCCACTCCAGCCAATACACGAATCTCACTCTGTTTGGCGTCTGACAAACGATCATAGCCTCCCTGAGGATCATCGGTGATGACCAACGGGTGATAGTGCTCTGGGGAGTGTGGATTGTTACCTCCCCTAACCTTAAATGTGTAGGTCAGACCACGCTTCAGGTAAAGTTCTGGGATCATATAGCCGTTGATGTACCAAGCCAGGCCGCTGGACACATGACCTGTCAATCCCTGATAGCCACGAAGCCCGCCAGAGGGTCCCAAGTAGGCATTGAAGGTGCGTACAGTTCTTTAAAGTAAATCATTAATTAGATTACACTTTTCTTTTTATAGAGAGATCCAATACTTACGCATCTGTAATCCTGGTTCGCTCCCATAATTGAGGAGTAGGTGTCTCCATTTTTTTGGTGAAGGCAAAACAATCATTGACCGGTTCTGTGGTATTAAAATCAATTACTATATCACTCTTGGGGTAGTAAGTGTGAAAAGCGGGCTCATTGTTAGAATCCAATTGGCCAAATGCCCAAACCACATAGTTACTGCGGTCTAAGAAGATTTCCTTATCTCCATCATCGGCTAGAATGGGGAAAACCATTATTAGTAGGTATGTATAAAACAAATAATAAACTCACATGACTTTAGAGTCCTCCTGAAACTGATGGTATTAATTCCATCCTTCCGGCTATATGTGTTCAACTGGAAGCTGTCCAATCCACCAACCACATCATCCCGGCAAACTCCTTTGTTCTGGCCCAAAACCTGGACGCAAGGTGCCAGCGAAGTGATATTGTAATCTACGGTGTAGCCTCGGATCTCGTCTATATAGGCCACCACAACATCGGAACCAATCATCTGACTGGATACATCAGAACCAGAAATGCCGAAGGACATATAATCGTTGGCTTCAACTTGACCAGATAGTTGGAATGTGATCTGTGGTCCGAATACCTCCCAGGAAACCTGCATATCCTTATGCAACTGCCGGCAGTTGGGCAGCGAGAATTCGAAAGGAGTTACTTTCACCAAGGATGGTGGAACATTCAGTCCATCGTTGATCAGCACATGACCGTAGTTCTCATTATCGGCCACATCGTAAACACTGATCCAATCAATGTCAAAGATGGTCTTATCTCCCGGCAGCTCCAATTCAATGGTCTCCTTGTTGTACCTTCTTATAGGATCCAGGCTAAATAATCAAAGTAAACCAATTAGTAAGTTGAATACTAAAATTCTGTAATATACTTACTATCCCTGCTCATCGGGCAGTTTGCTTCCTCGACTAGAAGGCTGTGCACCCACTCCTGTCCAGAAAAAGGTGCGCTTGCCACGGCCATCGTAGGTAAAGTCTTTGATGCGAATGGTCTTAGAGTCCAGGATCTCGATGCTGCTGCTGCTTACATTGTGACTCCGCTTGGAGAAAGTTCCGCCTAGCTGGGCTCTTGGTGGTTCAAATTCCTCCGGAATGTAGACGTCACCGAAGTTGTTCTGACTGCTTAGGTCGTAAACCGCCAGCCATTTTATTTCCGTTATCTTTTTGCGGTCCGGCAGTGTCAGCGTGAAGTCCTTGTTGTGGTAGCGATCCAGGATGTTGGTTCTAGGGTTAAAATTTTGATTTTGATTATGAGCTGACCTTTTAAGTTTAGGTTCAAACATATTTTGATGTCTTTAAGACTTTCCCCATTTATAATAAGTAACACTTTAACTTGCCATACTCATCGGGCACAATAAATCCCTGAGGTCCTGGGCGATTACTAGCACCCGACCAGAAGAATGTATCCGCCCCGTTGCCATCATAGTTAAAGCCCACAATCAGAAAAGTGAACTCATTTACAGCGTAAACATCCCCAGACACCTGATGATGGTATGAGTTGAGTTTTCCCAGGTATTTCCCGCGATATGGGCCATCCTCCTCTTCGCCCTCGGCCACTGATTAGATAAGAATTTAAGTAAGAAAACTGAAAGCCGGTAAAATGAAAAAGACAAAAACAAATTGCAAAACGAAAGACTGTGACAACAAACTCGTTTTTCGGATTTTCGGTCTGACTAATAGGCCAGCAATTTGGCTTCTGATTTACTGCCACTGGGCCAGGTGGCTCCACCTGGCGGGCGCTCTGCAAGACTAGCCAAGACAGTTCCAAGACTAGACCAGTTTCTCTAGTTTTACACGAAAGTGAATTTGTTTTCTTTGCTCCGTCTCGAGCGTAACGCTAATAAAAATTTCTCTTTCATTTGCAGTTTGCTTTGTTTTTTGCTTGATAATATTAGGTTTTTGCGATCTAACTAAAAAAAAAACTCACGGGAGGTATGGAAAAGCAGGAAAAGTGTTACAACAAGCAGCAGTAATTGTTGCTGCAATCGCAGACAAAGAACATTGCTGCCGCCTTTGTTGCTGTTCAATGTCATTTTTATTTCTTTCTCTTGTGTGCTGGCCCGGTCTTGTTTTATCCACTCCCACTTCCTAAGCCACGTTTATGCTTTTTGTTCAATTTTCGAATTGATTAAATCTTGGACGCTTATTCATGCCGCATCATTTTGCATTTTGGGTTTTTTTTTCCTGGGCCCGCTGCGTCACTTCGAAGATCTTCGATTTCCCAATAAATATATATACTGTGAGTATGTGTAAAATATGTTTAATTGAGAGCCAAGTAAATTGTTTTTAATTTTTTCTTCCTTTTGCTTAAGGTCGTTTCGTCACTTGCATGCGTTTTCGCTGCTATTGTTGTTGTATTCACTTGGCCAAAACTGGTTTAGGCAGCAGTTCCGGCGTTTTTTATATGTATATTTTTTTTCAACTTTTTCCTTAGCTCTCGCTGCGAAGCCGAAATCAAAAAACGAACCGCACTGTCCAACCGATCTGAGTAAACTGAGTGAGACTTTGGGCCGCCGTTATCGCGGTTTGGGTTTCTTTCGGAGCTCCAACGTCCATGTTGGGCGATCGCTGCTCTTTCTCTGCCTCTCTCTTAAGCTGCGCGCATGCGTGATTGGCATTGAAATGGCCAAGAGTGCCCATAACGGTACTTACTGCATGCAAAACTATGCGAGGTGTGCTTGAAAGATTCACTGAACTTGTATGGTTTTTAAAAATATATCAAAACTAAGTCAATTTTTGGGAATATAAAGTATGAAAGCTAATTAATGCAATTTCCAATTCATAAACCAAAAATATTTAATTAAAAAATATCCCATTTCTTCCCTATTAAAACACCTTTTAATTATTTTTCTCAATTTTCTTGCTTGCAAAACTAAACTTTATCCTTAAGTTTGCTTTTATTAGATCTTTATTTTGAATAGCAATTCAATTAATGTTTTTAAAACTAATCAATTGCAATTTGTTGTTTTTCTGTTTTGCGATCTCATTACGAACAGCAATTGCAACACAGTTTTCCTCTACTCGACTGCTTTGGATTTTATTTCATTTAATGAATAATGTTTACGTTTTAAGTTCTCTCTTTTGTGTGTGGTTGCGATTTTATTTACAAAAAGGCATGTCAAAGGTTAATGAATAAAGATGTGCGTTGCAAAAGAAAATTGAATAAGAGGACTAAACGAAAAAAAAACTATTAAATTTGCAACTAAAAAAGTTGTATCGTATATAAGACTGGAAAATGTATATGATTTCCACTCAGGGTCTAAACTAAATTTCTCACTGAATTTTCTTATTTTCTAAACAATTTAGGTTCTCTTCTATATCTGCTTTCCCGCTGCACACACTTTTCGTTTATAACTAGTTTATTGAAAATACAATATTATTAATATATCATTATTCTCATAAGAAGCACAATTTATGTTGTTTTAGTTTTTATTTCATCATTTTATGCGTTTACATTTCAGTGTTTTGAACTTGCTGCCATACATTTTTTTAGAGTTTTTCTTTTAACATTTTCAGAGCATAGTTTATTTATTTACTTTTACTTTCATTTATGGTTTTTGTTTATATACTTTTATTTCCTTCTTCTTCTTTTTGTTTTTGTTAACACTAGACACTAGATAACCTATAAAAATGGTTCCGTTTTGTTTTTGTTTTTTTTTTTAGTTCTTTATGGAAAACATGACAATGGTTAAAAAAGAAACTTTACAAAACAATAAAAAGGCTGGAAAAGTCGTTGACCGATGAAAATAGAGGGGGCGGGGCCATAGGGGGGCAGGCAGACTATATGTGTGAGAATTGGTCTTGGACGCACGCACGCATAGTTGAACTAAAAGTAGCAATACTTAGCTTAAATGTAGCGTATAAAAATAGTGTTGTTTTCTTTTTGTTTGTTTGTTGTTTTTCTTTTTTCTTTCACATTTTAGATAGATATATTAAATTAAACGAATTGAGAACACTAAATTGTATTTTAAACTTAGGCTGCGTTTTTTTTTATTTATGTATGTATATGTGTATGTCATATCATTTTAACTGCGATGCATACACGTGTTATCAATGCAATTTATTTTATTTCATACTTTCTCCACGTTTGCCTCTGGTTTGACTTCTGCCTTCTGATCTAGCATTGGATTCTTAGTGAATTACAGTGTTTAAATGAGCATTTTGAATTGTTTTGACTGAGACAACATCCGGCTGTTCGATTGCTGACGTTGTTGATGAGATTTAAAATGAGACTTAGTCGATCGATAAGCTCTGCAGCAGGTTATCGTCTCTTTTTTTTTTTTAGCATGGAATGAACTTTGTCAAACGAATAAACAATCGGAAATTCGTGTTAAGTCTATATATTTATAAAGAAGAGCAAACAGGGCGCTTATATAGTTTTCTTGACTTTTCATTGTAAACTTAACAAGCGAAACAGAAAAAATATTACAATATGTATTTAATGATTTTTCTTGTTTTTGTTTTTGTTTTCTTTTTTTTAATGTTATATATTATTATCTTTTATTACAAATACTTCGGCGCTGGCGCTAATTATACAAAAATTTTCGGGAAAATCAATAGCTATCATTAAACATTACTCTTATTGTGGTTTCTTTTTTGTTTAAATTGCGCTACAAGAAATCAAATTTACGCTTCACTATTTATAAATGTTATGTATAAAAATTTGTTTCCTTCTCTTAAGTTTCTGGTTTTTGTTTCTCGTTATACGCATTTAGCGCAAAAATACATTACAAAGCTTTTGCTATGGCATTATGTATGATGTAAGGTTGTTGTTGGTTGAATCTGGGTTTTTTTTTTTGGGGAGGCGGTAAGGGAGGGAGAAAGGATGGCGGCGAGGATGATGAAAAAGTGGCCTGAGGTAATGATGTTTAGGCAAACAATTTGATTATGAATGAAATTTGAAGAAACCCCTTCTGAAACAAACCAATTGCTTTAACATTAAAATGAGGCGTGTTCGTAGTTGGTGTTGGTGTTTCTGTAGTTATAGTTGCTGGTGTGATTGTGGCGTATGTTGTGGTGTTTCTTGTGAAGAGTGTTGGCTAAAATTTATCCTGAAATATGAATAGGTTATTGGTCGCAGCCACGGCGATGATATTTTCTTCCGGATGCCAGGCGGTGTGCAGGATCTTCTTGTTAAAATCGAGACAGTCCACGCTGATCTCATCCTTCTTCCGTTTGCCACCAGTGCAAACTTTCCGTGGCTTAAGCACCGTTTTCGGCTTGATGATGTCCCTGGACGCCTCAAGCGTTACATCCTTTTTCGAATTGCGATCGAATACGCGGAAAAAGTTGTTGTAGCTTCCGGTCATTATCGAGCTATCCTTGCCGTTCCAACAGCACTCGAACTTATCAAAGATGCAGTCGTTCTCGTACAGCGAGCACAGCTTGGCGCGCAGGTATTCATGGACCTATAAATTTAAATAAATTAGTATATTTCGTAAAGAACCATTAAAATATATTGTGCTTCAGAAACCTATGGTCAAGAAACACTCCATTATGTATATAAAAACTAACCGGATAAGTCTCAATGGGCTTTGTTTCCATGTGCAGATCCCACACTTTGATACTCAAGTAATCCCTAGAGATCATGTAGCGACCCGAGTTGCTTAGCTTCACATCGCTGATGGAGCTAATTATTTCGCTAAAGAAGCTGCGATTCGTTGGATTCTCGGGCTCCTCAAACTGTTTGCTGTGCCGGTCGCATAGCGCCGCCGATCGCATATCACATAAACGTATTGTGCCCTTGGAGCTCGAGTACACGAACACATTGCACTCGGTCGGATGGAATTCGGCCGCCGTGATCACCTCCGTTAGCTCCTCCATATTGGTTGGCTTAATGTCGACGATGTTATAGCTCTGGTTGACCACCTCCAAGTGCCAGAGATTGATGCGCAGGTCGTCGGCCGACAAGAAGGTCTCCTGATCCGAATTAACGCTAATTGAATTGATGTGATAGGTGTGTGCATTGGCAAAGGTGCGCCGTGGCGAGGCCTCCACCAGCAGAGGTATCTGCTTCACGGATGGCACTCGGAGGGCCGTCACATTCTGTGGATCACGGATCAGGCCGTTCTCCTCCTTCGTGTTGTAGCCCTCGAATGACTTGTCGCGCTCACTGACCTTCCACAACTTGACTGTCTTGTCGTTGGTCGAGAGCAGAAAGTGCACGGGATTCTTCTGTTGCAGCCACCGAATCTTATTGATCTTCTCCTCAATCTCCAGGGACTTGAGGTAATCGAATTCGGGCTCGTGCGATTGGAATGTCGAATAGACATTGTATTCGCCGCGTCGCGGATTGGCGGCTTTTGAGGCAGGATCACGCTGCAATAGTTTAAGTTATCATTAATACATATTCAAAGTTGAATACTAAGGCAAGTACTTACCTGAAAGATGACGACGCGACCGCCCTTGTCACCAGTGGCCAGCAGTTCGCCATCGTGATTGAATTCCACGCAGGATATGATGTCCGCATCCGTGACATCATCGTCTAGGGCGCCTTTAATCTGTGAGAAGCACCAGGACGCCTCTCCATTACCTGAAAAGACAGAGCAGGACCAAATGATGAGTATGCGAGTTGACACCTTCGTCTAGCTTGAGTTCGATCAGCTGAATGCCACTTTTCGTTTGGAAAACTAACTGAAAAGGCAGCCAGCAGCAGCAGCAGGCGTCAAAGGAAAGTAAATGTAACATTTGATTTACTTCAAACCCCGCCTATACATGCCCACAATCAATAGATGGTAAGAAAAAGAAAGGACAACTATGACGACGATATCCTGGGCCTGCCCAAATATTTGCTAATGACGCCATACTCGGCCTTCCACACTGGTCGACATCGTCGTCGTTGTCGTTGTCGTATGGGCCATCATGAGGAACACTTTAAAGCCCTTTAAGCTCTTGGCCAAATATTCTTTCCGTTTCCTTGTCTCGCTGCTTTTAGCCCACCCCCGTTTGTTTGCCAATTCTATCTGCACAGCCACTTTTAGCGATTGCGGTACGTTGTGTAAACGATGACGTTGCTACTGCCGCTCGCTGTCCTCCTTATACGAAACCCCACTTTATACACTGCTATTCCATAATGGGGGCATTTCATTTGGAAAATGTATTTCCCTTTTTACATTTACAGTGGAATAATGAGCCAAAGGGCCTTCAATATAGTTTAATTTTAATTAATAAAATATTTAAAAGCAAGCCATTAGGACCTTGAATTAAGCTTTCATGACAGCACTAAGTATTTTGTACTTTTCTTATTTGTTAATTAATTTTTCAAACTTTTGACAATGTTGCCAATATAATAAATATATTTTTAGCTTACATTAAAAATCTCAGCTATGCCCATTGTATTAGCTTTCGTGCTATATCTATCTACCATAGGCATTTTGTTTTTGGGTGCCATGCCTGACACTGTTGTGTGCGAATTTTGGCAATTTTTTCATCATTCCCAAATATTCATTGGTCTTTGTTTGTTTGATTTGTTTTTGGCACAGCCCTTGCCCAGCCCAGTCCCATGTGCTGTGACCTCATTATCCGCTGGCTGTTGCCAGTCTGTTGGCATTTTCCTGCTGCCATTGACGACGTCATGATGTGATTGACGAGGCGCAGCAATTGTATTTATTCCGGCTAGTTACTCCGCCCCTTACAGCTACCGATAGATCCCCTCCCCCTTTCACACAGTAATAGGATCAAAGGCAGTTGCCCAATTAGTCAATCATAACTCAGCCGTTTTTTTGCTGATATTTTCTCAGCTCCAACGACTGTTTTTAGTTCCTGGGATATGTCAGTTTCGCACCCGCCCACGCAAATGCAGCACACAGCAATTTAAAGTTATTGAGTCGTTGAACTCAGGCAAATGCGCAAGTGAAAAGAAAAGTATTCTAATATAAAGATAAATTTATAGTTTAAAATACTGCTTAATTACAGAAAAATGTTAATTAAAATAAACAGATTTTTGTTAAAATTCCCAAAATATAATTAAGAAGACATTGTTTTCAGTAAAACCAAAACTATAATTTCAGAAATCTGCTTAATATAACAAAATTCTCATAACATTTTCATTATACAACCGAGCACCAATTAAATAAAAACCCACATAAATCTCAAATAATTGAGAAAATTCCGCTAGAAAATAGATGGGGAAATAAAAAACAATCTGAAATTGTTCTCGCTCGGTTGCTTTGGTCGCTTATTTATTTGTTAGATCGTATATAAACGTACATAAAGAGATAAGTAGATTTTCATGAACGCCCGCAAAATGGAACAAAATAATGAAACTCAAATATTGACACAATTATTTAACACAACCACGCGATGTCGCCGCTAAGCCAAAGCTCCTAGTGTTACCTCAAACCCCACCAAACTACAACACTATCTATCTATCTAACTATCTAGAATATCACGGTTTCAGTCTATATACGCTATATAGAGAGGGACAACTGAACGACCTAGAGAATGGCGGAACGGACTGATTGACTGACAAATACAGAAGGCAAGGTGAACAAATGGGTAAATGAAGAAAGGGGCAAGGAAAAGCTGGCAGGGAAATCCTTTTTTGGCAGCCCAGTTGAATAAGTTTCCTCAAAGGAAAAGCGTTAGAGAAATAATTCATATGCATGACTGAACCACTGAGCAATTAAGAATATTGGTTAGGGATTATTAATGAGGACAAAATAGTTTGGGCAAGGGAAACTGAGGTATTCAAGGAAAGTTTTTGGCTTGGTAACTAGTGCATTAGGAATTAGTCTTCAAGAACTTAGAATAATAAATTGTTAGACATAAAAACATGAATTTGTACCCGTTTAATCATAAACTTCCACTTTTCGCACATTCATATTGTTTATATTGTAAAATCTACATTGAAAACTGAATAGTAAAGACCCCACCTAATCGATAATTGATTGGTTGTTTAGTTATGATCTCAGCTTGTTTGGCTTCTTGGGCAATTTAAGTTTGCATTGCAAATTGAGCACAAAAGAGCCTTAGCGTACGTTCCTATAGCACCTCTATAACCGTTCCCCCGTCAATTACCATATCCAATCTAATCTAAGACACACATCAATCTGCCCCTCTCTTTACTTAACCCTCTACGAAAATCTCAACTTTTCATATGACAAGGCTAGCAGCAGCAGCTAGTGTACCCGGCAAAGTACATCAAACACTTATGTAATGTCTGTTTGGCGACATTGTTTTTTGTTTTATATGTACATGTGCAGTCCATTAGAAGATGTTCATGTCCACTTGTGCGTATCTTGCAGATACACTATACTATTCGAGGAAAATCACCCAGACATTGCATATATAAAATTGCCAAAATAATTTTGCATACATCACATGAATCGACCATCTAGAAACCTGAGCGACGTCACGTTGTCTGGGAATATACTGGAAAATTGGAATAAAAATAGAGAAGGGGCTGTGGGTGTGTGGAAGGGGTTTCCTTTGGTCCATTGCGACTTTAACTCAATTTGCACATGGCAAAAAACACGATCCAGTTTCTGAGGGTTCTACATATATCTATTGACCGAACCAATTTGTACGCCGCATTCTCAGCACTTGTGCAATTGTTTATTATTTAATTATGGCAATTGTGTCTCTGTATCGAGAGCATGTGTGCACGAAATCAATTTTATACTCTTGCAGAATGTTCTATATTTGGCATTTGAATATTGGAAGTTCCAAACATTTTGGGTCAACACAAAAAACATAAATAAATAAATTAGATTGCCAAAGATTTTCATTGACGCCGAACATACTTTTTATAATCCTATTTTAATGCTTTGGATTAGTCTTTAAATACATTTTTGTTATATTTATCTGTCAACAAAAACATTGTTAAAAAAAATATTATTTTTAAATTTTTGAAAGAAAAATGAAATATTTTATGCTAGTTTAAAGTACTCTTCCTAAGTTATTATCTTTCCCAAGATGCTTGAATGAGCAAACGAATTTTTATCAAATTTAAGTTTAGCCCGCTCTCTGTTTGGTTAGATCATCTTATCGGATGTACACTGTTTTCGTAACGAATCGTGCTTTACCTTTACGACTTGCTTTAGTTCCATTTGGCTTTTTCGAGTAGATAATGCAATTGAAGGGCGGGGGCGGGCATTTGTTTAAAAAGAAAAATGTATCAGGGGCGGCGGGGGCCTGTCAATTTTGTTGTTTTTTTTTTGCATGCCGCTCACGTCGCCAGCGGCATTTCGTTCAAGTGCAAAGATCAATGCTAGTTGATAGGGAAAAGTTGTTTTTCGATTAACGCATTCAAGACTTTTGACTAGTTTGTTTACTTCTCACTGAATTTGTTTATCGGCTGTTTGGGCGAATTTAATGCCAAAATCAAAATGATCAGAAAGGCGAAAATAGAACAAGGAAATGCCAAATCAATGTGTAATGTACCCCAGCAGTTTTCTCAAATCATGTTGATTAAAAATAAGTTTTTTGAAACCAAAGCATCTGATCTTAACATTAAATTTGTTTTTACTGATCATGATTAATAATACCAAAAAAAAAATATTACATAACAAAATCATTAAAAAGAAAATCCAAAATCTTACAAACTTTTGATCTAACTGATAATACCCAATAACAGGGTATAAGCATAAAGTTGGCAGTTCCCACACAAAAGCGAGTGACGAACGCGTTGAGGAGAAGAGCAAAAGGAGGATAGAAGGAGAGCAACAGCAAGAAGACAGGGAGAGGAGGAGAGAGACTTAAACTTACCGGCCATGACAGTTGAACAGTTTGCGTCGATTTTTAAGCAGCCGCAGCAAAAACAACAACAACAACTACGACACTAGAAGCAACGAAAAACGGAGCGACAACAAAAATAACAAGAACAAAAGGAGAAGGCCAAAGGAGCTGCGCTCGCGCTCTCTAGCTCCGTCTCTTTCTCACGGGGGTGGTGGTAGTGTTGTTGCTGTTGTTGTAGCTGCCGATTTGAAGTTTCAAAGTTGAGCGCGATTTTTATTCTTTTCTCTTCACTTATTCCTTTAATTACACTTTGGTTGTTTTTGTTGTTTATGCATTTGATTCCTTTGTTAATTATGTATTTTTTGTTAGCACGACTTAAGCACGTAGAGGGGAAGAAAGAACTGCAAAAGTAGGGGAAATTATAATTTTTTTTCTGCGACGACGATGTCAGCGAAGGCAGCGCAGCGGCAGAATTTTGGCGTGCGTTTTATACATGCATCTTTGCGTGCGTTTGTGTGTGTGTGCGAATGTGTGAGCGAAAGAGAGAGAGCGAGTGCAGCCGGTGGTTGTGAGCGAATACAAAAAATTACTTCACACCGATAAAACGAGATATTTGCCAGTTAATCCACAATTATTATTATTTATTGCATTTTGCCAAACAAATACGAAATACACAAACACTCACACACTCACACACATTTACAGAGGCAGACACACGTTTGCGCCGCTTGCTTTGTCTCTTTGTTTTATCGCGAATTCCGAGCAAAAAAATATTTGCGAAATCTAACCTTCAAAATGCGACCACTAAATAGTTTGCGATGCCTTATTATTTTACGCCTGCGAATCATAAAAACCGCGTGATCACAAAGGGCTAAATATGCAACTCATTATTTTTACTAACAAATATATGCAATAAAAAATTTTAATTTGCCAAAAAAAAATAAAAGCTTCTGTTTTCTGATTCTGTTTCCGATTCACATTCTGCGCGCTGCCTCTTCTTCCCGTTTTTGCCGCCTCTTTTGCTGCACTGCTTCGTCGTTGCGTCGTAATATTAATATGAATGCGAGTGAGTGTGGCTTTTGCACAAGCGGCATTCCGCTTTGTTTTTCGCTTTCGCACGCACTTTTGGACTATTTACACGGCTGTCGAACAACTCCCGCACGCTCCGCTTGCTGTATTTACTGTTTTAACTTAGTTAGTGACTAACGGATTGTGATAAATCCAACGCAAAATGGAAGTACAAATTTTGTTGCAAATTTCGCACTTTACAATAAGAGTTCCAAGCTACCGAATTGCCGCTCTGCGAACGGCGTTGCATTTAACCAGTGTTAGTAATTCTTTTTAGGTAGTGTTGAAAAATGTTTGAGGGTAACAGAACAGATTGCAGAGCTGTTGATGACAATGTTAATGTTAACATGCATTTTGGCGCGAAATTTAAAAACAAATTTGAAATTTGAAAAAAAATTAGGCCAATAAGATTTCTTATAATGTAAAGTTAAATATAGAAACAATGATTTTGGGATGGATAATCCTGACCAATTAAAAACCGAATCTTTAATTCTCCCTTGACTTTCATGTCAAAAAACATATTTTTGGATATATTTTGCTCAATAATTGTAAACTTAACCACCTGACCTTGAGCCCTATTTTTTCCCCGACCTATATTTAATTCTCGGAAATAACTATAAAACATTCATTACTCACTTGTTGGCTTTTTGGCTCCGTTGATGTTGATGGCCGTGTTTAGCATGTTGCCGATTTTCGTGATGCTCGACTGCCGCATGAAGGTGCGAGGCGGCAATGTGGGCGGTGTGGGCGTGTTCTGCATCTGCGGGTCCGGCGGCTCTAGCACCGGACTCTGCCGGCCCCAGCGACCCATTGTAGAATATAAGATTTCAGCTGGCTTCAGATGTGAATAAAAATGGCTTTTTCGATTTGAGTTTAGGCTGTCGTGATCCGGGCGATCTGCAAGTAAATTAAACGGTCGAATCTTTTAGCATCTCGGAGTGCACACACCGGTTGTATAATGCATGTTTGCATTAGTCTGAGCTTGAGTTTTGAGTCTCAGACTAAGCCAGCGCATGAGCGGGCTGCGTGTTTTTGAATTTGTCGGGCAATTAACACCTGTCGCACGCCCCCCTCCCTTTTTGGGCAGTCACCTCTCACCCTTTGCCAAACGGAATGGCTTGAGCAACGTCTCCTGTCATTTGTTTACTTTTCAAATTACGCCTGCGTTCAAATGAGAACAAAACATCTGCCTTCAGTTTGAATTCAATTCCGACGCCTTCGTGTTTCATAAATTTTCGCGATTTTTATTTTGGCCAGCCAAGAGGTGTGTCTGCTGTTTTTGGTAGCTCTTTTTTTGTATTATTTTCTATCTAAAATTTATTTCTCTCCGTCAGCATTCAAAATAATATTCTCAGTATGTTTTTTTCTATATTTTTTTGCTCTGATAAATAACCGAAATGGAAAGAGGCTGCCTGGCTTGCGTTCCAATTAACATTTACACAAAAAAAAGGCAATTTCGCTAATCTCCAGCTCAAATATTTGATTTCCAGCTCTAAAGGCAGCGCGAAAACGTCAGAGTGGAAAATTTCTGGGCACAAAAAATAAAACCTTGTAAAAGACAAAAACATATTTAATTTGGATTTTTCGTCGACATGTGTAGAGGCAAATCGCTGTGGTCGCCTTAATAGTTTTGCCTCTTTTTTGCAATAAAAAATTAAAGAAAAACAGATAACGTTTGAAGAAAAATATTTACAAAAAGAGAAAGTCAAACAAACAGTTGAAAAATCATTAAATTTAGCAAATAAACAATAATAAAAGTAAGGCCACAGGTATTTTAAATAAGCTAAAGAATGTTGTTCTGTCTGTTGTTTGTTTTTTGTTTGTTATTAACTATTTTATATGGAAATTTTGTTGCATTTTTATTGGGGTTTCGTTTCAAAAATGTTTTTTAAAGAATGATATTGGGCGTGTTTTGTTTACTAATAAAAATGACGATGTATGATAATAAATTGATCAACAAAAATCGTTATTTAAATTTCAAGATAAATTGTATTGTTTTTTATTGGCAAGTTTATTTTGCTCTGATTTGAAAATTTGAAGTTTACATGATTAAATACTAGTTTTGGCTTAAGAAAAAATTTAAAATTAATTTACAACATCCTTAAAAAATTAAAGAATATTTTTACCCAGCTTTCTGTTACATTTAAGCTTTTCTTTCTATTATTTTAAAAGATATTTTTCAGTTTCTAAACATATTTTTCAAAAAGGCCCCCAAACAACCACTCAAATTAACATGACCTCGTCTGTTTACACATATGTCATGTGTTTTTGTGTACGATTTATTTCACACATTTTCGCAATACGGATATACAGTTACAATATGAAGGCGAAATTCCGCCACGTTCATTAAAGGAGATATATAAGTACATATGTAGATATATGTTTTATAGAGAAAAGGAGGTAGAGAGAAGAGAGTGCTGGTGAGGTGTGGCATATGCAAAATCGGGTGTACGCAACAAGTTGAAGAGCCGCAACATATGCATGACTAATGGCCAAGAAGAAAGAAGCAGAGTCAGACAGAAGACGGGCAACGTGCGGTATAACAAATCAAAAGAAAACCACACACGGGGGGAAAATGAGAATGCGGAGAATTGTAATCCAATTAATGGGCTGCGTCTTCAATGTCTCGCGTAGCCGTAGAAACGTGAGTGCGCCAGCCAATCGCGTATTAAAAATCTTTCCATTTCTTCGGAATGGGAAGTACAGTGTGTGTTAGGTAAGGAGAACTATGATAGAGGCTATGATAATGCGTTTTTAGAACCTTATATTTGGTATGAAGAAATATTACGTATACGTTGGACTATAAAATTTTAAAACCATTAAAAGTTTGGATACAGTTTGAATAAACGATATCAACTCCATTCTAAAAAAAACATTGTTTCAAGGTTTTTAAGAAAATATTAAGTATACGCCATGTATAACAACTCTTTTTCCACAGATTACCAAAAAAAAAACAATACTTTTGTTTACTTTAAATTCAATGTTATCACAACTTACAAATGCTTGAAATAATCAAGAATTATATAGAAATAACTATTTATATGATTTTACCTTTAAAAGCAAAGAAAAACATCTGGAATTTTCCGAAACTAAAATGCATTGCAAAAATAAAACCATTCAAACAGCAATAATAATAATTACTATAAGCCATTATCACTGTTCTCTCAGAGGTGTCACTGAAGCTTAAAAATAAACTACCAGAAAACTAGAGATACGAAAATAAACAAAATGAAATGAAAGGTCTATTAAAAGTATGTGGCATGTGAATGGTTGCAGAGACAAGCGCCAGCTTTTCTTTTCCCCCGAATGGCAACAGAAACAGAAACAACAAAGGCAACTGCAACAACAACAAAATCAAAACAATAACAAACAAATAGAGCATTTTTTCAAGAAAATAAAATCATGCCGAGATGTAGAGATGTTCGCTCGGGAAATGACAAAGACAGGCAGCGGAAGCGGGAAAAGGAACTCAAAAATAAAATCAGCCATATAAACGAATTTTTCTTAAATAGTTTAGAATTTTATGCACTAACATTACGCATATCAAAGGAAGGTGAAATGATTTAGGTGGAGGCGGTTCCGTAAATCAAATGTTGAAATCAACAATATGTTTTTGAAAAATAAGTTTTGAAAATGACTAATTTGTTTTTAAAATCATTAAAATTAAGACAGAAAAAATGAAAAGTTTATCTGCCTTAAAGTTGCTCCTTATTCTTCCTCAGAGAACCACAGACTTCCCTAGCCTATAAATAAATGTGGCACACAGTTTGGAAGCCACCTGAACACGTGCCACACGAGACCCATCTGCCATCCCAGCTCCTCCCTGGCGGCACACTCTCACCATCCAAAGTCCAAGCACAGGTAAACGCAATTTGCCTGCCAAATCTTTGACTGCCGTTGATTATTTTTGGATCTGTCAACCTTTCTCGTCTGCATTTTACTAATTTGCCTTTAATGTGGGGGGGTGGAAAATGTGTGTGTGTGGGGGGGGGCGGGGGATACCTGACATTGTTTATATTTAGCATTTCATACGCTCGCGTTTCCCAAACTGTCTATAATATGTCCATCAAAGTGTCTTCTCGGTTTGACAACCACAGGACAGAGGTGTATACTCTTTTTTTCTGTTTGTTTTTGGCAAGGGGGCGTGGAGTGATGAGGGGTAGAGAATGATAAACAATCGGACAGGCATATGTGATTGCTACCATATGTCCAGTTAGATCCATTGGCAAGCAATATTGTGCTTATCAAACTGTTTCGGCTCATCCAATTAATACACTTCACGGCCCCTCGGACGCTCCCCACTCCACTCGTGACTGCCAGATATAATGAAACTAATTAGCATTTGACAAACACCATTCTCATATTCTTATATACCATCATACAGTGGGCGTTTGTACAAAAACAAACACAAGAAAGTCATCGTTTGTCAGGAATTTTGAGTGTAATTTATATGTAATTATATCTTTATTTGATATACCTCTTTTTTATGGGAATAATTAGACATTTTGTTGTTTAAGTAAGACTGAATTGAACCAAAAAATATGTATCATTCTTTCTTTTACAAAAATAAAAGGCCTAAAACATATTTTACTTTAGCTTTTAAAGGTAAAATAAACACTACAGAAAACCAAAACAACATTTTCAATTTGTATTTAGTTGAGGCTCCACTGTAGCTATAAAGAATCAACAAAATTCAGGACCAAATAGAAGCTGACGAACTTCAGTTGGTATAACAAATTATAAGCCCACAAATAATGATATAGTCACATGGATTTGGAATCGGAATTGGAATCGGAATCAAGATAAATGCGATTGTGCTAAATGTGTGTTGTTTTTTTTCGTTTTGGAGCAATTTGTTCGATTTGCTAATGCGAACAGCTTAGGCAAATATTTTGGCATAAAAGTCAGCAAGTGACAAAATAGTAGCTATTAATTGTTTGTAAGTCGACTTGCTAAACATGGCCAGTGCGAGTCAATAGTTGTTTATTGTTTGGCTCAGAGCGAAAAAAAAAAAAAAAAGCGGCCTGAAAATGTTGTTAACCTCAAAAACCGCCAAGAACGTCAACAAGTGAGACTTGGAACTAACCAAAAGGGGTTTTTTTTTACGATTGGAGGGGGGATGATTTTAATCTAGAGAAACTGGAGAATCGAATGGTAGAAAAGATTGACGTAACAGGCAAGCTAAACTCTTATAACATTTTAAACATTATTATTTTTTTGGGAATATTGAAACAGCTGTCTTGCCATATAAGTAGCATTTGAATGGAAACCACACGCGCGCATATTTAATATGTATAAAAAAAAATGTTTGAAAATTCTAAACTCACCAAAAACCAGCAGAGAGATAGCAGAAAAACAAATCACAAACACGAATACTATTTTAATTGACCGTCTTTAGATATCTCATAATTTGTCATGCATTCGGCTATTTCTAAAAATATTCTGTTTCTAATATTTGATCTTTATGTTCTGTTCATTTTCAGCGCTTCGAGATCGGTTCTTCTCACTCAAGTGTTGCAACGGTTAAATTATAATTCCTGTCTCACACAACCGATTTTACTGCACTTCTTTGGCACTTTCTGGTTGGCTTTATTTCTTTTTGTTTGTTTGTTATTATCACACTGGACGGCAAAAAAGGCGTACAAAGGCACAATGTAAAGTAATTTAAATTGAATTCAGTGCTCGCAGCAAGTGGAAAAGTGAAAAACAGAAAAAGCAAGGAAACCGCAATAAGGCATTAAGACGAAACAGTCAACGCGGCGACGTTAAAATTAGCACTGAAACGCGCCGTGCGAATGCGCGCCTATGATTTCTTTGCCCCACTCTCACTGCTCCCCACCAGAGATGACAGCTATTTATGGCCGATTTATAGCTAAGAGAGTTTAATAAATGAAATCGATGAAATTACAAACCAAAATTATAAACATATTTGTATTATTTTTTTGGAGTTTATACATTTATAGAGATCTTGGGGAAGTAAGCTTCAAATAACTTTCCTTATTTTTCTTTTGTTAACTGTTTTTGCTAGCCCTAATAAGCTTGTTTAAAAAAAACTGTAGGAAAAATAGCTAAATAATCTTTACTATTTCCCCAACAGCTCTTACGCTCTTTTGTGCTCTCTCTGGTTGGCGATGTGATGACCGTGGGGCCGGGCGCTCTCTTTTGAAGAAGATTTTTGTAAACAAAACCGCGACACGCATTGTTGCTGCTAATGTGATTGTTGTTGTTTTGATAAACGCTAATTTGCCTATTGATATTGATGTTAATGTGCCTTTACTCACACATTCGCGGCCAAGAAGATAGCAATGCTACTTAACACATCATTGAAATTTCATTCTTATACTATTCAAAAGCTTTTAAAGTATAACAACAAAATATAATATTTAATAAATATTTAAAGAAATAGAAATACCCGTCTTATTTGGTTACAGCTATATAGATTCATATCAAATTTATATTCATCCAAACCGATCGTTTCAAGTCCAAACTCACCAAGTCGAATTAAATTATCTTCCATAGAAGACTTGTCGAAAGGGCTATTGACAGATAGACATTTACATATATGTATCTGAATCGATAAGCTCAATGATTCAGATCAGAAACCAGTATTTATATGATATTCTTAAAGATGTCTTATTTGTTTAAGCTTGTTAAGTGTTCTTAAATTGATTTGCATTACAATTTCTTAAAAAAATAGCACCATTAAGCATTTTAAGTAAATTTGTTTAGTACTATTTCCTGATCTCGAGTTGTGGGCACAGTGGGTGTGTCATCACCATTTTGGAGTGGCTTAATTCGTTTTGCTAACTCGAGGTTTCAGGGTATCAATACCTTTCTTTTCCAAAATAATAATTATTCAGAAACATGCATTTTGGTATTAATTAGGTAATATGTAAACAAAACTGTACATTTCTTTGAGGTATGGCATTTTCTTACAATTAGCACTATATTGTTTAAATAAGACTTATAAGGTATTTTGAAGTGTCTGCTTAATATTCTACCAGAAGTCCTTGTAAGTTCTTGCCAGCATTCGAATGTCCTTGTTCTTGTTATTTTGTTGAACGCATAGAAATTCCCTGTGGTTGCTCCAGTCCCCGATGCTGTGATGAAACATTATCTCCACAACGAGCAGTTGCTCATAAACCTCTCCCCATCCAATGCCGAGGGTATTGGAGCAGGTTTCCAGCAGCCAGCGAAAGGAGCAGGGGAAGTACTGACGCAACTCCCGCTTGTCTTTTTGACGAATCGATTTCATAAAGCCATGCAGAAGCCAACAATCGAAGTTGGAGACTTGCAGCAATAGTTCGTCAGGGCCTGATGGCTCGTTATTTGTATTTTCTGTGCCTTGTTCTGATTCACTTTCTGTTCCTTGTGAATACTCCATTTTTTCTAAATGACGACGAGGTAGTTCGAGAGGGATGTTTAATGGCTCCATGCTATCCTCCCTGAACGTTTGCAGGGAAGTCAAGGTATCGAGTGGTACCTCCTTATCTTTTAGCTTGAGAAGAAAGCTGGGAGTCGGGGTTATCTCCCAAAAAGGATTCGTTATCTCCAGGTTTTCACGCCTTCCAAAACGCTTTATAATCTTGTTCAGATATTGAGCACCATAGGATCCAGTGGGCTGATCGAATCGAAAGTCTGGACGTTTCTCCTTTCTCTTTACCTCGGCGATCCAAGTCTCCGTTTTAATATCAGGATTGGCGCGGAATTCCCGAACATCACAATGTCCAAGCAGAAGTGCACGGAAAATGCCTATTTTTTGTATGTCCTCCTTGCAGTCAAGCTCCTCCACTCGAAGTTTTAGACCTTGCTGTGATAAAAGCTGAGATAGTTCCTTGGTTTCCAGTACAAAGGGATTCAGGTCTCGCAGTGAGTGATCTACATGCAAGCAGTCTGGAATCTTTATGTTCACATGCGCACCGTCAGAGCGCGTGGCCTGGAGTAGGATTCTCTTGAAGTAGGAGTGAGCCGGAGTCAAGCTTGGCTGGAATTCAATTCGATCTTTTTCCACGCTTTCTTGGCTGGTTTCGCCGAAATGTTCCTTTAGCATGGTTTCAATAATGTGGGTCAGATTTTCATGTTGCCGTGATCCCTGCTTATCATTGTCACCAACTGCTTGTTCCTTTTCTTTTCGCTCTTTGGCTAAGATGTCATCGACCTGTCTATCAATTTGGGTGGCTACTCCAAAGCGTCGAGCAAAACTCTGATTGTAATGTGAGACAATCACTTTTCGTAACTCCACGAATTCCATCCACTCTGTGAATACGAAGAGCAAGGGAGCTTCATCTCCTACGGTTTCTAAAAGTTGTTTATTAATATTTGCAGCCGATTCGGATATCTTTCGCTCCTTGACATCGTCCAAGCCAAACAACAATTTCATGGCATAAATGATGTAGGCCATTGTCCTGGCCTCATAGCGCGGATATGTGTGTGGGCCCATTACGTTTACGAACTTTGGCGGATACAAGTCGATCATACTTGTCACATACTTGAGTAGGCGTGGCGGCAGAGCGAGTTCTAAGATATACCGCTCGGCAAGGGAGTGTAGGTTGGGTTTTTGGAAATCGGTGAGGTTTATGAAACGCGACATATAGTTAATGTTAAAACGTAGGAGCTAAAAGAAAATGAGGAGATATGACATAGCCGTCGCTAAGAAAGCATTAAAATTGCTCACCTTATAACTACACTTGTCTTTTGCTTTACCAAGCTCCATGTCCTTCAGCAGGGACTTTCCCTTGGCGGCCACATTTTCTGGCAGATAGTTGAGCATGTATCGCTTGGTTAAATGCTCCTCATCAATGAACCGCAGCAGATCAGTTAGCTGTATATCGTCCTCTACCATGTTAAGGGCAATGCCCAGAACTACGTACAACTTTATAAAGTTCAGGCAATACATATTACGGTCAAAGTGACGTAGTTGCTTGGCCTTGGGCCTAAAGGTATGGCACGACATACTGCCTTTGCTATCCCGACTATGCTTATCCAAATGTTTCAGCGACATACTGCGCTTCAGTGTCTTTCGGGCATTCATGGCCCATTGGACGTGTAGACTGGTTGCCCCTTCGGATTCTGAAGGACCTTCTTGTTTGGTGTAGCGCGAGGCGTCAAGATTGCGCTGAAAAGAATTGGGAGCAAGGTGTTATTAATTCATTTGAGATAAGACCATTGGTAGATATCCACTAATGAGTTAGGTAATTATGTCATTTGCATAGCTTGTGGTGGGACTATATAAGACCAACATTGCCAAATTAGTAACAGTTCAGCATCGTAACTTGTTACAAATATGTCTCTGCGTTTAATTCTTATTTGCTTGGCCATCTTGGCAATGGTCTATGCACAGCCTGCTCCAGGAGCTCCGGAAATCATTGAGGGTAAGTAGAATCAGTTTCTTGACAAAAAGGTAGTTGTCATATAATTTTTTACACAGATTCTGAGCCAGTTCAGGAGACTTCGGAGGAACCACTACCCGATGGATTCAAACGGACCTTAGTCTTGCTGCTGCCAATACTATTCCCCAATTCCTTTTATAGCCCGGTCGCAACCGGTAAATAAACTAATTATTTGAGCATTGAAGTACCTTTGCTCTGTTCCATAATCTAAATTTGGCGCGCGCATCATTTGGTTCGCCTGATATTGTGCTCTTTTTGATTCTTTTGGCCTTAGGCTGCTTATGGTTGTAGATGATTCGGGCATCCCTGCAAGAAAAATAGTCTTATGAATGCAGAATTCGATAGGGTAGATGGCCTAAACTCTTAGTGGTGTATTAAGAGCTTTGATAGGTATAGTGATACAAAAACCCACCTTAGCAACGCCCGCACATTCAGCTTGGGCAATCCCAATTTGTTGCTCTTGTAAAAGGCCACCTCCATGCGTCCCATGTACGCCGCCCACACCTGCAAGGTCATCAGCTTGAGCTCTGGCTTGGCACCCATATTGAGTAGCTCCTCTACGAATCCGCGTAGCACATAGTTGTAGAACTCCCACGAGGTGATGTCGATGTCATCCTTATCTTTCGCATCCTTCGGTTGTCTGATGGTTTTGCTGGCATATTTACCGGCTGTGGTTTCGTCGAAGTTCTGCTCGGCGGTGATATCCACCGCTCGTATCTGATCCTTTTGCGTGCCGCACTCCACGCAGTAGTAGTAACCCTCGCGCTCCTGGAAGGTATGCTCCCCGCACACATCACACTGCATGTCGTTCAGCTGCAACGTCTCAAGTACCTCATCCATTTTGTATTTTTTTTGATAGATTTAAATGCGCTATTAATTATATTAATCAAATACAACCAACTATTATTCGAAATATACGAAATTCGCGTTCTAAATGTTGTTGCATATCGATATCTATAGACTCGCACGCTACTTCGTTAGGGGTGGGTCAAATGAGCAATAGTTATCGATTTTCTGATGACAGTCGCCGCGTTTTTCGAAAGGTAATTTATCGAAGTTTAAATTTAATTTCCTAAAATGTAACAGTTTCTTGTTTTATAAAATTGGGAAATAAGAGATAATAAAATGATTTATTTAAAAAATTATTATTTTTAAGAAAAGCAATCTTTTCGTATTATTGGAAATTAATGAGTATCTTTTTCAAACATTTATAAAAAATAAGTTTTCCAGCTTTTTTATATAAATTCCAAAAAATTAAACTTTTTGAACATTTTTCCACCAAAATAACGTCAATATAAAAACACAATCACTTCAGTTATGTCAGTATTTTTTTGTTTGTTTATTGCACAATTACAATATACAGGTTCACTTTCATATAATTTATTACAAATAAAATTACTACGGCATAGAAAAATATGTGTGTGTGTGGGGATCTCATTCATTTCAGTTTTACTCATACTACTAGCTACATTTTTTGGGGGTATTTGGGGACCTGGGGCTGGGATCGTGTGGGCAATGGTTAGTGAAAAACATAAACAACAGCAAAGTTTGCACAGAGCCTGGAAAACCTAAACTAAACTAGAGCTGTGGGTAATTTCATTTCATTTCATACGAACTCAGTGCGCCACTGCAAAGTTTCAAAGTCAACAGTTTTTAACAGGTTTGCTTCGGAAAGCATAACAAGGTTTTCATTTCATTTCTCAATTTCATTTTGCGCTTTTCAATGATGGTGTGGCATTGTCAGGGGGGGTTAAGGGCGCTCTTATAGTTAACATAGTGACGATTATCTAATATGGTACATTCACTTTTTTTGTGTGTGGTTTGCTTGTTTTTTTTTTTGTATAGGATTTTTTTATAAAAAAAATTACAATATAAGAATTCGTTTTGAGCTTAACAAAAACGCAAGCTAACTAACCTAAACGATTGGATTTCGAGGCGTTACATCGATCGATCTCCATCAATATAATAAATATTTCACGTTTTCTTTATATATATATATATATGGGTATATATGTATGTGTGTGTGGCTTGGGGTAATCAAAGCGGTATAACTATTACTAACTAGATGCGTATAAAAAATATTCATAAACATTCGTATAATTTTGCTCAAGTCTTAAGAATACAGTTGGTTTCAATATGAATTTGAAGGCATTGAACGCACAATGTGCGCGTTATGGTTTGATTTTCCTTGTTTTTTTTTTGGGGGTGGGGAAGAAGGGCGGTTTGGTGGTTTGTATCTCTTAGTTGCTCTTATATGGTCATCAGTGGGGGTCAATTTGTACAACTGACTATCGGTGTAGTTAGGGCTAGGCTGCTTGGCTAATCTAATTACAATTTAGTGCTTAGGTCTAATGCATAGCTATGCGTAGAATTATCATTTCTAGCATGGTTCATCATATTCGTCGTTCTTCGACGCGTTCTCTATAAGGCACAGATATTTGTTACATCAGTTGTTTTTCGTTTTTTTATACACATAAATACTTGTTGCTTAGTGAAAATAAATACTACATTAATTACAAAAATGTACAGCGAAGATGGGGAGTTGTGGAAGGGGCTACACCTCCACGCCGTAGTTGCGATCCACCACGTAGTCGAAGCGCTGCTGCTCGGCATCTTCGGATGCGACTGGAGCTGTGGTGGCTGTTGGTTTAGCCTCAGCATTGGCAGCAGGAGTAACTACAGGGGTAATAGCTGGAGTAGCAGCAGAAGTAGCAGCAGGAGTAGCAGTAGTAGGAGTTGAAGCAGCTGGTGTTGGTGGTACCTTAGGCACTGCCCAGCTGCCGGCTCTATGGAGGTGATCACTGAGATTCTTGTTTCGGTTGCTGCTGGCCACCAGCGCCGTGTTGATGGCAATGGCCGTCTCAGGTGAATTGTAGAACTCATCCTCGTCCTCTTCCTCCTCCTCCTCCTCTTCCTCTTCGATGGGATTGGCTTCCGGCAAGGTAAATTCACTGGGCAGCTCGGGCACCGACAGTCCCTTGCGTGTGAAGAAAGTTATCTTCTCCCTGTAAATATCAACATTTAATCAAGTTTCTTTTTAAATTTAAATCTAAATATAAACTTACTTGAAAGACACCAAATCGGGACAGCCCTTGGGCACCTTGGTCTTCCGCAGCTTGTGGATCTCTTTGGCGGTCTTCATCAGCAGCTTCTGCAGTTGACGCTCCTCGGGGCATTTGGCAGGATCGGCACGAGCCACCAGGCGCTGGAACTCCTCGTTCTCAATGGCCCAGGCGGCCACCAAGGGATCCTTGTTTTCGCAGGCCTTCTGCAAACTGTTACATAAAGAATTAATTAGTATGTTGTACTTTTTTAAGGGTTTCTAACTAATAACTTACACTTCTTTGAGGTTCTGCAGCTTGGCGATTTGATCATTGAGGAAGTACAGCTTGCTGTGCTGGGCCTGTAGATCCAGCTCCAAGTCCAAACTGGTGCGGGGTATGTGAGTATGATGCAGTTCTAAAGATAATAATTATTGATAATTCTATTTAAATTCCTCATTTAATGTTTTTAACTTACTTGTGACTGACTTGGGCGCCTTGGTGTGGAAGCGCAGTGATCGTCGCTCGGCGGCACCTCGTTGGAAGGTGTGAGGCGCAACGCCGCAGTGCATTGCAGAGTCGGAGTCGCTGCGATTTAGTCGGCAGTTATAGCGATTCTTGCTAACAGCCGCCGAAGGCGTGAAGGTCTGGGAACGCTTCACTGGCCTGTCGTCCATCAGCTGGGATTGACCGCGAGATTTCTCCGGCAGAAAGGCGCGATCGGTGTTGGTCTCCTTGTCGGCAAACTCCTGCTTCATTATCTGCAGGTAGGCATCCAACATGCCACTTGCTGTTAGTTAAGATAAAAAGTAAATATTTTAATAAATAAATATTAACATTATAAAAAGTCTTGAACTTACGATTCTTTAGGCCAACATCGCTGATGAGCTGCTTGTCATCCAACTCCTCCTCTTCTTCATCATCATCGTCGTCGCTGCACACCGGCTCATTGAGCGGTCCCAACTCCAGCAACTCGGCAGCGATTTGCTCTTGCAGTTCCATGCATGGAGCCTGATTCCTAGTGAGCGTGGATGTCTGGGAAGATGTAATGGTAGACTCGTCCGAAGACTCCTCTCGATTATTGCCACTGGCTGGTGCATTGTTGGCTGCTACGGCTGCTGCCGCTGCTGCGGCACTGGTCGAGGGAATGTCCAGGGATTCAAAGCTGGGAATGAACTTTGAGCTTAGCACGTTGTACCACTTCAGTGTGGAATCTTCTGGGTTGAACTCAGCCATGCTGATCTGCACAGTGCCCTGGAAAATAGATGATTTATGTTAGTTAGTTATACTAACAGTTAGTTAGTTAGAGTTTATAGTATACTTACAATAATCTCCTCCTTTTGCCCTGTCATCGTAACCACGGTCACCTGCAGGCTCTTGGTCAGCAGCTTGTCCAGCGTGATGGGCACGGCGAATGTATCGTTGAAGACAGGCTTCTGGAAATCGCCCAATGCCTTGGTCCTAATGGAGGTCAGCGAATTCGGCAGCAACGCAGCACGTAGATATCTGCAAGGTAAGAAAACCATTAATATAAAGATCTTAAAGATATATAGCTTTATTATACTTACACCTGTGAGTTGTCCGCCGAGGCAGTCCAAAGGGCCAGCAAGTTATTGGCCCGCTCCAGGGATACAACGAGAACGCCTTCCTGTTTCAGATACTTCAGGCCAATCTGGACTTGTGCAAGCTCCTTGCGCGGCAGATGAGCACGCGATGCCTCAAAGACGCCGGAATCTCCGGCCACAGATTCATTACTGACCGCAGCCGAAACGGATCTCGTGTTAGAGGTGGAGGAGGAACGGCTGAGCATTTCCTGCGGCAGATCCAGCAGCGATGGCTTTTCCGAAATTGGAGAGAGTGGAGCAGCAGCCAGGTTGAGTGGTGTACCCATGTTTAGCTTCTGCAGCTTGGCCTCCAGCATCATGCAGTCGAGCACAGTGGAGTCCAGGTCGTAGGGACGTGGTCTTACACCGGAAATCGGACCTATTGGCGGAGCTGTATAGGCAGGAGGGGCAGGCAGAGCATTGGCATAGGTGGGCTCCTCCTTGAGGCCCTGTGGCGTCTGATCCGCTCCCGGGTTATACTTCATTGGGGAAGCAGGAGGCGTTTCCATGGAAAGGCTGCTTCTAGGCGATAGCGTTACCTCCGAGGATTGCTGCTGCTGCTGCTGCTGTTGCTGAAGGACAGGATGAACAGGATGCAGACGCTGTTGGAACAATTTCTGCGAGCGACGTCTAAGATCCACCACATCAATGGGTGAGTCCACAGCAAAGGGATCATTGTATATGTCGGTGAAGCTCAAGGCACTCTTACTGCTGGCCGTGGACAAGGAGCCCAGACTGCTGCCACTGCTAATGGAGAAGGTGCTCTCCGAGGAGAAGGACTTGAGACGCTCCTCCAGCAATTTGGTGGACTTCAAGGCCTCCTGCAGTTTGTCCAGCAGGAGCTGCTTCTCCTCGTGGAAACGCAATCGATTGGCCACACATGTGTTGTTTGCTTCATAGGCTTCCTTCAAGTCCTCCTCCAATTTGTGGCGTGTTTGGTGAATCACCCGTTTCTCCTCCTCGCTGCGTGACTTCAACGAAATGCTGTTCAGATCGTTCAGCAGCTTCTCCTTCTCCTGGATGAGCAGAATGCGATCCTTGTCCGACTCCAGTTGACCTGGCTCAATGCGCTCCACATGATCGGCCAGCTGTTGCTGCAGCTTCTTGATGTGCTTTCGCCACTCGGCATACTGCAACTTTGTCTTGGCCATTTCCGCAAAACGTGCTCCTCCATTCAGATTGTCACCCGATGATCCGCACAAATCCGTTTGACTGGCCACACACACCCGATCGAAGGGCGAGGCCAAGTCGGAGTTCTCCTCGCTGATCTGCTGGCGGCTTAGCTCGTTCTTGATCTGCACCAGACTGCGCATCAGTTCTTCGCGCACCTTTTCGCCAGACACTAGTGACTTGTGCACCTTGAGCATCTCCTCGCGTATTGCCTGAACCTCGGCAATATCATAGCATCCATTCTCTCGGGCATCGATCTTCTCGCCCACGGAATGCAGGGTGTTCATGCCGCGTTCCGTGTAGGATATATCATCGGTAATGTGGGTCAGCTCCTGTTTTAGCTGGTGGACACGCTTCCGAGCTAGCATGAGTTCGGCCCTTAGAAGTTCCGGATCATGTCGGCTCATTGAGCTGGAGGAAGAGCACACTGGAAGGGGAAACAAGAGGCGTTAGTAATTCCCTCAATAAATAATATTAAACCAAAATTTCCCTAGAACTCTTTCATGGCATAAACATGTTTACCTTTAATTTTATGATTATTTATTGATAAGCGATAAGACCAGTCCAAAATTGGTTAATTGGAAATGAAGATATCTTAAGCTGATTTCGATTTTGAATAAATAAATAAACCAAAGATACTTACGACTGCTTCGACTGGCTGCCAGTATCAGATGGTTATACTCCTCCTGGGCCCAGAGAAGTCGCTGCTTCTTGACATCATACATCTCTCGTTTGTTCTCCAGCTGATCCTCAGCCGCTGATAGATAATCAAGCAGCATCTGCTTCTGGACACTCTTCCACTCCTGGCGGGGATCCTCTAGCTGTGTACTCTGCGCCAGATGATTGATATAGTAGGGTCCAATATTTGGATCATAGGATTCCTCCCAGCCCATAGGCAACTCATCGCCCACACAATCCTCGAAAGTCTGTGGCTTTGTGAAGCTGTAAAAAGATAATTAATAGGGAGATAAGTTAAGGGTTTTAAAGGCTATAGTCTACAATAGTTCCTAACCCATATTGACATACAAATACTGCTGAAAAGATGTATCTCTAAGCGTTCCCACGGCAGTTAGTGCCGTGGAATTCGATAAGATTAGCCGCCAAGCATTTCCTGTGTGCATTTTGGGTAAAAGTGGGCAAATGTCTCCAACGGGCCAAATGGCCAAGAGTGTCGCAGAAATACCAATTTTTTTTGTTTTTTTTTTCTTTTACCGCAGACCCATGCGGCGGAATGTCTGCGCTCTGTTTGTTGTTGCCAAATGCCGCGATCGCTTGAGTCTAATCTTATCGAGGCCATAATATTCGCATAGTGCGGCATGAAAGCAAAACAAAAACTTAAGGCCCAAATACCGAAGACCCCGAACTGATGACGATGACAACGTCGTCTTCCTTCTGTGTGTGTGTTTTTTTTTTTTTGTTATTGTTTGCGAAATTCAATTTCAATATCAGGCAACAACATTTTCGCATTCCAATGATAATTGCTAATCGCCATTGGATTGATTGTTGAAACATTCGCCGCTGTCTGTCCCTCTATATCATCCCATATGTATCGATGTGTCTCCTCAATTCTTAACATAAATATATATATATTGTATATATTTTTGTTTTTCATTAAGACCTCCGACAAACTGTTAATTAATCATTGCTTTGGAATTCGCACAGCCATTAAAGAAGCTCCCGGAGAATATTTATACAGATAATAAAATCTGCGCCATATGCGATAGATAGCAGTGCGTTTCAGCATTGTAAATCGTTTTACGACATGCAGTTCAACGAACGATATACGATGATCAAAGATCATATATATATATATTTGCAATATCAAGTATACGCCATGGATTATAAATATTACGTATACGCCTAGGATATTGATATTTATTTTTGTTTTGGTTTTTATAAACTATTTAATCAAACAAAAACAAGCTGAAAATAACACTCATAGGCTATTGATTAAAAACCAATCGCCTTGTCATTGTTTACCCTCTACTTAAAAATTCTATAAAAATAATATCACGCATACGCACTGGTGGACAATAATATTTATAGTATCAATTTGAGTCAATAGTTCGCATCAGCTATCGAATATAATAAATTGGCATTTTCGAGGGTAATGACTGATATCCTATGATTATGAAACGCACTGTGACTTTATATCCACAGGCATTCTAAAAAAAATATGTTTACAGATATCCGAAAGAAGATTGCAGTTGCCTGTCTGTTGGATTCGGTTGGCATTTTCTTAGAAAATCTGGCCACGAGCCTTCTGGCTGCTGTTTGCCTTCTTAGACACACATATTTTTCTTCTGGCTCTGGTCTGCTATTTTATCTGGAAGCGATTGTTGACGCAGCTATTGGAAATAAAATTAGCGCAGCTGCGACTAACAATCGATTTTGTTTATGATTGACTGGAATACCGCGATATAATACAAACAAAAATAAACTGAAGACGGCCGCTGACTAAGACTCGGCAACTCGACTAGATTTTCTGACTTTGAATTTGAAGTGCAAGGCATTTGGTTTATAAATTAGCCAGCCAGCAGGTTGGATTTGTTAATCTATGAGTTATATTTGGCTTGATTTGTAGAACGAAAATCCCAAAAATTCCCCATTTAATAGATTAATTATATTAAGATTGCCATCAATGACGTCTGAAGAACAGGAAGGAGAAGTAATCGCTCATTGTTAAATGACTTTGGAAATACACTAAAAATAAGTTTTTGTTTGGTACATCATCTTAAAAGAGGTTTATTGTGTACTTTTTATCAAACGTAGACTAGTTCAGCTCTTAAAAAACTTAGTTCTATATCATATAGTTTATAAATTCTTTAGTTCTTCTACTAAAGAAGTCACGTTTCTGTGGAAAAAACTAAAAGAAAGCGTGACATTGTTAAGATACCAATCTAAAATCTAGAAACTAAACTTAAACTTTTCATTTCCTGTTGCTTAACAATTCTGTATTACCATTTTCAAGGGTATAATTTAAAAGTTAAAAACTCTGCTGTGAACGTGCACTTGGACAGGGACTCCCATTAATATTAAAGAGTCATTGGCGATAGCTTAATATTGATATGGTATATACACGCCTCTCACTATATATATATATATTTATTGAAGTTGATTGAATTAAATGCACGCCTTTAATAAACGGAACAAGGTTCATCCACTTTGCACTCGAACCACAAAAGCAAAACAAAAGAAAAGTGACACAAAAACATACTGACTAGTGGGTAGCTTTACATAGAGATACTATATATATGAAACGATACCAAAACATGAATAAATAAACTGATAGACAAATGCAGCCAGAGACATGTGCCAGTCTATAGACTATAGTCTCTCTATGGATCGGGTCCAAAGCTCTACATTTGACACACATGAACCGATCTCACGATCGCCAAAGACAATCGCCAGCGAAAAATACATGACTTTGACTTGGCGACGTTGATTTGATGTTTTGTCGTCGTTGGATTTCTAGCAAAAACAACATTGACTACACACTGGTTTCATAATTTTAAATCAACAAATTTTGTATTTATTTTTTAGCCAACTTTTTGTTTTTCTTGCAGTCGTCTGTAAGCCAAGTTAAGTAAATGGCACAGTTTGCCATCTTGCATTACCTTTTTGTTTGTTTCTATTGAAATTTGTTAGGTAAATAATGTGGAAATACTAAAGTGATTCATTAGGAATAGAAGGTTGTTCTTAAATGGAAACTATGAGGATTCTTATGCACCTTGAATTAAGTAACATTTTATCATGAACTCATTCGAGGTCTTAAAGGTCTTACTACTGAAATGCAAATCCCCATCAGAAGATAAGTTTACTGTCTCCCCAAACGAATCCCCAATGAAAAGAGCATTTCATTCATTGATGAACATAAAATTCCCCCCAACCTTTGAGAACGACTTACTCTGTCATTTTAATCAGAAGCTCTTTTCGTTTTTTAATTTTTTTGATCAAAAGACAGGTGTCAAGTGCGGTTGAGTGAATGGCAATTAAATTCGGTAAACGGCTGCCGCTTGTGTCTCTCTCTCTCTCTGCTTTTTATGGGCCTTTAATTAACTCAATAAGAAAATCGTATGCAAATTTTTTATATGGTTTTTCCATTAGCGCTTGACCTCAGAGAGACATGTCACTCCAGCCAACTAGAACCGCCTGCCTCAAATCGAACGGGTTGAAAAAAAAAATCAATGAAAAGCCCAAAGGGAGGGTAGTGGGGGCGTGGCACACGGTTACCAAGTAATAGGGCTTCATTGGCACTTTTGCAGATGCTGGCAAAGGAAAAAAGAGGAAGGCAGCTGGCACTCAACTAACGAGCCACTAACGACTTGTTGGCCTTTTAGCAGTTAACTCAAAACTGACTTCAGCCCACATTAAACGTTACGTTTGGCTTTCATATGCATGTGTGGCATAAACAAACAGTTTGGGTCAGAAATGAAGTACTAAATTATGGGATTTATTAGGAATTTTGATAGCTGAATGTGGCTAAAATTAATTAATTAACAGAATTAATTAATAAAGATATAATAATCTTTAAAGTTTTTTTTTTGTTTTTGATATTCAAAACAGACAAGCTGTGTCTCATTAACAGGTTAATCAATCATTTTGTATATAAAAAGTTAATATAATACGCGTTTTATAAAGAATCTTATTTCTTTAACATTCAGATATCAAATCATTACTCCTTATTGATAAGAAAAACAAGTATTTTCTCCAGAATAAAAGGAATTTACTAAACTTTATTAAGACACTTACTATCTTGACCGCTCCTGTTGACCAACACAAACGTGTCCGCCGAAAGAGCGGACAAGAAATCTGCATAAATTAAATTATATTGTAAACAAAATATTTATGGCGCGGCGACGCAGCGTCGACCAAGCGCTGTAATAAATTCGCGCTTTAAAAAAATCAAAAAAATAAAAATAAAAATACAATAAAAGGTGGGGAAAAAATGAGGAAAAACAAGTTTCCGACCAAAAATATTTCAGCATGAATTTCGTTGTCACAATATGAGTGAAACATGGGCATGGCAGAGGGCAGTCAAAAGGGGAAAAGATATCTAAAAAAAATGAAATAAAAAACATAAGAACTACTACTATATGAAGACGATGGCGAGTGGCCAGCAAAAGTTGTCATTAGGCAGCACTTAAGTTAACTGCACAAACACAGCCATTGTCATAGCTAAAGCCACAGCCACATCCATATTATTTAACTGTTCACGTCGAGTTTTATGCTAATTCGCGGCCATAACCAGTAAGAGATGGCCTAAAGAGTCGACCATTTGATGACCAATAAGCAGCAAATCAAAAATGGTTTTTAAAGAAGATTTTAAGGCTATTAAAGTGAATAGAAGTTCTAGTACCAGTTTCTCAATTACTTTAATCTATGAAAGTTTTAATGGCACTTAAAAAGATTAAAACTCTTTGCTAAGTTTGATATAAAGGTTTAAACTCTTCCGCTTAAAGACCAGAATATTTAATAGCAATCTACCTTTCTGATCTAATAACTCAAATCCCAATGGGCTTAACCTCGCAAATCTCAGTTCCTTATTGAAATTCTTGAATCTCAAACCTACCTAACCCTAAAAATAGTCATTCCTAAACCACTTTGATCGTATCGGAAAACCCCGTCAATATAAATTCTTTTCCAAATTGATTTCTTTAAAAATACTCTTTAATGAATTCACTTAAGAGGGAGGCAGAATATCTCACAAATTAGCCGGCCATTCATTGCTAGAGCTAGCCTAGCTAGATCATTTAGCAATTCAAATCGAGGCCTGCGTCAATCAAGCCCAAGTCTCGTATATATATGTATATAGATAATCATGTCCGAAATAAGCATAATATTAGGAGGCAGACGAACTGAACAAAAAAAAAACAAAAAACATAGGCCCAATCACTCGACTTTGACCATTTTGCAGGCCAGTCACGTAGCCCCGTAGTCGG